GTGTCATAGTGTAATACACATCTTCTTATATTGTATCATATTGTAATTCCCACCTTCTTCCAATTCATAAATATTTATGGTGGGCTAAAAATTATGTCTAATTTTTATTTTCTATTTTGGCATGATATGAAATCTATGGTTTAAGATTTCCAATGGTTTCTCTTGGCTTTCACTACAACTCCAAACAGCTGTCAACCTCCCATCTCAAAGACAAGTTAGATTTTGATTTTCCCTCAGCCAATTATTTCTTTCACATTTTAACTTCTCTTCAACCTTCATGGCCAAGTTTTTTTGTTAATTGTTTTATGCATAATGGTTCAAATGAGACTAAGGTGGCCAAAAATCTGTTCCAAAATGAAAATTGTTTCAATCTTGATATAAAGCCTAGCACGTGCTCCAGGATGTTGATATAAAATACTAAAGAGGCTGGCCGATTGAATTTTTTTGAAGATGATGCATCATTAGATGGGCAAACTCTAGCAGTACACAAATTTCCTTCTTTTTTCTATGAAGGATGAGCAGTGTCATAACAATTCAGATTAATCTGGGCTTTAGACAAGTCTAGTAGATGAGATCTGGGCTTCAAACCCTTTGAAATCCACATAGATTCTAGTTTATTGAGAGAGAGGAAGAGAGGGACTTCGGCTGCCGTGTGGTGTGAATGTCAAGAAAATGAGAAACAAGTTGTAAAGCCCTGTTAAATTTACTCAGGATATTTGATTGATGGCATGTGAGCTTCCACAAAGCACGATATTTAGGAGAATGGAGTGCTGTAAGCCCTTGTGAAGTTTACCCGGATTCTACTTGCTTGATTGATAGATAGAGAAAACGAGAGCAGGAGAGAGAGAAAGAGAGAGAGAGAAGAGAGGGAGGTTTTATTTTTGCCAGCCAGTTTGGCACCTCAAAGGGATTCTCAAGTCGTCACAAAGTCTCAGAAGCAAGAACATGAAAAGAAATGTCGATCCTCCAAGAAAGAACCCCCCCTCCCCCCTCCCCCCCTCAACAAGTTCATGGCAATAGCGACCAGATTCAGATCCTGCGAATACAAAGTACATTTTTCGTTAGCTTAGCCATCTAATAATGGGAGTAAATGGGAGCCAGACAAGCAGCCAAAGGCATCAAGCGAAAACCATTAGCAAGTATCCAAACTGCAATCTGGATCTGCATATCTGAGAAACTATCAAACTACCCTGTTTGAGTTGACTCGGTGAGCAAGAGAGCATCATTTTTATTTCTATTAACAGAATATAAGTTGACTGTGGCACCCTGGAAATAGCCAGGCCAACTCGGGCTGAAGAAGGCCGAATCCACCAGATGAGAAGCACACATCTGTTTCTATCAGGGATAGTTATCCTGATTTTAAAGCATAAATATCCTTCTACCCAAAATATTACAAGCATAACCCTAAAAATTCACAGCATAGCATCCTGACAAAACAAAAAAAAAACGTTTTATCCTCTAAAAAAAAAATTCGTTCTAACCATAAAAAATGGAATACACCCCAAAAGGTATGAGATGGATAGATAAAAAGCAAAACTTTTCAACGAATCTCGAATTATATGAAGGTGTACATCAATAGAAGTATCATATTTTATTTGCATATTACCATAATTTATGGAAGCGGGATGGGTTGGTTGGTGCAAAAAAAAATCTGATGACGTGCCTCAGAGTTCGTTTTCTCAAAGGCCTCTCATAAGATATTATGAGGTGAAAAAACACAGTTTAGATAAGATAATAAGCAAGTATTGAATTTCATAGAGATAACTTTAAGAATAATCTATATTGATTTTTATAAAAATAAATCTGTGACTACAAAATTCCTATTCTACTCATTTCCAATTAGCTTTGAATTTGATGACTCAATAACTTTAACATGATATTTGAGATGATGAGTGCCTTTTGGACAGAACAAAATCTATTTATATTGTCCATGGCATAAAAGTCAAATTGTCAAGAATAGTCATGAGTTAGTTGTTATGCAATAAACCTCTCATCATAAAAATGGACCTACTCGACTCGTTTGTCAACTGATTTTCATAGAATGGCCGGAGAAATCTAATAAACTATCCCAGGATAATAATAAATATATTTCCTTAGTATAAAGGATATAGATGGCTGTTGTGGTCTGATACGAGAGAAGTCAGAAATCATATTTTCTGGTCCTTTCTAAAGACTCTTTTTCCATATTTTCAGTTATTTATATTGTTTACCTTCTTAAAACAGTCAATCAACAGGAAGCCAAGGACACTAGCATAGGGCGAAGAAGGTAATGGTCCTTCAGGGAATCGATTGTCCCCAGGAGCTAAACAAGACAGACAACAAGTGTCAGGCAACCGTGAATCTATGTGCCAACAATCAGTAGATTATGAATCTCCCAAATTATTGCTCACGGTTCAGTTAAGAAACCACAATGGAAAGAAACAAAAACATTCCATCAGCAGATTGTGAGCCTTCGAAATCCAAGCGGTTGGCAGATTATGAGCCCTCTCAGATGCACATGAGTGACAGTGAAATTTCAACAGCGTATATTAGCAAGCTTATTTACGGCCAACAGAAATACAAGACTCTTGTGAAGCACTTTATTAATGAATTGATATTTTCGCTCTACAGAGTATAAATTATAAAAGACCATTACTTTTGGATTGGACAAAGTTTTAAATATCAGATCCTTTGTCTCAGCTGAAAATATTAGCATCGTTCTGCCAGCGACTGGAAATCTCAATTAAATCGTTCTCTTAATAGTCAGCAATATGTTTCGAGATGAGACATCTACCAGAGACTGGTTGGGTGATTTTCTTCACTCACAGGTCTGAAAATCATTGTGGCAGCTCGTCATCATGTTGTTTACTTCGAGACATCCTCCTGAACATGAATTTGTGAGAACGGGGAGGGATTTCAGGGTTCCTCTACCTGCAATACTAGATAATTCAGTGTCAGGGAACCCATCTAAGGAACAATATGAATATTGCAGTAGGTTTCTTTAACAGGAATGGGCTGCACCTGGCCGTACAGGGATGGAGTTATCAGATCTTCTGATGATAAATAAATATGAAGAAGATTCGGGCCTGCCCCAAGATGCTGAAACAGGAGAGACAGAAGAGAGGAATCATATCAAGATACGGGAGGTCAACAGGAGGTGGTAGGAGAAATAGCTGAGTTAGTGTCAAGCGGACAGGGAAATCGAGGATGACGAAGTGAAGGGGTTCCTAGAGCTTGTAGAAAGAAAGACCAGCAAATAAAGTCAGGCCCCATTCAATGGATAGACAATGATGCTCATGTCCTTATGGGTGAGGTTAGAAGAAAATAGGGAATGAATATTGCTACAAGTGTCAGAATGAGAAGATCACCAAACAAGGGAAAGTAGAAAGAAATAGAGAAAGGAAAGAGCTGAGGAAGATGTCGATGCACAAGAAAGGAAGGTCAACGTTTTCACCATTATATGAAGATAGTCAGAATGGTGGCAAGGGAGATAAGCAGCAATATCATGGATGAAAGCTAGCAAGGAAATCATGAAGAATATAAGTGCCGTAAGGCTGATTAAATTTTTCACAAAAGCCAACAGGAAGTATGGACAAAGTAAATTATGGAAGAGTAGCTTGACTTCTGTGAAGTATGGAGGTTCTCTCCAGTCTAAGAATTTGTTAATGGATTTTGTGTGTGACTTCACCAGTGTTTATGGCACTTATAAATAAGAGAAGGAGAGAATGTATTTAAAGAAATTCCTGAAGCATCATAGTAGGTTAGGCTGCACTTTGTGTTTAGAAGAAAACTTCCATCGAGCGGTCACTACAGAGAAGAGGCCAGGGGATACGGTTTGTATGAGGCTGAGAGTGAAGACTTCTCAAATCATTGATGAGGCAGGCCTTACTGATGGTTATGCCTGAGCTCTATTTTCTCTGGGTCTGATTTCCAAGATAATCACTCTTTTATCCAGGTTATACTGGTTCTTAATCACTGTGCAATGGGGAGATCACTGCCAAAGGATGAAGGCTTCATGCTTGAGCACGCCAATCTCTGACCACAGGCCTATATTACTGAGGACCAGTGACATGTACGAGGAAGCCCATCTTACAGCCGGAGGAATTTTGGATGAGAGAGGATGGATAACATGATCTAATTTAATTACGAGATTTTGGCGTCACCTAGATGGAGGTAGAGAGGGTTTTTTAATCTCTTTTCTTGTGAACTAAATGCATATATATATATATATATGTGTGTGTGTGTGTGTGTGTGTGTGTGTGTGTGTGTGTGTGTGTTGATTTCCACAACTGAAAATTCAAGGTAACTATTAACTTTCAAAAGAAAACTCTTCCATCATGCGGCCAATCAATTTTATAGGCCTTCCAACCGATTATAGGGGTATGACCTTGGACCTCTTCAAAATTGTTAGTCCCTGTTATCATTTGGATGGCGAGCAAGTTCACAATTATAGATTTAAGAAGGAAACAAAAAGAATTAAAAACAGGAAAAAAAGAGGCAAAAAACCTTCTCTATTTATCAACAGAATACGGAAGGAATCATCATTGATTCCAAAACAGATACTGCAGGTGCATAATAAAGGTCTTCCCCGTATTTCAACAAAGAAGTTGAACGAAAAGAAACACAGGACTGAAGTTCAGATCATGAATGCTGTTGTGACCCTGAATGCATAAAGGCCTCATCTAGAGGGATGTTATCATTGTCAGAACTGAAGGTTCATAACACCAAACGAAGTAACCCAAAGAGGGAAGCGCTGGTCCGCTCAGATCAAGCAAGAGGTAGGCTTAAACAAAGCAAGAGAGGAAAAGCCCAGGCCTGACGCGTATCAATCGTGAATCGGGTCCCCAAATCTCTGGCCATTATAATACAGCACTCTCACAAAACCTACCGTGAGGCGAATGTGATGCAATCATGCCTCAAGAGCATAAATTCAACATCCTATATTCTTCCTACGCATCAATGGCAAAACATCTCAAAAGTGAACTAGCGCCAATTATCGGAGAGAAATTGACCCTCACCTATCACTGGTATCCGCCCCCTTTCGTGTTTTCATCCTCCACCACCCACTGAGTGAGGTAAACCGGGGGGAAATCTCCCACAGCAAATGCCTTCTCCTTCATCATCCTCTCAACGTGCTCCTTCTTCAGCAGGGTCCGCCGGATCGGCGGCCGGTTCCGCCGCTGGTCGCGGGTGTGGTACTTGATGTCGAACACCGTCTCTGGATCGGACGTGGGAACGATGGCCCTGCCGGGGACGGTGGCGGGGCAGAACCTCCGGTACTCCAGAGCCCCCGGTACGGCGTTCCTGTACTCGGGGTGCGAGCAGGGGCCGGTGATCTCCCAAGGCTTCTTGAAGAACCTCCTCAGCGCCTGGAATACGGACTTCGCCCCCGAAGAAGAAGACGATGCTGAAGCCGCCATGGTCAACCGAGGAGAAGGAAGCGGCGGCGGCGGCTGTGTCTCCGGTGGTGGCGGTGGTGGCGGTGGTGGCGGTGGTGGCGTCGAATCGCCCTTTCAGCGCTTCACAAGGTCGTCGATCGGATTTCTCACATCGAAGAATAGACTCCCGTGATATTTCCGGATCTTTTCCTCGGGTCCTTCTGGTACCGATGAACAACACGGGTTATTCTCGGGCCGGATCCGAGCCTACTACGTGTACACTCGTCTCACCTTTTATAAAAAAAATAAATCACGAACGTAAATAAAACGAAAAAACTGAAAGCTTGTTGATCGGTTGACTTCAAAGTCTCCTTGACCGACGCCGGGAGTCAAACTTAGTTAGAGTCCCTGGTCAACGGCATAGTCAACGGGTCGTCCCCTGCGGCCTCATAAAAGAGATAATGGAGTTTTTGAGCCGAGAAATCTTACTGGGTCCATTTATTTTCATTCTACATATTACACAGGCGCACATACGAGATACTGGGCCGTGGGTTCAATTGGGTTCTTCAGGCCCACGTATGTTACCTCTGAAAGAATGCATGGAGAATATTCTAATAATTTATGCGATAAAAATCCAACATATTTTTTGAAAAAATTGAATTATCCTGGTACGAAAGAATAATTTAGTTATACCCTATGCAGAGGGGGAGAAGAGATCTGATGGGGTTATATATTTAAAGACTGTGGGAGCGGGTGTAAGGTTGGTATTTGACAAAAGTCCTTGATGGATGGGCAACTTTTAAATAGAATTAAGTTTGTGGGAAGATTAGAAATAGATGGTTTTTAGAGGGAGAAAGGAAAAAGAGTATCAACAGACTGCTTTTCCTGTTGTGGCTTGTACCCCTAGTAAATAACTTAATTTACTTTTTACCCAAAACTATTATAAATTTGACAACTTTATTCGTAGTTTATTTTATTGCAGGGTTAAATTGGAGAAAATCAAATATGTAAAGGTGCTAATTTGCGCTGTGTCATAAATTAAGGGATGATATGTAAAACATAAAAAAGGTAAGGAGTATTTAAAAATTTTTAAATGTGTGGGGTATATTCGTAAAATGATTCTCCCTCTCATACATCGTTCTCCGTAACCCTTCTGCGTCTAAACCTGCTATAAAACCTCTTCATCGGGCCCTTCCTCCACCTCCTGTTAGATTCGATTCGTTCGGAAGGGAGGCGGCAGGTAAGCTCCCGCTCTCTTCGGCGACAGGATCCTTGGTTTTATGTTGTTTTTTTATTTATTTTGGGGCCACGGGGGAGATTCCCTGCAGCGTGTTTTTGTTTCAAGGCTCTGCGTATTCTGATCCGTGTACTACCTCTGGTTTGTGATCCTATTGCATTGCCATTTTAGAGGGCGGATCGAGGTGTGTTGGTGAGGTTTGTTTGGGTTGGGCAATCCTCTTGTGGGGTTTAGTTGGGCTCGGGGATCGACCAGAGGGTTTTGTACTTCGAGTGGAAGTTTGGTTCGATTTCCCTTGTTTTTCTGTGCTTCAGGGTTTTTTATGTGGTTGTCTTTGGGTGGGGTAGATGATGGATATGTTGGTTCAAGTTGTCAAAAACTGTTTTACTAAGATTAGTTCTCCGTGCGCACCTGTGTTTCATCTGGGTACGATGAAAGACCGTGCCCCCCCCCCCGGACCTCTGGGATCCATTAGGGAGGTTAATCCATGCGTGTTTTTAGATCAATTTTCCCACCGTCGAGAATTAGTGGGATTGCTTACACGTTGGCTATTGAAAGAATCACGTCTGACGTGCATATTATAGTATAGTCAAACAGAAAAATGATAAATAATTTAATATCCTTTGATGCCTGACTACTACACAATAACTCCCTTTGAACCTGCAGAAATGGCGTCACAGAATGGGCATCTTGCTTCTCTTCCCGCTGCACATGTGGTATGCACTATTTTTTTCTCAATCAAGTATCTTCTTAGACAATAATATCGTCATGTATCTCACTTTTGCATATTTACTCGACAGATTGGTAAAGCTTTTGTAGAACAATATTACAATATTCTCCGTCTCTCCCCAGAGATGGTTCATAAATTCTACCAGGATGTTAGTCTTCTTGGCCGCCCTGATCTTGATGGGACTATGTCATCAGTGACAACAATGCAAGTAAGGTTTCCTTGTCATCTTTTGTTTCATATAACGAAAATGCTTTTGTTTTTATTACGATTTTTTCGGCGGACGCTTGGATCAGAACATGGCATTCATTCTATCTTCAGTAGCGTGCTTGGCCCTTATACTTTTAATAGTTTTCTTCCTAACCATTTTGTTTTCTCTCTATACTTCTTTAAATTTATCCTTTTTTTTTCATTTTCGCCGATTATGGAGAGAAGTTTATCCTATTATTTGCATGGGATTGTATGTATGTGTGTGTGTGTGTTAACTGCTAGTTAGCCCCATCACATTTTCTGCTGGATTGTTCTTCGCAGTTATTTGAAGGACGCATAGGTGCAATTTATGGACATAATTGCTTTGATAGGTCACATTCTAAAGTAATTTCAGGGTTTGGTAATAAATAGTCGATTTTTTCTACCGGTGTATGCATTGCTAACGTGCTTTATTTCGGCATGTGCTGTTCATGAAGATGTGTAAAGCATAAAATGTGTTAATTTGAATTGCTGTAGTTTGCTATATCATTTCATTACAGCTGTGATTATTTATTCCCTTGTAAATTCTTTCTGGAACCTCATGTGTCATTATATTTCCATTCTTGTTGTCAAAATAATGTGGTGGTTGGTGCAGGGCATTAATGAAAAGATTATGTCTCTGAAGTATGGGGAATACAATTTTGAGATAGAAACTGTTGACGCCCAACATTCTTTCAAGGAAGGAGTGATTGTCCTTGTAACTGGATGCCTCACTGGGAAGGCTAATATTCAAAAGAAATTTACTCAATCTTTTTTTCTTGCTCCGCAAGACAATGGAGGCTACTTTGTCCTGAACGACGTTTTTAGGTATGTTAGTAAAAGTCAAGCTAAGGAAGACAACAATATGGCAGAGAATGCCACCCACGACTTTGCAACCAACACTCGTGCTTCACCAGATCCAGGTGACTCAATTGGATCTTGCAATTTTTTGTTACTTATGATTCATGGTCATTTGAACTCCAGTAGTTTGCCTATACGTCAACTTGAGTCATAGTTTGAACTTTGAACTGGTGACAGTGTCTACGATTCCAAGTTCTGAGGACATTGAGAATGCTGAAGTCAACCAACTGGAAAATCTGGGATCAGTGGTAGAAGAGGATCTTGGTGACATCCTTGCTCAGCCAAGTGAACAGGATGTTTCCCCAGTTTATGAGGTGACAACCACTGTTCAAGAAGACGGACCTAAGAAGTCCTATGCATCAATTGTGAGTTGTTGTAGCCTAGTGGAAATTATTTTTTCGTTGTAGACTAAAACTATTAATGAACGAGTATCTTCTAGATATTATTACCACATATTAATAAGGCAGTTAAAGCCCTGTTATGCGGATGCCCCTCAGTAAGCCTTTGGTCGGAAAACAAGCCATGGCCTGTGTACCTAAAATGTCAGGAGATATTGCTGGAAATTTAATAATATTTGCTGAAATTTAACACGGACCCATAGGTCAGGCGATATTGGACTACATAATGTCACTCTTTTGATGTAAAGGCATGCTGCATAATTTTTTTTAGTTTTCCTGTTTTAGTCATCAGAAATATGTAACAAGTTGTAACGAATATGCTATAAAATTTGCGCACATATATTTGTATTTTTTTGTCATTATGCTCCTAATTCTTTACAAAAGTTGGAGAATCTCTGGTGTCCTGCAAATACCTTAAATTTGATTTCAATCATACATGTTTAATTTTCGTCAATTACTCATTCCAGTTGGATTTCTATGTTTTTAACAGGTTAAAGTTATGAAGGGAAGCACTCCTGCTGTTTACGTGCCTACAACCAAGGCCAAAGTGGCACCCATAAAAACTGAGAAACAAGTTCGTGTGGCAGCTCCTGTTCCTACAGTAGAATCTGAATCTCCCTCGAAGAACGACTTGCAGCAAGAGACAAGCAATTCCCAAGAAGGTTTATCAGATATCCTGTAATCTTTTCGTTTCCAGTTATAAAGCCTTTTTTCTCATATTACTCATGCGACGACAGAGGAAGGGCATGCAGTTTATGCCCGAAACTTGCCTTTGAATGCGACCCCTGCCCAGGTTGAAGAAGAATTCAAGAAATTTGGGACCATTAAACCTGGAGGTGTTCAAGTTAGAAATCACAGGGTCAGTTTGCTTCCATCTATTAATTCATCGGCTTCCATTCTTTTGTGCCTTACTCTCCGCATAAGTTTCATTTTTCTATGGTGTGTTTGTATCCACAGCAATACGGGTATTGCTTCGGTTTTGTTGAATTCGAATCTGAGAGCTCCATGCAAGCAGCAATTGAGGTATGACCTCGTACCCAACCTGCTTCTTCACCCCTCTCTTCTCTTTCTATGTTTCTATTTTAGTGGCCGTTTCTTTTCCCTCCTTTCCTGTTCTAGAGGCTTTGAATGTCTACATCCAGCGTTCATGTTTGACATTACTAATTAAGTCATTTTTCATGTTTCTGTCGTTTCGCATTTTATATAACATGGTAAATTGACTAAAGAAGGATAACGGCATTATTCGTGAGTAATAGATAATTTCAGTTCTATCAACCTCTGGTTCCGGGTAGAACTGATTGTGTTTGAACATTTCTTTTTTCTATTCCCACTAGCAATTAAAATTCTCTCATTGTCACTGCTGCAACCCGACAAATTGTTGAGCTCTAGCATCTAAAGCCTATTCGCTTCTAATCTTCAGACTGTCGGAGAATCTTTGAACCTAGGTGATTTTTCTTTTCTTTGTTTTTCTGAAACTACGCATTCATGGGTTTTATGCTTCTGGCATGGTATCTTCTGTTCTTTTATGGAAAATAATCAGAAAAACTCTGCCCATGTTTCTTTTAGGACAAACGATCAAAGTTTTTCTCTTGAAAAAAATTATATACCCTTTAATTCGAGCCTAATCTGTAGATTATTGGAGAATCTTTGAAGCCAGAAACTTCTCTGTGTTTTCTTTTTTTGGCTGGAACTTAGCTTTCATGGATGTCAAGTTCCAGTTGACTAATTAGGAACAAGGTGAGCTAAGCCAGCCTTGGCTACTTCAGGAACAACAGTTCACGGTCGTTATGGAGAAACCCTTCACAATGGAGATTACATTATATGAATTTATTTATGAAAAACTAAAAATATGTTGCAGCCAGTTAATTTCTTTTTCTTTTATGACAGAATAATAGAAGCCTGTATCCTATCTCCGTTTTAAGTCAGGTAGTCATAGTTTCTTTTATGATAAAATATACTGATCTATAATTTCATCTGAATTTTCAGGCCTCCCCTTTCGAAATCTCGGGTCAACGCGTTATTGTCGAGGTCAAGAGAACCGTGACACGAGGTAGGCCTCTCTCTCTCTCTCTCTCTCTATTTATATATATATATAGATAGATATATCTATGTTGGGCTTATCCGCATGAAATTTGTTCATATGCCAAGTCAATTCTGATGGGAAATAATCCATCACAAGTGGGCTGACCGCGGGAAAAGGATGACCCCTGATCTGTTCTTACCTTCGACAGTGGGCGATGGTGGTGCCAGCAGCCCCGCCGGCGGCAGGGGCCAGTTCTCTCAGGGGCCAAGAGGCGGCAGTGGCAATGGCGGAGGCTTCCGAGGCGGCAACAGATTCCGCAACGACAGCTTCAGGGCCCGAGGAAGCTACACCGGGGGGGCACAAGGCTACACTCGGATGGAATTCAGGACTCGGGCCACCTCCCCCAGCCATGGCGGCGGCCGCGGCCCCGCCACCGCCCGCAGCAGCGGCTCGGCCTTACGCCCTGCTGGGATGATCAGCCAGACTGCTGTCCCAGCCTGAGGAAGAAGAAGCCTCGCTCCTTGAGAGTCAGCACCACCTTCTAGTGAGAGATTTTCCTTTCTGAAGGCCATTTGGTTTCTTGGTCTCTTTGCTTGTTATGGGTCCGGTTAGTTCTTTCTGGGTGGGGCCGTTTTTCTGGTGGGAGGCCTCTGGAAGATTAACTAGGACGTGTTGACCATTCATTCCCTCTCTTCTTTCTCTCTCTAATTTTATTTCATTCAATTTTTTTATTTTTATGTCCTTTTCCTGGGGTGAAGTCTGTGGCCTAAGAAATGAGGGGGAGGTGGTAGGGAGTAGCTTAGGATGAAGAAATTTCCCCAATTGGGCTTCATTGATTGGATGCCATTTTATGAGATTACTCAGCCTCAGCCTACATTAACAGATAGGCAAAGCTCTGGAGAGACTCAAGACAGCGGATTTAGTGAGATGGATGGAGACCAGTGGGTATAAACGAGTGGACCTAGTGAGAGAGAGAGAGACAGCAGCACGTATAAACAGATGAACAGGGGTCTAGAGAGAGGGCAGGCAGCTGATTTAATGAATTCTGAACGATGGTAAAGAGGCATTTATCATGTTCTATGTTACTTAGACGTCCCATCAAAGATGATGAAGGTAGTGTGGCCACATCTCTTAGCCAGAGTGAACCCTCCCTTTAGAGTAAAAAGCTTCCACAAGCCCTCACAGAGGGGAAGAAAGCTCCTTGGACGTCTTCTATTCACCTGCTTGCCAACATGACCAACACAACTACCAAACAACTACCAAAGCCAAGGCGGAAACAAACTGTGATTTCATACATTTCATACATACAAAGGCACGTTGTAGTTGAGCCGCCCCCACTAGCTCAGTTGGACCTTTGAAGACTGGAGACGAAGTTGGAGGCGGCGAATGCCGCTGAGCCGCCGAGCACCGCCACCGCAACGACAGCGACCTGCAGGACGACCTCCCATGGGTACTGCTCCGGCACGAGGTACACACAGAGCGGCCCTGCCACCAAGAGGACCAAGCTGAGCCCCAAAAGCGCCCCCGGTGTGCCCGGGTCAGTGGCGGCGGAGAGGATCCCCAGCTCCTCCGCCTTGGAGAGCAGTCCCAGCTTCTCCACTGCCGATAGCGAGAGCCCGAATCCCTCTGCTGCCGACAGAAGCCCTGCCTTCTCCGCCTTAGTCAGTAGCCTCAGCTTCTCCACGTTGGTCAACAGCTTGATTGGGCTGCCCCCACCTTTGACTTCCCGTGGCCCGGGCTCCCCCACTGGGAAGACCGTTGACCCCTGCAATATCACCACGCCAGCAGCAGAAGGCAGAGACAGAATCGATCCCTCAGTCAGGATACATATGATTCAAATATCCAAACTCAGTGGAAAAGATTAAATACAATCATAATAATTAGATATTCAAAAAATTAACACATGAAATCATGATGTAATTAAGTTAAGTTAAATACATCCTTTTTTTCTGAGAGCATCTCATCTTTCCTTACACACCACGTTGTCAGATTTTTAGAAATATCAAGAAGAATAGGGAAATGGAATCCCTAATAACCTTGGCTTTATATTATTATTATTAATAATAATAATAGTAACCAGATGTTCATAGAAAGGCACAATCCTAGAAGAGGAAGAAACTAAAGGAGTGGTTATGAACGGAGTGATCAAAATTAGCGCATTTGAAACAATAAATTCAGTTGATAAAAATACGCTTCTGCATCATCTTTCCTCACCCTACCTGTGGCGAGATTTTCATAAATAACATGAAGGAAAGGCAGACATAATCCCTCATAGAGATAAATGTAGGCCTTCTAAAACTTATCACTAATTTAATAATAATAATAATAATAACAACGCATAAAACCTAAGACAGAAAGAAACCAAACGGGGACCAAGAACTCCTGTGATTAAAGGACACACATTTTAAAAAATAAAAAATGAAGTAAATAAAGATCTATTTTTGTAAGTTCTAGGCACGTATCAACTTGGTATCATATTCTTCATCACTAAACTCATCTATTTCTCTCACTTTCTTTTTCCTTCTGGTTTCCTCCATGATCAAAGGTCTGCAAACGAAGAACCCTCCCGTACCCTTATCATCTGGGAATTCTGTGTGCTAGCCAGAAGTCCAGCCATACTTTAGATATTTATTTTTTCAGGCATGTTTTCTCCTCTCCCGTTCTTCATCTCTCTTCTCTCTTCTTCTCTGTTTCATTCCACTCCATCTGCATTGCGGACATCGCAGGCTGCAGTAATGTCCACGTGAATTACTTTTCACCTCTCTCCGTTCAATTACTTTAAATGATCATCTTTCCAGCCATCTACCCTCCAGTAGAAAAATTTCCATGTTTTTCCATACAAAGCTTAATCATTCCTTACCCCCCAACAAGCACTGGCTAGATCCTGACAGAACAGATGAGACAATAGGGCCTCAGTCAATCTTCTCTTAAGAAAAACGAAGAAAATGATGATGATAATGATGGACGGGGAAGCCAACACAGAGGGGCTAGGAAGGCAGCGTACAGCAATATTTCCTCCATGAGGAACAGGAGGTTTATCGGTTGAACAGAAATCCCTCATTGGGAGGATCTAAAATCCCAATCTGAAGCAAGGATAACGCGAAGATAATATAGAAAACTAAACTCGCAAACTATACAGCAAAGCGGCGCGGAAACCAGATTTCTGTAACGAAAGGCAGTAATTATATTAGGTTCCGAAGAAATCCTGCACTGGAAGGATCTCCAAGCCCTTCGGAAGCAAGGAAAACAACAAAAACGTCCGAAAAACGGAGAATCGACAACCGAAACTCGAAAACGACAGCAAGTAAATTCGATGACACTCCCGCTGGAAGTAAGACTCCACAGGTCAGAGGATGAAATCTTCAGACAATCCCGCTGACGCAAAAAACTTCAGACCGACACCCAGACGAATCCTCGGATGGAGACCCCCTCACCTTCTTGGTTCCCACAGTTCCGGTCGCGGGCTTCTGGGTGGCCATCGCCCTGGTGAGCAACGGCGAGGAGCGAGAAGAGCACGAAGCCAACATTGTCCCTCCGCCGCCGCCGCCGCCGCTGCCGCTGCTGCAGACTCTCTCCCTCCTATCTCTCTCTCTCTCTACACTCACTGGTCTTCTCCTCTGTTCGGCTCCCAGCCCTCTCCATTTCTTAGGAAGATGAGGGGTTTGTAGTGGAGCCACGTGGCGTCATCTAAGTGGCTCATCTTATTTCCGGTTGGTAGGAGCCGCCGTATGACGTCAGTCCTACCTGCGAAGGCCCATTAACGCGAAGGCCCGTGCCTACTGAAAACGTCCGAGGCATACGTTATTAATCCCTGATTCTTCGCAATTTCTTCGAAGCCTGCCACCTCAGCTGCCCAGTGCATCCTTCACATGAATGCCACCTGGCTCTCTCTCTCCCTCGTTTGGCCGGGGCCTTTTCTCCGTAAATGGGCCCGACCCAGGTCATGTAATAAGGGCCAAGCCCACTTCCCAGGCTTTCTCTACATCCCGGGGACGTTGCCTTCAGACGATGTATTATCCACATTATCAATTCAGTATATATATATATATATATTAAAGAATTACCTTTTAATTTCAAGGAGAAATTAGGGTTTCCTCCATCATTTTGCCCAGATCACATGCATCCATTTTATAGAAGAAAAAGGGTTTCCTCACGATGATCATTTATCAATTTTCCACCATTTTCCAGGTTTTCGTTTCATCGATGATGGTACCCAAATTACGTGCATCTAGAAACTAATGCGAGGAAATAAATAAACAGGTAGGGGGGTTTTTACACTTACAGTTGCTGCCGCAACCCTTCTGACTGCAGGAAAGCATGGGAAGTCAACCGAACAGAGAGAGAGAGAGAGAGAGAGAGAGAGAGAGAGATTTCCCAGAGTCAGCGATGAATCTGCACAGCTGCCCTCCTTTGCGGGCTCCTCAGCAGCTCCCCGTCAACGGGGGAGGGGGAGATGACAGAAGAATGTGAGATATGTTACAAATATAGCAACTTCGGCTCGGTCAAACTGGTCAACCTGGGAGATCATCCTCGGCTTCCTAGGAATTCGGGGGCTGGAGTTGCTTGAGCCGCTGAACGACCTGCTTCATGGTCGGCCTGATAGAGAGAGAATCCACGGTGCACATCACCGCCAAATGCAGAGCTTCCACAAGGTCTTCATGGGGGCTGGCGTCCCAGAGCCCCTCGGTGAAGAACTCTTGGTGGCGGCCCTGCTGGTGGAGCATGGCGGCCCACGCCACGATGTTGAAGCCATTCCCGTAAGGGGAAAAGGATGGGTCAAGAGCCTTCTTATCAGAGAGCAGCTCCAGCAGCACAACGCCATAGCTGTACACGTCGGCCTTATCGGAGACCCTGCAAGTCATCGCATATTCGGGGGCGACATAGCCGAAGGTGCCCGCCACGCCAGTCGTGGCGTGGGTTTCAGAGTTCCCCAGCAACCGGGCCAGGCCAAAGTCCGAGAGGTAGGCGTTGAGCTCATTGTCGAGGAGGATGTTGCTGGGCTTGACATCCCGGTGGAGAATTCTGGGCACACAGTGATCGTGGAGATATGCCAGGGCACGAGCGACATCAAGGGCGATCTTGTGCAGCATCCGCCAATCCACCGCCCGCTTCGACCGATCGCGGATGAACTTTTCTAGGTTTCCGCCGGGGAGGTAATTGTAGATGAGGAACATCTCTGATTCACTGACATGGTAGCCAATGAGGGTGACGAGATTGGGGTGGCGCCACCGTCCGAGAGTCTTGATCTCTGCATGGAATTGTTGGACCCCTTGAAATCTCCCCACTGAGAGTCTCTTGATGGCAACGAGCACTCCCGGGGAGATCTCAGCTTTGTAGGTGGCTCCAAAGCCGCCGCTGCCGATGCAATTGCTGGCATTGAAATTCCCAGTCGCACGGACAACGTTCTCATAGGTCAGAGGGACCCCAATGTCGGTGAAGACGGTGACCTCCCTTCGGCCTGATGATCGAACTGCAGAGCGAGGAGTGCACCTCCTGGTATATATGTAGAGGACGATGAGAGCCAACAGGATGGAAACAATGGCAGCTGCAGAAGTTATTGAGGCGATCTCTATGGGGCTGAATCCATGGCTGTCTTTGGTAATTGGGCTCTCCGGTGGGGAGGTGCCGTATGATAGAGACCTCCCACTTTGGCCTTCTAACTCTGGTGGCGGAATGGAGAGAGATGGCAGATGGCAGGGCTGAAGAAAGGGGTTCCCCACAGTGCCGTCGCAGATTATTCTGCTGATATTCGGGGGGATTGGCCCAGATAAGTTGTTGAATGAGACATTGAAAATCGAGAGTGAGCTCACGTTGGCAACAGCAGATGGGAGCTTCCCGGAGAGCTTGTTATTGTTGAGCAGGAGAACAGAGAGGTTCCTCAAGCTTACAAGATCATCCGGGATCTCACCTGAGAGTGCATTTGAAGAGAGGTCTAGTACCCTGAGAGAGTGCATCTGGCTAATACCGAAAGGGATTTCACCGGTCAGATTATTTCCTGCCAACAGGAGATATTCCAACTCCTTCAGCTGACTGAAATGGACAGGAATCTGACCCTGCAGAGAGTTCCTGCTCAAGTCCAGGCCAAGAAGTGAATGTAGAGACCCAAAATCCTGGGGAACTTCTCCGGTGATGTGATTTCTAGAGACGTCCAGAAATCTGAGTGATCCGCAGGCAGCAGCAATATTCGTGGGAATCTCACCATGAATCAGGTTGTCACCGATGTTAATGAACAATCCATCCAGAGCCTTGCATTGGTCAAATAAAGTACCTGGAAACGACCCAGCAAGGCTGTTACTGTCAGCCAAAAATGCGTAGCTTGTCTGCTTCCCAAATCTGCCAGGGATAATCGGCAAAGCTGGCAATGGGCCCGTGAAATTGTTGCCTCCAAAGCTGTGAAAAACTGTGGGCCCGTTGGAACCAACAAGAGACTGTAGGCTTCCAGAAACAGGCTGATATGCAAGGAATCTGGAATATGCCGATGGCAGGTCGTATGGGAGGAACTTGATTGAACGGGTAGCATTGCAAGAGAATCTTGGAATCGAACCTGACAAGAGATTTTCACTGACATCAAACACATCCATACAGGGCACAGGAAGTTGCTCCTTCAACCAGCCAGTCAGCTTGTTATAGCTTATGTTCAGGTACCTAAGATTCCTGCATTGCTCAAACACAACAGGAACCTCCCCAGTGAATAGATTCTGAGCGAGGTTGACCACTTCCAAACCCTCACAAGCTCCCCAGTTCGTCGGAATCGGACCTTCCAATGAAGATCTTGGGGCCCAGAGCACCCTGAGCTTCGGAAGACTCGTGATGCTCTCAGGAATCCCGCCTTGGAAATAGTTGAAGTCACCGCCGCCATCATCTAGGCTCTCCCTGAAGGTAACCAGGTGGTAAGGGTTTGACAAAACAAGAACAGATAACTCCTTGCAATTCCCAATCTCCACCGGTACAAAGCTGCTAAGGCTGTTCCTCGACACGTCCAACACCCGAAGATTCGTCAGCCGCCCAATCTCTGCCGGAAGGATGTCCTCCAACATATTGGAGAACAACAGCAAGGATCGAAGCTCACTGCAATTCCCGAGGTTACCAGGAATTCCCCGAACCAGAAGATTTCCCGACAGATCAAGGTGCTTAAGATTCCCACACCCGTCTCCAAGCTCGCTTGGGATAGATCCCACGAGACGGTTGAATGACAGATGCAACTCACTCAGTTTCGGTAATCCTCCGAGAAAAGCGGGTACCGTCCCGTTTATCTGGTTGCGAGAGAGGTCCAGAATCTCCAAATTCAGGCAGTCAGAGAGGGAAGCGGGGATCTTACCGCTGATCTGGTTGGCACCCAGGCTGAGCACTCGCAGTCCCTGCGGAAACCGGGAAGGAAGGGCTCCCGAAACAGAGCTCCCTTCCAGATCGAGCACCTCCAGGTTCCGCAAGCCCCAGATCTCTCCAGGTATCTCTCCCACGAAACCATGGAAAGGTAGCCGAAGCACCCTGAGCTCCGACAGCTGCCCGATAGCAGGGGAAATAACCCCCTCCAGTCCCTCCGACTTACCCGAGCAGACTCTCCAGAACGGCCATGACCACATAAATGCACCAGTGCCGCATCTCCCAGAAACGCTGAGCTCCACAACCCTAGATCTCGCGTCGCACGAAACTCCCGGCCACGAGCACGCGTCCGACCCCCGGGAGTCCGTCCATAGAGCCAGCAATCCCGCCGGATCAGACCTAACTGAGCTCTTGAATTGGAGCAGCGCCGCCCTCTCCGCCGCCCGCTCGTCCACCTCCGCAGCAGAGCCGACGGCCGACGGCGGCGGCATCGACACGAGCAAACACAACAGCAAGCGCGCCACCAGGAGAAGAACCGAGGTCCAGCGGCGCCGGTGCATCCCGCCCGGCCACTGCATTCTCCGCCGGAGCGCCGCCAGTCACCGCCCTGCGCCGCCCTGGCCACCACCAGCTGCAGCAGGAAGGCCCCAAACCCTAATCCCCTCCGAAACCATCACAAGCTCCAAAGCGGGAGAGACGGCAGAAGCCAGGGAGGGCGCGATAGACAAAGCCAAATATATACCTGTCCCATCTACAGGGTTCTTTTCGCAAAAATCCCATCCCTCTCTCGTTCTGTAAGGTCGACACTAGCATTGTCTCCCAATATTTACCACGATGCCACTGCCACTCCGCCACCTACCAATCATTTTTATTTTTTATTGAAGCAGCTATCCTATCCGTACAGTTCGTCTTTGTCGTTTTCCGGTCCGGTCTCCTTTGGGCGCGGTCGTTATCGGGTTCGGATCCAGGGAATTTATCATCAACAGTGAACCTTCTGGACGCCCACGTCAGTCTTCCGTCACAACGGTCCCCTCATCCGAGCTGTCAGATGGACGCTGACGAAGGACGGCAGTTGAGGTGCCCTGATAGGCCCACCCCGCCCAACACGCTCAGAATATTCATAAATTAAGCTAAATTCGGGTTGAGAAAAAAAATATTTCCGTCATAATACTCCCAATGGGGCCCAGTATCTTCGAATGCCACGTCGCCACACCACGTATTTCGGGCCCAGATTTGGGCCCACCCCGTAAAGACGAGGATATTCTCCAAAAATTAATTGCTTAAAATATTTCTAACAAATCATTTGAGGCAGGCGGGGTGAGAACAAGAGAGAGATTCTTCAATGAGCCACGTCACCATCCACGTGAGGGATAACCATCTGACTCCCAGGTCAGCATTTCCAGCCCATGGAACCCATTGACAGCCCCATAAAAAAAAAAGCGCTCTCTGCATTTTCGTATTACTATAAAAAGCTAAAAAAACTCAAAAAACTCAAAAATAGTATTTTTTTAGACCATTTTTTCTGGAAAAAATCCATCTCCCAGAAGCCAAAAGACGTCCATATCCCCTCAATCACAGCACCAAGAAAGGAAAAGGCACAAGCAAATGAGTTCTCCAACTAGCTGAACAGAACGGATCCACATAGGATAATATATATGTATATATATATATACAAACCATGTTACTTAATACAAGGAGATTTAATCCATAATTTAGTATATACAGCAGGAGGCCGCAAAGGGATACCTGATCCACTCAGTCTCCTGCTCAGCTTCCTTCCACAGAGACCAGCTCCAGACCCAACCTAACACAGGCTTTCATATAATTACAGAAAAATCTTGTAGAAGAAGATGAAGAAGAAAAAGAGTACTCACCTATTGCAGGGGATGGGAAGGCAAGGCCACAGTTTCTAGCCCAACTCGTCTGTGGATAACATGAGAATGAATTAATTCAGCAGGAGAAGCCAGAAGATTGGCCAGAAAAAGGAAATGATGCTGTTCCAGAAGCAGACCCAGGTCAAAAGACCGAACCTTGAGCGGGCTCAGGCGTTGCACAAGTCCTCCTGTTGTGTCCCATCTGGTTGCAGCGGGTGCAGTGCAGCGGCCGAACCTCCTTGAAGGGCCTGCAAACCTGCTTCAATCTGGGTGGATCGTCTACTTCGCCCCACGCTTGGACCTCTCCATGGCTATCCTCGGCCTCAGAGGCATCCCCTACCAGCTCTGATTTAAGCTCCTCCAGAGCCTTCTCCCGGCCAAGGAAAGCCCGTTTGTAGGTGACGACGACCCCGTACTCTCGATGGATGTCGTTTAAGATCTCTCGGGGCTTGTAGTTCCGATTTTCCCGGAGCCTGTCTCTGATGCAGTTGGCGATCCACTTGGCCGTTGCCTGTCGATGGCCCACATTTTCCGACCTCACGCACGTGTGATCGGGCATCAGGGTCCTCACTCTGAATGTGTTGACCTGCGGGAGCTTCGATGCGTGTACACGCCACCTGCAACCCTCTCCAGCACACCTGCAGCACGGCCACGAAGGTGACTATTCAGCAAGTCTGGAACTAGAACGATGATGATGTTGTCTAGACAATTAGATGACTATGCAGCAATCCAGGAATAATTAATAATACCAGGACCTAATGTTTCTATTGTCAACCTTCTTTGTACTAGTGTCTTCATCTCTGTGTAGACTCTCTAAAGGGCTTGGTTCCTTTAGGTTGGTCCCTGGTTGGACAAGCTCGGACTATAGAAGAATACTGTTTTTCCTCAATAGGAAATCTTCTGATCAGCGATAATAAAGACAGCATGGAAGAATGATCAATGATCTGTCAGCTAGTATATCCAAAGCTCAGCAGAAGATTCGGTTTCCTCGCTCAACACTTTTTGTGCAGGAAATTTTCAACAGGAGCAGTTCAGCACAATCGTGGGTGATTCCCCAAAGGAAATAAAACATTAAACTGAGCCAATCTGAGTAAGAAATTATGTATTTTACCAATGATGCAGATGCCATTCTTATATGGTCAACTGCTTAGCTGAGGAGGCTTCTCGTAACTGAAGCTCTTAATGTACCCAGTTGGGTTTTTACTTAGAGAGATTAAATACATCAGAGGCAATAGTTCGACTCACATCTACCTGGCAGTGACACGCCGCTGGTCAGACCGGATCATGTGGAGCTCAAAATTGGCGGCGATCGCCACACTGGTGAGGGCATTCCGGAATGTCTGCACATCTTCATACTCTTGGCCAACACTGAGAGACTCTGAATCTCTCAGGAACATCTTGCAGATCATGCTCGAATTAATCGCCGGTGGCTGACCATGATCCCCCCTGGAAGATGTTGCAGAAGTGGTGGGACCGCACCAGCTCGCAAGACGTGATTGACCCGGCAAGGGGATGACAGAATCTCTGCTCATGAAGGAAGTGAAGAGAAAAGAAATGTGAAAACTTAGCTGGATGAATAGCTAAGAAATCCAAGTTTTCTAAATTCTTATGATAACATCTAATCTCACTGCTGTTGCTACAGAAAGAGAAATCTCCTAATGATGATCCGAAAAGGGTGTAGTAATGGGATCAGAATATTTTCCGGGGATGAATTGGCAGTGGATTATCAATTTCTACGCGTTTATAAAATTGACGAGAAAGGAAATCAGGGAGGTTCGCCGAAAGAAGAGAAAATGAATATGGGGATGGATGGATAATTACCGAATGTCTTCATTTGCAGTGCTGATCAGCTCAGTCTCCAGTGTAGGAACTTCACTGACGCTGAAGCCGATGCTGGCAGCTCCGGATTCAACGTCTTCCTGATCCAACTCCTTGTTCTGGGTTTTATCTGTGAACAGAAATATGGGGATCTTGTGGCTGATGTCAAACTCCTCCATCATGTTCCTCATATCATCATCAGACTCCACCGAGACAAGCGTGGAATCGTACATCCCATAGTCCGGAAGCCGGAATTTTATATCAATGGCGTCCTGGTCAATGTTGCAGAGCTCCGACATCTTCGCCCGCACCGATCCAAAGCTCGCAGAGCGTTCGATCGAGACCAGGCGCGTCTTCCCCCCTACGTAGTACGGTTTCCCGCCCTCACTCACGAAATCTCCCCCGAAGCTGCAGAGCAGCTTCGCCCTCTCCCCCGCCATCTCCCCCCCACCCCCCACCCCCCCTCCTCCTCCAGTAGTAGATCCCGAACTCCCTTACTTTCCAACGACGATCAAATCATCACTCGGAATCAACCACTCGGGGTAGGTTTTCGGCAAACAACAGTGATAATCCATCGCAAAACCTCCCGCGGAACCCTAAAGAACCCCGGAAAAACCCTAATTCTCACATTCCAGGCAGCCAAAATGGAAAGGGAGACGGATTGCGACAAAATTTGAGCTCATTGTGGTGGTTTCTCCGGGATTTCTGATCGATCTGCGGCAAAGATAGATCGACAGTTGAAGAGAACTCAGAGAAGAATCGAACAAGCTTCGACGCCATCATCCACCAGGTGGCCGCCTCCGCCTCCGTCGGAGCTCGACGGAACCCCGGCTGCAGAAGAAGACGGGCAGCCGATGCATAAGAGGGCGGACATAGCCGGTTCATCTAGGCAGAAACGGATTTCTCCCAGAAATCGATTTCCCGAGCCGGCCCGTTCCACGGGAAATCGATTTACAGAACCGCTTTCAGCAGATACTTTTTCTCCGGGTCCACCGACTCAAGGCTCATCTCATCTGACGGCTAGGATATGCGCACGTTACCGTAGGAGCCGCGTATCACCGTCCACTGTGTCCTATAAAAAACCACGCTTCTTCACCTTCACAGCTTAAGCCCTCCTCCCCGCTGTGGAAGACTGCTGAGTAGGGTTTTCTGCCGGGCGGGGGAGAAGGCGTGGAGTGAAGCTACGCGAGGTGGTTTGATCTTTCTTTCCGAGCTTTATATTCGGTTTCCATACTCTATCAAGCGATCGGCGGTGATCGTTTGTTTTTTTGTGCTACTGATGTGCGACCATAATCTGAGTTTTCTCTGCGGCCGGGTTTTTGCAGGGTTTTGCTTGTATATCTCCGTCTTTCTTCTTTTTTTCATTATTTATCGTTCCTAACTATGATCTTGGACGATGTCCAGGTATTGAAGGGTTTTGTACTGCTCTGTTCATGTTGTTAATTTTGTTGATACTCTGTGTGTAGTTTTCCTTGTTGTCGAGGGATGTTTAATGCTATTTTTTAGGTGATCGATTATGCACTCCAGTTATCGTTTTCTACGTGGATATGTTGTTACGTGGAGTTCTGCATATTATCACCTTTTCTATAAGAAAAGTGATAGAAAAACTGTCGTTCTTGTAGTTTTCAATATGTTGACTTCTAGTGCGTTTCATAGAAGATTATTGTATCTGTGGCTTCCATTGACTGCAACATATAAGTAAGATGGATGTTTCTTGGGCTCTTTACCTGTATTTTCACAGCAATGGCATTCACAAAAAACATTGGGAATCTGCTTAAACAAGCGGCATCTTCAAGTCCATCTTTATTCCAAGCAATACGATGCATGTCCTCCTCAAAACTCTTTATCGGAGGTAAGAATCACCCCTCTGTCGGCATTTCTAATGTTAAATCCTTCCAGCTTTCCCTGAGAGGTTGTAGACGTTCTCTATTGATATGCTCTCTAGGCTGTATGTGCTTCTATCGTTGCTTTCTTGAGCGGCCTATGAACTGTCTGCTTCTTTTCTCGTAGGGCTCTCATACAATACTGATGACCAGAGTTTAAGAGAAGCATTTACTAGCTATGGGCAGGTCATTGAAGGTAGATGGAAAGTCCCCTTGCTGTGTTATCTTAAGCATCTGTATCCCACAGGAGGGCTAATCTGAAATGCCTTTGTACAGCAAGAGTTATCATGGATCGTGAAACGGGTAGATCTAGAGGATTTGGCTTTGTGACCTTCACATCCAGTGAGGAAGCTTCTGCTGCTATCAGCGGAATGGATGGAAAGGTACTTTCGTCGTAAATATTTTATTATCAAGTTCAGAAATGAATTGCACATTGCGCTATCTGTCTAAGATGCGCATCCTAGGTTCCTGATACGGTTTGAGAATGTGATATCTGCATATTTTTTGGCTTCCGATTAGATGCTTTTCCCGCTCATTTGTTGCATCCTACACCTAGTTCTTCTCACATTAGCGATAAAATTAGTTAGTTTTCCATTTCAACTGAGAGAAAAGCGTCAGCTCCATCTTATTGGGTACCATCGGAAGTTTCTATTTTCCCAGCTCTGGTCCCTGCCACTACGGATCCCTTGGCTGTAGCTTTGGTGATAAATTTTAACTTTTTTTTTACACACATTAATGTGATCTATTTCACTAATTTTCTGGTGGAATGATATTTCGTTAATTAGCAGAGCTGGCTGCTGTAACAGTGGCATTAAGTATTTAAAAAATGATTAGATTATATCTACTCAAATCTTTATTGACAGCAGACTTTTAGTGCCCAGCTACCGGGAATTATGATCCTGAGATCGAAATGATGAGGAATACCCGTGGCATCAATTTAAAACTTTTTAAACTTCCTTTTCTCGTGTTTTCTTATTTTTAATCAATGCCCTTTTCGTATTTTTAGATTAATTGTGGTGTGGGAGACACCAACCAGTATACATATATAATCATTATATACATATGTAATGAGGAATCATTATGCGTTTGCATGGACCCATTTACATACCCACACGTGGGATGATCCTGGATTAACCACGTGACATCGAAAAAGGGTTTTGAGTACGACTCTATCTTAACCTAACAGAGATCGGCCATTCTTCATGAGGTCCTCAGAATAATCTGAAGTTCCCTCAGAAAGCACTTTCTGCAGGTAAAGCTGAAGACTGAACATGGGGAGACTTGCTAATATACTCAATTGTTGTTTTTCTTTCAATGATAATGCTGCTCATATTTCTGAGATGATCTTGGGATTGCCTTTCTTACTTAATTATCCAGTTCTTGTCAAATTATGCTGATTGCATCTGAACTATTCTCAAGGATCTTCATGGGCGCTGGGTGAGGGTGAACTATGCCACCGACCGGGCACGAGGTGGCGGTGGTTATGCTGGTGGCGGTGGCTATGGCGGCGGTGGTGGAAGCTATGGCGGCGGTGGTGGAAGCTATGGAGCTGGTGGTTATGGTGGTGGCGGCGGCGGTGGCTATGGCGGTGACAGCTATGCCAGTGGTGGCGGCGGTGGTGGGGGCTATGGCGGCGACAGTTATGCCAGTGGTGGTGGCAGTGGTGGTTACGGTGGCGGTGCCGGTGGCTATGGTGGTGGCAGCGCTGGTGGTGGCGGAGGGAGCTATGGTGTCGCTGGAGGAAGTTATGGGAACGACAGCTTCTCTGCCGGCAGTGGCGGCCCTGGATTCGCCGATGCCGGAAGCTTTGCAAGTGGCAGCGCCGCCGATCAGCCCGGCAGCAGCAGCCAAGGATTTGGAGGCCAACAGAGCAACAACGCCTTTGAAGAAGACTTCGCCGGCGACATTGACGACGACGAGCCGGAGGGCTACGCCGATAAGAGGAGCTGATTCCAGGCCACGTCATCCAGAGACCCCTCTGTGAAGCCACGTGGCTTGATATATTCCGTCCTTTGATGTTCCTCAGACCCATCTTGGGGACGCTCGAAATTCCGGCAGACGTTGGGTGTTTTTTTGCATATAACTCCCTCTTGCGACACTTTATGCAAAAAGACCTTGAATATTTAGGTCTGTCGGATGTGCCTGAAGTTGGATTCTGTCCTCTTTTCGAGCCTGCTCTGCTCTCTCCACTCTCTCTCTATCCCTGAGAGAGCCTTCTGCGACCAGAATTTGGGGGTTTCATTGAACTTCAACGGGGTCATTGGCGTCTCTCTCTCTACTCTCTCTCTCTCTATACCTGAGAGAGCCTTCTGCGACCGGAATTTGGGCCGGGCTTCTCGGGTTTCATTACAGTTAAAGGGGGGGGGGGGGGCAGTGTCGAGTCTCCACTCTCTCCGTATAACGAGATGAACAAGAAGAAAAATAGAGAAAGAAGATTAGTGCAACAAAGGCCCCTTGAGATCTCGTCATGAAAAAAGTCAAAAGCCCTCGTCCCAGCAGCACTTCGCCGCCCCCAAGGAGAGCATCCTCTGCGCATTCTGCACCACAGGGGACCCCTTCCTCGCCCTCTCCAGTATCCGCTGGATCAGCATCCGCCCTTCCTCATCCTCTTCATCTTCATCCTCTCCATCGCCACCACCACCACCACCACCATCATCATCATCATCATAAACAACGCCATACAAATTTGGACTCCATGTCGACCCCTGCACGGAGCTCTTCGAGCTCGTCGAGAGCCGCCCGCCGGCAGGGCTCCTGTCATCGGGCATTGGCGGTAGGGTCTCCTCCTCTGCCGCCTCCAACATCCACTGGAACTCCTCCCCCAACAGCAGCCCGGTGGCGGTGCTCCCGTCGTCGGCTGTCGGCGGCGGCAGGGTTTCCTCCTCCGCCAACAGTCCGGCCGCGGGGCTCCTGTCATTGGCTGTCAGTAGCAGTGTCTCCTCCGCTGCCTCTGATGTCTGCTGGAATTCCTCATTTGCCGACAGACCGGTGGTGTTGCTCCTGTCCTCGGCCATCGGCAGCACCAGGGTCTCCTCTGCCGACAGCCCGGTGGCAGTGCTCCTGTCGTTGGCCGTCGGCAGTGGCAGGGTCTCCTCCGCCACTAACAGCCCTGTGGCAGGGCTCCTATTGCCGGCCGTTGGCGGCAGGGTCTCCTCCTCCGCCGAGAGCAGTCCAGTGGCAGTGCTCCTGTCGTCGGCCATCGGCGGTGGCAGGGTCTTCTCCTCCGCCAACAGCCCAGCGGCGGGGCTGCTATTGTCGGCTGTCGGCGGCAGGGTCTCCTCTTCATCTGCCTCTGATGACCGCTGGAACTCCTCATAGGCCTCATGGTAGGCATCGAGGGCGTCGCCGGAGAGATTCAAGCACAGGGGATGGCTCATCTCCGGCGGCAGCTGATCAATTGCCATGGTGGGGCTTCCAGGGTCGGAGAGGGACCCCAGGTCGCTGCTCGAGAAGTCTCCAAGGGAGTCGGCCCCAGCGGCTCCGGTGAGGTGGGGTGGCGGCGGTGGCGGCGGTGGCGGCCGCCGCCCCCCCCGCCGCTGGCTGTGGCTGAGCGCCTCCTCCAGCTCCTTGATCCGGTCTTCCAGCTGAGACTGGATCAGCTCGTGGAGGCGAAGGCTGAGCTGCCTCGGGGAGACAGCGTAGTTTGCTGGCGGCTCAGCGGGGCGGCTGTCGGCGGCAGGTTGGTTTCCTTCGGATCCTCCATTTACGACATTCACTCTCAGCTCCCCATGAACGATATCTCCGACAAAATCCGGTTCGACCTGCTCAGCAGAGGATAGAGAAAGATGAACAGCGCCCTAATAATCGATGAATCAGTTCCTTTTCTTTTTGGGATATAATAAAAACGAATAAATATGGGATTTCTATAATTAAAACTACTTCATCCATGAACAACAATGGAAGATGAGCAACGAATCAAGTTCCTATTTTGGGAGATTAATACGAAAAATTAAAAAAAACAGCGACGAATAATTGATGAACCATAATTCATTTTCTTTTTTTTTGCAGCAAGAAAGATGAATCAAGGTGAGGTTGATGTAATTAAGAAAATTACTGCTACCATGAACAAGTTCTTGGCAACGTCGTTTCTGCACTCAGATTAAAAATGGACATAGAACTATAAATATATCCATATATATATTAAGAGATCAGACAGCAATGAGAGATCTGGAAATTGTTGGATGGCTCAAATAAATCGGATACTTTGGCGAATAAAGAACAGTCATCAGATAATAAGAGAATCACGAAGGGGAGGGAGAAAAACATGATCAAGAATAGTAATATTAAACAACGAAGCTGTGAATAATATTAATCAATGAGAACTTACACTTCCTATTATCTGTCTCTAGTCTGTGAGCGAATGCCATGTGTCCACCAGCTGGAAGGGATTGATTGGGACCCATTGCCACATGGAGGACAAGAAAGCAGACAGGTGGGGGGATCCATTGTGGATGATTTTGTGACCAGTTGGTTTGTAGAGATCCAGCAAAGTATGCTCTTTTTTTTCAATGACAGCCTTGGTATCTTGTTAGTAATTCAAAAAAATTAAAAAAAAAAGCAGTAAAAGATCTACCCATTCTGAATCTCAGTATCCTTCATTTTCATTAATTTAAAAAAAAAAAAAACCTTCATCAACTAGGAGATCTACCAAGTCTGATCTGCGTATACTTCACTTTTATTTCATAATCTGTCACATTTCCTTCCAAGAATTTCCCATATATCCTCAGATAGAGCAGACGATATATATCAAATGAAAATTTCAACCAAAACCCCACAATTTCTGTTCCACATTAAATTCACACCCTTGATTCTGGATTTTTTTTTAAAAACATCTGTAGAACTTTCTTAGTGGACCCACCTGAAATATTTCACACTTAATTACGACTCAGAAAATACCGCATGAAGATGACCTTCTTGATCATTCATCAAAAGCTTACCATCTTAAACAAAATGGGTCACAAGATCAAACCGAAATCTATTTTTTTACATATTAGTCCCCAAAAATTCTGAGTAAAAAATAGGAGATGTGCCCCCATCAATGTTAGTATCCAGTAACCCAATGATTAAGATCGACTAAAATCAATTTTTCGAGCTTTTTTTTTTTAATCCCTCCCCAGGAGTATGGAAGGGCACGGATTGCAACTAAAAAAATAATATCTTATTGACCACCTCTCATCTACATAAGTTCATTTAATGGACTCCGGTCAGTAACCAGAACAATCCTTAAACAGCACACTTTTCCGGTATCAGTAGAACCCTAATTAAGAATTCTCATGGTGGGTGAGCCATGGTCGAAGATCAAGAAGGCTACTGACATAGAAAATGAGTCATAGTATTTTGATCATTCTGCAGGAAAAATGAGCTAGACATTTATCAGAAGATGGCGAATTCGGACTATCAAGGACAATATACACTTGAAAAACTAATCATAATAATGGGTTGGGGAACAAATACGACTAATCCACAACACAGACATGGAATTTACTACAGAAGATATGCAGCATGGAATCATAGAACACTAAAACCTCAGTGAGCGATTACCTCAGCTAGAGTGGACAGTCTTCCCTCCAGGCTTGTTGCATTTATGTTGAGCTCCAACTTCTCAAGTTCCGCTTCAAGCTCAGCTTCAATTTTACTCAGAGATTCTTCGCTTTCACCTCCTCTAGACAGAGCTGGTGACCCAAGATTATCTTGCTGCGGCTCGGGAGATGACGAAGTTGAACCACACTTGGGTGAGGAATATATTTTTTCTTCCACATCCGGGCTATGATTTGTGTGTTCTTGACCCTTATGAGTCTCATCAGCAATCTCACTAACACTGAGGGAATCTTTCATCACCAGTTCTTCTTGTAGATCTTGAACCAAGTTTTCCCTTTGCTTCAGCAAGTCATTTAATTTATCCACCTCTCTGCTGCTTGATAGAAAACTAGACATCACGCCAACACTAACTCCAAGACAGAAAAAAAGGGCATGGCCAACAGGCTCTGGCGAAAAGAGAAAAATGGGGCATCGTCAAAGAGTAAATGAATGATTTAGCAAATAAATAAGCCATAGTAAAGCAAGAGCAAAAAATAAATATTAATTCCGGGAATTGTGTGTAATTTTTTTTACAGGAAAAATAAATAGTAATTATAATCATTGGAAAATGAATGGTTAATCCCGTAATGTTTCTGGATATGATAATGATCCTTTCAATCCCAGAGAGATGATCCAGGAGCTAATGCCCGAACCAGACTTTAACCGGATCTAAATATACAACTGAAAACAATGTTCTTTAAGATTTCCCGCTTGTTTTCATATTTTCAAAATATTTTATAGTAATAAGGGTTTGCGGGGCATGAGTGGCCATCTTCAAAAGAAACCGAATCACAATGAATATTTAAATGTACAGTGGAAAACATCAAGAGCGCTCTACCTGGTAAATGGGAAACTCCTGGGCATGGCTGCGAATCAGAAGACCCCAATCTTCCAAGATCTGCCTCTTCACATTTCCGTTTAGGTCTGCAAGGCTGCAAACCCTGATCTCCAAATAGCAGTTCCCTTTCTCTGTTATCAGCCTCCCCACAAAGGTGATGTAAACTAGGAGTCTGCAAATTGACTTGCTCAGAACTTGATTTACTAATTATGCGCCTGCCATCAGTAACCACAAATGGCCTCACAGGTGGTGAAGCAGGGGACGGAATTGGGGTAGCAAGAAACTCTTCAAAGTCAAAATTGCTGTTGTAGATCTGAGGAATTAGGCTATTATCAATACAAGTCAAGGGCTTAACAGAGAATCTGCGGGCTCTCCGACTCCTCAGAGAGTTTTTACTTCTTCCAAAACCAAAACCAGGACCAACGTTCCTAGAGTTAAGTTGGGCCTGCCGCATATTAGCAGCGTGAGGATACTGATCCTCACTTGTCATTGAACTCAATTCCCCACCGTCATGGTAACTCTCTTTCCTGAAGATCCATGGTTGCAAGCTCAACAGAGTGCTCGTGTTGCTCATATATTCGTCCAAGCCAGATAAAATCTCTCCCTCAAACCTACCGCTAGGAGCTGTCCTCTCCAGAAAAACGCCGCCGCGCTGTGAATCCAAACGTATCCGATCCGTAACAGAGGGAAAGCCCTCCTCCGACTGGCATCTTCTGGACTCGGCTATAACAACCTGCTGAACAGATGGCTTGTTAACTTCGGATTCCTCGCCGGTGGGGTTCGAGATCACCTTCCTTGAGGAGCCAACTCCGCTGCTCTTCGACGATTCCTGCTTGTGCTTGGCCAAATATTCGGCACCAGCGGCTGCAAATGCAGCCCACAGATCCATCTCTGGTTTCCACTCTCAACATTCCCCACTCATTGGAGCCATCGAATATGGCAGAAGGACCACAACCATTCATTCAAATCCCCCAGAAAAAACCAAGAATCGTCAGTAGTAAAAAGTACCCATCCCCACGCATCACGCTATAAGAAGACAAACATCCCTCGAAGGGGACCCAATTACGAACCCTAATGAAAACCCAGAGGGTTTTCCTCCAAACTGAAGCAAGCTAATCCGCACCGCAAGAACTACCAACCTCCGAAAACCCAGCAGCAGAAACACCACCAGCAACACGCCCCATCAACTCAAAACGAATCAGAAAGAGGACAGGAAAAGGACAGTTGGAGGAGGTGAATGGCTCCCAAACCCTTCAAATTCCCTCGATTAGAGCTGAAAAACCTCACATGAGCAAGAAACCGAGCGCCCTCTGCTCCACCTGGTCGGAGAACGGCCGATGCCCTCCCCCCACCACCACCACCACCAGCAGAGAAGCTCGGCGAGTGGTGGCCGTGAAGGGGGCACCCTCTTCCTCCCACAGCGGATAACACCCGCAGGGCCGCCCAATGGTCCGGGCTGGGCCCGACCCACAACCCACGAAGCCCGGGCCCATCCCACAATCTATGAAACCAGGGCCCGGTCACTAAACATGAGGCCCGAGCCCGAGCCCGGTCCGGGCTCAGACCAGGATTTCCAGCAATCCGGGCCGGGCTTGATTCCCAAAAGGTACGGGCTTTGCTTGGAAGTGGGCGGGCCAAAGTTTGGTTTTGGGCTTTTTTCGGAGTTCTCGAGGCCCAGCCCGCAAGCTGGACAGGAATTGAAAAACGCGCCAAAGAATTTGGGGAGTAAGAAAACCCTAGAAGAAGGCGGGAGAGGGAGGGAGGGTCTGCTCTGCTCGAACGGGGATCCTGCTCCAATGGCGTCTCCGGCCACCGCATCGGAAGCTGGAGCCCTATCTCCGTCTCCAGAGCTCTCCTCCAGGCCTTCTCATGGTTTCTTCAGTAAGTGGTTTCAGTGGTGCGCACTATTAGGGCGCTGCTTTCTTTTCTATGCTCCCTTTTTTCTCTGGTCCAGTGGATTTTCCAGATGATTGGAATCCGTTCTGGGAAGGCTCGATTGATTGTGTGATGGCAAGGGGATGATTAGCACCGGAGGCCGTTCGTTTTGTGGTAATTGGAGTGTGGAAACTGGGTACTGTGTCGACATGGTTGTGTACCTGTGAGTTAGATGGAAGAAGATTGGAATTAAAACGGCACAGAGTGTGGCTCTCTGTCTTTGGCTTCCCTTCTTTTTAGACATTATAGTTGAATGTAATTTCAAAAAACCGTGAAGGAGGCACAGTGGGCGTATCTGTTTTTTTAGTTATCTGGTCTATGAATCGGAATATGTTAGGAATATCGAAAAGTGGATCATGCTCGTCATGCACCTTTGTCCGCATCATCCTTTCTTTTCCTCGCCTTTGATGCGTTCTTCTCAAAAATTGTGATGTCACTTTTCATTTTAGAACTGATGGTGGTACACAGAGGCCAACATGCGAATGTAAGGAAAAAAAAAAAAGACTTTGAACTGCTCCATCAAGGTGATGGAGATGGCCAAGGGCAGGAAATGTTGAACACTAGAAGCGTGGAAAATCCTTTGTTGGCAGTCCAATATGGGAACAATGAGAGAGTTATGTCGGCTTTTTATGGCATTTTCCTTTCCCAATCTGTCATTGGCTCCCTACTTGCCTTAACGACGTAGGCAGTCTCTCGGAATGCCTTTTAGAACCTCCTCTCGTTTCTATCCCGCCAATTTACTGAATAGCAGCTAGCTCAGTTAACTACATTGTTTCTCATCGTGGTTAGGACTTGAACTTTGCCGCCTCCTCAAAGCGTTGGCAATGGCTCTCACTTTTCTCCCTTAGATTTCCACCTCTTGAAAAACAAATATTGAAGGTATGTGGATTGTACAATGGTCTCAGGGTTTGATGGACGAAAATGTGTGCTCCTAATTATGTTGAAAGTTCTTGAGGTTGTCACAGTTGAAAGCCTTGATGCATCATTTTCCGCAGAAATTATCTATCTTCCAGGAAGAGGGTCTTTCAGATCAGTCCTCTGCCAAACTATACAGTTCATCTTTAGAACCCTATGGAACGATCTAACTGAGAATCAGCGTGTAGCATCCTGCCTGTCCTCTAGAATCCTCTTGCCGCTTTGTTCAGAGTAATGCTACAAAGTTCCATCTGAAGAGCCGCAAAGTCCTCTATTTATCCATCTGCAAGGGCTCTCCTCAATCGCAGCTTTGATCTCTCAACAACTTCTCTTGCCTTAAATCTATTACACTAGAGAAGGAGGATAGTTCATGTCATTTGTTTGATTTCCTTTTCTGATGACGCAGTGTGGAGGGAGTTCGCATGGGGAGCAGCGGCAGGGGGTTTTGGTGAAGGCATGATGCACCCTATAGACACAATGAAGACACGGATGCAAAGTCAAACCTTGATCACTGGATCTCAGGTCTGCTCGATTTCTATAATTGTGTCATTGGAGCTTCGTAACACTTTATCATATGCATTTAGACCTTCTAGAATCAGTGAAAATCTGTGACACTATTTAATTCACAATTCTGTGGATTCGTTAGGTTTGAATTTTTTTATTCATTCAAAATCAATTGTAAATTGCTGGATATTTTTGTGTCGGTTAAGTAGAAAGAGTAAACAAATAATCATTTACGACCAGGTGTAGTGGATTCTCTATCGCACTTTTGCCTTACAATTTGGCCCTTGTATGCATAAACTCGTCTTTGTAGTGTGCCCTGTGTATGTTGTATCAGATTTTACTTAGATATTGATGTTTTGTGGTTTTCCTTTGGTTTATTGTCTCAGTCACAGAAGAGTGTATTCCGTGTGATCTGGTCAATCTGGGTAGCAGATGGATTAAAAGGTAAACACTTTTTAGATGAATAATCTTTACGCTTTACATTAAGCAAGCAAGGAAAGTTTTCGTTTTTTTTGTGACTCTAAGACCCAAAACGACTGCTTTGCTCCATTCCGTTCTCTGTGATTAAGATTTACTCAATTGCCCCTATACTTGAGCATCATTGTTGGACCGAGTGGATAGAGCCTCTTACTCCGGTGATAGCAATTATGTTCGATCAGGGAGATCATTTGAACATTTGGCACATTTATTCTTTTACTAGCTGGTTAGTGGCATCTCTGTTTAAAAATATTGAACCCTACGCCATAATATTGTCTAAAATTTGTTCAAATCCCAGAGTTAACATTAAATTCAGACTTCAATCTTTAGTGACAATCTTATAGCATGTTCTGCGTGACTATACTCCCAGGTATCCAATGTATATTTCGTAAGTTTTGAAACTTATCTAAGTGGTGGATTTAAGTCATGCATTTCGCTTGGTTCTGCGCCGTTGTGCCATTCTACCCTGAACTTGCACTTCATGTGGATCCTAATTCATTATTGGCCAATGATCCAATCAGGTTTGTCTCTATAGCAAGCTAATTTCAGTGATTACTTTGCTGAAAATTTTCTGATTAGTTGTTGTTACCTGTATCTATCATGATAGTTTGTCTTACGTTTGTTGTATGTTTCTAGACTTTTTGAAAAACAACATGTTCTTTGGTTTCAGGTTTTTATAGAGGAATTACTCCTGGGGTGACTGGATCACTTGCTACTGGTGCAACTTATTTTGGGGTGATAGAATCTACAAAAAAATGGTTGGAGGAAGTACATCCAAGTCTTGGAGGTCATTGGGCTCATTTCGTTGCGGGTGCACTTGGTAGGAAACTAGACTATGTCAGTTGTGCGCCTTCATGTTTGATTTTCTGAAACATATTCTCCCTCGTTCTTAAATATATGTTGTTTTTCTGTCCCGTGCTGTCAAATTGCGAGGGCATTTCTTAAAGTGAATTTACTATTCTAGTGTTTAGACGCGTGATGCCTCTGCTACATAAAATTATCAATTAATGTAAATTTTCATAAAAATCTTAGCTCCTTATGCATTCTAGAGTTTCTTTGTGACAACACTGCGTAAAAGCCTTTGGTGACATGAGCATTGCTCGCCGTTTCATGGTGGATTACTTCGTGGGTTTTTGCATTTTACGCACAGGTATTTGTGAAATACACCTGGATAACTGGTATGCTAGGAACCAACATGATTTGGTTCCCCCATTGTCCGTCTACCATCTGCCACACCCACCCAACCATACACACACACACACGCACACGCCCCAAGACCTCACTCACTGTGTAGCATAGGCGAACTCTGTTTTGATTTAAAAGGACATTTGTATAAATGCTTTAGCATGCGAAGTTGAGATTCCATCATGAAAATTTATTTTGAATGTTTCGAAATTGAGGAACAGCATTTAAGATGTTCTTTTCATCGTCATTGTTATGGCGATAAGCTGGAAAGACACTAGGATTTTATTTATTTTATTTTTTAACAAGCTGCATACATCTAACATTAGTCTTCTGCAAGCTCATGCCAACCATGGCAGCGCTTTGTCGGGTAACGTGACTTTGGAGTGTATAAGGGTACATCAAACATCTTAGTGAATAAGTTAATTGCCAAAATGTTGCCCTATTTTTTTTTATTCAGTTTAAGATCATACAACTAGTCATTCTTAAACATTTCAGATTCTATTTTTATTTGGTATGCACTCATCAACTGTGGTATTGTGATCTTACAGACGAATACTCTTCTGACACTCAATTTTTAATTTTATGGCAATAAATTTGACGTGCTTCAATAATGTGTGAGATCCCTGTCCACATAAAATTCTTTATACATTCTCTCTTGGCACTGGGAGCACCACTTGCAGATGTTTATATTCCCTTGCACTGCGGTTTAGTTCAAAGATAGTGACAGAGGAATTGATAGAATAACTTGACCTTCAATATTATTGTTTTTCCTCGTGAAGCTGTATTATCTTGAGAACTCTCCATAATAGAGTATATCCATCTCAGATACTAGCCTGACAATTTCTGCCCATTATACCCAGTTATTTTACGGATCAATTGAGTTAATTTGACAGCTTGCTTTATCTTTCCTTATTGTTTTCTATTTATTTTTGTCCTCCAGGAGATACACTTGGCTCTTTTGTGTACGTACCCTGTGAAGTTCTGAAGCAACGGATGCAGGTGCAAGGCACCCGTAAGTCTTGGAACTCGGTGATGGTAAGGGAGAATGTCTCTCAGAGGCAAATGTATTGCTATTACAGCGGGATGTTCCAAGCAGGCCGCTCAATTTTTCAGGCGCATGGTCTCAAGGGCTTGTATGCTGGGTAATAAATGCACTTAATCGCAGCGATCACTAATCTACCGCTTTGAATCATAGCATAGTTTAAGTATTAATTAAAATTTTGAAACTAAATCAACTGGTGTTCTTGTTTGTACGATGCATAACTGCCCAGCCCTATTCATCTTGGTTTATGATGCAAACATTTCTGGCATATACAACATTTACAAAAACAAGTTCAAACCCCCCCTCCCCCCAACCATAGATCAACTTGCTTCGATTCGCATATGATAAATTCTGAATGTGTGATGATTATAAACCATTTACATACTCTTCCAGTTGGTTCTGAATATAATTTATTTTTACAGATATTGGTCCACTCTTGCTCGGGATGTGCCATTTGCTGGCCTGATGGTATGTTTGCATAGAATTTGTACATATATTGTTGGCGATTTTCAGTCCATTTCTCTGGCTCTATCTACGTTTATGGATAGCCTGAGTTCATCTCTGGCAATTTCCTTTAAGATCTCAACAATCTTATTGCTCTTAGGTTACTTTCTATGAAGCACTCAAGGATCTGACAAACAGTGGGAACCACGCCTGGTTGCCTCATGAGTTTGAAACGAGCAGCTCTTCTGAGGGTTTGTTCTTAGGCGGATTAGCTGGTGGTACGTTGCAGATCTGACTTTGATAGGAGTTTATCAGAAGATATTCAGGTTCTCGCTACATTGCGAGTGGCTGGTGAAGATTGTGATTGATAGCTAGAGTTGCTGCTTCTCATCTTTCTTCTACAGGGCTTGCGGCCTATATCACGACCCCATTGGATGTGATCAAGACAAGGTTGCAAGTACAAGGGCCCACCAAGAGGTAATCCTTCTATTCTTCAAGGTCTTGGAGAGCTGCTCTTTTTCATTTCCCTCTGATGGAACTCTCCACTACTTTTCTCTTTTTTTGAGAATTGTATCATGCTCTCTCTCTCTCTCTCTCTCTCTCTCTCTCGCTCTCTACTATATTCTCTAGAGGTATTATCCACAGCTGGGAACCCGCCTCGGGTCAACCAAGTCTAGTCTCTCTTAGCCAACCACCATTTCATTGTCTGATGCCCCCTCCCCAAACATGGTCCTCGGATCAGAGTTAAATTGAATCAGCTGAACCCACCAATCCATTCAAATCGATAGCAGCCAAATTGAGTCAAAGGGGCTTAGGGCTTAAGAAGTTTTAAGGTTATGTGAGCTGGCCGGTGGATTGTTCCGCAGGTACAACGGTTGGTACGACGCTATGAGGAGGACATGGGCAGCCGAGGGCATCAGGGGACTCTTCAGGGGCAGCGTCCCCAGGATCACATGGTACGTCCCGGCGTCGGCGTTGACCTTCATGGCCGTGGAGTTCCTCAGGGACCACTTTAATGGTGGGTTCACTGCCGACGTCCCGGAGGTCGCCAGTATAACTCTGGAGCCATCGCCATCGCCATCGCCATCGCCATCGTCCGCAGTACAGGAAGTGGCCTGAGGCCCCACAAGGTGATTTCTTCTTCTGTTTCTCTGTAAATCACATTTCCTTTTTCTGCAAAAAATTATACGTATATATATAAATTGTTTTCAGTTTTTGTTACTTGGGTGAGGAGAGAGAGAGAGAGAGAGAGAGAGAGAGAGAGAGAGTACTGTTGGTCTGGTTGAGACGAAATAGGTCTAATGGCTGGACCCTGTCCAAGTCCTACGTCTTATAAACTAGGCCAGGGCCTTAAACTTCGTAGGCCCGTGGGCCGAAATGATCCAAGAAGCCCAGTTTTGTTTTCTCTGGAATTTAGGGTTAAATACGGAATTAGGAACCAAGTGGGCCGTACTCTGTTATGGCAGAGCTTGCTTGGGCCACGCCAAGTGGGCGGTCCCAACGGGCCTTCTATGATATCACGTCCATTTAAAATCATTTAAATGGCTTTTTTTAATTTTATTCGGCATATTTATTATTTTTATAGCTTGATAGTGCTTTAATGGCTTTATGTAAAATTAGGTGTAATCTGACTAAGACGATAAAATAAAAGGAAATCTATGGGTTAGTTTTATTTTCAAATTGCTTGTGTCGCATCACTAAAATGATATAATGTTTTTGCTTGTCCAATAGGACGATGAGAGAGAGGGGGGGAAAGGGTCGTTAGAGAGAGAGTCTGCGAGAGACTATTAGGTGATTGAAGTAGGGAGGGATGTGTAATATCGCTAAATTGCCATGGAGAAAGGGAGAGAAAAAATAGTGAAGGAGAGAGAGAGAGAGAGACTATGTGAGACAGTTGGGTGGCGAAAGCAGGATGCATTTGCGTGAATATATGTATTGGTTTTCTTCGTAAGAATGTAGGGGTTTACTATCATTGAAATGAAAAAAAATATATATTCCCAGACAAAAACGAGGAGAGAGAGAAGGATAGGCAGAGAGAGAAAGAGAGTTGTGTGAGAGAATTGGGTGGCAAAAGCTGGACAGATCTGTGGGATATATCTTGGCCTTTTTTCACATGAATCTAATACCATTAAAATGAAAAAAAAAATAGCTTTGCCAGCAGATAAAGGGAAGAGAGAGAGTGACTTTGTGAGAGAATTGGGTGGCAAGAGCAGGACAGATTTGTTGGAATATAATATATATATATGGGTTATTTCACTATAATGTAGGGATTTGCAATCATTAAAATCAAAAGAATTTAAGCTTGCCCACCAGAGGAAGGGACAGAGAGAACGATAGGGGGAGAGAGACAGAGAGAACGATAGGGAGAGAGAGAGAGAGAGAGAGAGAGAGAAAGAGAGAGAGAGAGAGAGAGAGAGAGGAGAGAGAGCCCACTACATGTCGAAAACAGCGAAGAACGCATCCTCTTTTCTGGGTGAAAGTGGATGGGGCCAAAAGGGGACGCCAGTGCGAGCTTTTCCGATCAAAAGGGGCGCATGCGGAAGCCGCCATCCAAAGAAATCGGAAACCTGTTTGGCCCGATTCCCGGCTTCTGCTCACCATCTGCACTCCCGAATTCGCAAAGGAGACCTCCCCAGGGACTTTTATGCAAATATCCTTCGTTCCACCTCTTCCTAGGAAGTACCGGTGATGATTGATATCCACCGCCTAATTACTCATCATATCCTTTTTTTACCACAAATTTCAAATAAACACCTCCTAAAACCATCAATTGCTCAGTGTCTTCACATGGCGTGCTCGTTCTGATAAAAAGATGCCCCTTTATGGGACTAATTAATTAATCCGATCATACATCCTTTATAAAATTGTATTAATATCCTCGCTATCTCCTAAAACTATTATCAGGCATATTCATTAATCAGCCCAATCCATATAGTTTTCACAAAGTGCTTGTGGGCTGAGACGAAAGGAATGCCACTTGGGAGATGGATATAGTGCCATGTGTCATGAGCACCAAGTGGAACTATCTCGTGGTTGGAGACCATTAAGTGCTAGTGCATTGGGAGCTCCAACCAAGGCCTAGAATAATTAAGCGCCTTCGGTTAATGGACCCTACCATGCTCAATTCTCCATTATAAAATCATCTTTGGGGGGAGGGAAACTTCCACATGTTTTTTAATAATTATTATTTATAAATCTAGTAAGACACATAATTAGCCATTAAACATTGTTGGATACCTAGGCATGCATGCATGCATTTATATAACTTTTTTCATATAGTAATTATTTATTTAGGAGCTAGCATACTTAGATACCTATGTGCGGATAATAATTTATACTTCCATATGTTTTTAATAATAATTATTTCTAGATCTAGTAAGGCATGCATGCATTTATATAACTTTTCCATATAATAAAAAAAAAATTAGGAGCTAGCATACTTAGATACCTATGTGCGGATAATAATGTATACTTCCATATGTTTCTAATAATAATTATTTCTAGATCTAGTAAGGCATCCATGCATTTATATAAATTTTCCATATAATAAATTTTTTTTAGGAGCTAGCATACTTAGATACCTATGTGCGGATAATAATTTATACTTCCATATGTTTGTAATAATTATTATTTCTGGATCTAGTAAGACACATAATTAGGCATTAAGCATTGTTTGATACCTAGGCATGCATGCGTTTATATAACCTTTTTAAAAAATACTATTTTTTCATATAATAATTATATGTAGGAGCTAGCATACTCAAATACCCATGTGTGGATTTTAATTTATACTTCTGTATGTTTTTAATAATTATTATTTGTAGATCTAGTAAGATACATAATTGGGCATTAAGCATTCTTGGATATAATTTTTTTATAAATGTCATTTTTTATAGAATAAATATCTATTTAAGAGCTAGCATACTCATATACCTATGTGTGCATACTAATTTATTTTTTCCTTATTTATCTCAATATTTATTTATTCAATATATCTAGTCATATGTTTAATATACCATGCATTTATCATGCCAAGACATCTACATATGGTTACACTAAAATATTTTTTTCTTCCATTATTTCAATCTATTAACTATTTTTCAAGCTATTGAGTATCTAGAGCACAATTTATTTAGTTACATTACTATTTTTCAGAATATCTTATATTGAAAAAAACATTATGTGATTATTAATTCGGTCCCCAAAGAACAATTAGCTATAGCTAATTACCTACCTACAAAAGCATTAAATGAAACATGGGGATAATTAACTATAGTTATTTATATACACGCTCTAACCATCGACATTGTTGTCATGCGAATTTATTGAATTATTTTTATTAATAGCACTATGATTATAACTACACTCTCTAAATTTGATGTTGAACATGGTGGAAATATTTGGTTTCTTAAATTTCTTTTAGATTATAGAAAAGTCAAATTAATTCATTGGATAGCATTCTAGTTAAATAATAATACTTAATAAAATCATGTATTAGATTTTTAGTACGTTGATAACACAATACAATCCACTTGATCCTAATCATTTAATTAGTTATCAATGTTTTACTCAATTATTTAGGATCTAATACAGAGAAAGATATCCTAATTATGGTATACTTGACTACCATAACTTTCTCACTCCTCTGTCCCCCATAAGAAATTTTCTATCTATTGACAAAGTTAAATGGAGTACTTAAGCTAAAATCTCCTAAAATCTTCGTTTATATGTTTCAAAAATTCCACAGAAAGCGAGAGCGCTGGAGAAGAGAGAGAGAGAGAGAGAGAGAGAGAGAGAGAGGACGGCTTAGTCATTATCATGCACCGCCGATCTGGAATCGGGCGGTGGGTCCCCCGGCGATTTAGTTCAACCGTCTGTTCTGTCACATGGTAGCCGGCTCCTCTCTTCCCTCAAAACGGGCTCGAACGGATCAGCGCGATCGGCCATGGTGGGCCCCACCAGGCGGGACCCTCGCGGCCCCCTATAAATTCCTTCCCCTCTCATTGTTCTTTCTACCGTCACCGTCCGCCTGCTGCGATAAGAGGGGGGGGAGCCCAGAGACCTCTCTCTAGAGAAAAGAATCCTGAGGGACGCCATTGTTCCACCTCTCTCTCTCTCTCTCTGTATTTATCTCTGTGTCGGTGGAAGAGGATATTGTAGGTGGTTGATTAGCGGAGGAGATCGCTGGAGGTGGTGGAGTCTTTGCGGGTGGCTGTTGTTTTGGATGTACGTCGCATGGATCCGGTGAACGCTTGAGCTGGGGGGATGTTCGCTGCGCTCCCCGGTGGGGTGAAACTGCGGCGGGGGAGTTTGAGTGCTGGAAAGAAGGAATGCTGAAGGTTGTAGTTATCTCGTCTTTGAGTGCTCGTGGTGTGTCAGATCCAACGACGGAAATTGGGAATTTCCGTCACATTCACTCCTGACTTGGATGATGTACTTGGTTCCGGAAGTGCTTATTGCTCGAGTGATTTTGGGAAATATTTTTCGATGATATACCATGTGCAGATCTCCGTGGGTCTGAACCCGATTGGTGCGAACAGTACACATAATTTTCTGGTTCTCTCTCCATTTGGAGTGTCCTTATCCTTGAATGAGAAGATAAGTTGGGGCCTCTTACCCGTGGACAGTCTTCTACCCAGGTTCTTATGACTGGTGCATTGTATTAGTAAACTCATGTAGTAGGCCTCTGTTTTATAGAGTTTTTAAAGTGATTTCTTATGTCTCCGAGACATATTATTGTAGAACTGGTCTGTCGCTAGAGATCCTCGTTCCCGTTTTCAAAAGAAGGCCATTGCCTTACTTATTCTGGACATGAGGAATTCAGGTCCTCATCAGTTCCTTTTCAGAATCGGGCGGTGCCCGCCATTAAACTGGTTGCTTGTATGTTTTATCGCTGTTATAGCGTTAATCGCTATCATATCTTCTCCATCACCCTCCACCTTCAATTCCGTTACGTCACCCTTACCTGATATTTATAAAAAGCATAGGAAGCTCAGGGAACAGGCAGCAAATGATCTTTTAGAGATCCAATCACTTTCCCTTGGACCTCCTCTGCTCAGGGATCTTGACCCCTGTGGTAAGGAAAGAGAGAATTATGTCCCTTGCTACAATCTTTCTGCCAATATTCTAGCAGGGCTCCATGATGGAGAACAGTATGATCGACATTGTGTCTCGGAGAGAAACTCTCCACGTTGCTTGGTTCGCCCACCAAAAGATTACAAGATACCATTGCGATGGCCTGCTGGTCGCGATATTATATGGAATGGCAATATAAAGATTACCAAAGATCAGTTTTTCTCTTCTGGAAGTATGACAAAGAGGTATGCCTTTTGTTTTCACTGGAAATATTTTTCTGTATAATCACCTTGCCTGCTTGGCAAACCAACGCCCTGAGCATCCTATAAAGATGGTGTTGTGATGAATATATCCAAAACATAATTTATCTATTTTTTGTTGGGCAACAGATTGTTTTTTTCTGAATGAAAGTTTTATCCATTTGAAGTGACTATATATTTTTTTAATTATTTAGATTAATGCTGCTGGAGGATAATCAAATTGCCTTCCACTCTGAGGATGGCGCAAACTTTGATAGTGTCGGGGATTATTCTCGTCAGATAGCCGAGATGATAGGACTGGGGAGTGATTCTGAGTTTCCTCAGGCTGGGGTATGTGACCTGTTCTCCATCTGATGGTTATTGTTGCATTTTCTAACATTTTTTTTGGGTACGTTGAATGATGGTGCATTGTCTTGCAAAACTCAGACTGGGCTAGGTTTAATGATAAACGAAATTACTATACCTTCCGGTTATTTGGGTTTATGGTGGAGTCTGGCAACGTTTCTGTGACTGAAAATTACCTAGCGGGTACATCTAAGTTATACACATGGCTGTTGGTTGCTTTCTTATTGTAGACCTTGTATGGTTAACTAATTCACCAATTTCCAATTTTGGGAGCGATATGCAGTTGTTATTCTTGAAAAAAAAAAATCCGGTGTTTTCTCGGGGGAACAATTAAATATCTGGAAATTTATGCACCTGTTGATAATTTGGGAATTTTTCCAACTAAACTGTTGTAACTTATTTTTTTTAAGCGCTAGGTTTTCTCACTCTCCATTTTCCTTTTGTATATAAAACTTAATTTTATTTTCATTTTATTGGCTTCAAATATCTAAATATATTCCGAGCATTTAATGTCAGGTGCGAACAGTGTTGGACATTGGATGCGGCTTTGGAAGCTTTGGAGCTCACTTACTTTCTGTAAAGTTGATGGCAGTTTGTATAGCATCATATGAGACAGTTGGAAGTCAGGTCCAGCTAGCCCTTGAGAGGGGACTTCCAGCTATTATTGGTAGCTTTACCTCAAAACAACTTCCATATCCAACACTGGCTTTTGATATGATCCATTGCGCTCAGTGCGGAATCAACTGGGACAGGAAAGGTATGCATCTCTTCAAAGGAATAATTATGTGTATTCCCAACATATGCGCTTTTAACATTTCCACCTAGTTTTTCTTTAGACAATTGTAAAGTCAGATTCTTCTGAACGTTTAGGGCAAAATTTAATTGTAAAGAAGTTACTTTCTTGTACCTGATGCGTACTAATTTTCCACTATCCGTCCCTCACACATTTGTTTCTACCAGATTTTGATGATTTAGGGAAATGCTACATGACCCATGGGAAAAGTCATGTTAGATCTTCTGGTTCAGTCTCAAATGTAAAATTATAAATTAAGGATAACATGGTATGCAACGGCTGACAATTATCATCTGACCGTGAGATTTCCGGCCCAGTAAAAGAAAAAAAGGATTGGCAAAATGTACTGTGCTTTAGACTTCTTTGTAGACGAGGAAGATGCAATTTCTCTTTACCTCGAATAAAGATAAACCGATGTTGAATATACTGACATCAATTTTCTTGGGACTTCTGGTTCACTCTCTGTAAATCAGATGGGGCCTTCCTCATTGAAGCTGATCGTGTTCTCAAGCCTGGTGGTTACTTTGTTCTGACATCACCAGCAAGCAAATTACAAGGGGTTTCCACTGGTACTAGGAACAGAATAATGTTCGCTGCGATTGAAGAATTTGCTCAGAGGATATGTTGGAGTTTATTGGGTCAGCAAGATGAGACTTTCATTTGGCAGAAAACTACAGATGTTAGCTGCTATTCGTCTCTGTGAGGATCACAATATTTACATTGCTTTTTTCAATTATATTTTCCTATTATAGGATCTGCGGTCATACATCATTCTTTTTTCTTCTTCTGTTTTTTCCAATATTTTAATATTTCCGTTTTTACTGCTTTTTCGATCTGCAGTGGGCATCCTGCGGTGCCTCTTTGCAAGGATGCGTATGATGAAGGGTCGTATTATAAACCTCTTCTATCTTGCATCAGTGGAACTACCAGTTATCGTTGGATTCCAGTTCAGAACATAACAAACCGGCCTCTTGACTTCCAGATGAGCCCAGAAGAACTTGCAGTTCATGGAAAGTTTTTCTCTTACATGCTCTTTTTTTGTTGATTTACGGAATTCATAAATAGTTATTTTCTTGGACTGCGACATCATGGGATCTATGTTACTTAATTTTTTGTCGAACTGTTACTTATTTTTCGATAGAAGAGATCACTAGTCAATTGATTGAGGTTTCTCTCTTCAGGAGTCCCACCAAATGAATTTTACGAGGATTCCCAATATTGGGGAACTGCAGTGAGAAACTACTGGACTTTGCTCACACCGTTGATTTTCTCGGATCACCCAAAGAGGCCTGGCGATGAAGACCCATTGCCCCCATTCAACATGGTGCGGAATGTGATGGACATGAATGCTCGGTATGCAGGGTTCAATGCCGCAATTCTAGAGGAAAGGAAGTCTGTCTGGGTGATGAATGTGGTGCCCACATTAACTGATCATACACTTCCTCTGATTCTTGATCGAGGCTTCACAGGAGTGTTCCACAATTGGTAATTTTTTTGTCGCTTCTTCACATTTCCATTGGAAGCTTCATACTGTTGATTTATATTCCCTTCACAAAATTCATGGAATGTATCTTACTTTTGTGTCTGCATTTATATCCTTGAACACTATGAAAACATAAATCATATCTTCGTGAACCATCCAATGATCTATGTCTAGAGTGAGAAAGATTGGGCAATATCTAGACTTGGCTGATGAACTCCATGAGAAATTTCTGCTACAAAAATTCTAAAATTTCTTTTAAAAACATGCTCTTGTTCCCTAGTGACATATAACTAACTAGATGCTTGTCCTCATTGAGGTTCAATAACACATCCAATGAAGTTTTTATACTTCCATAATTAAACTTATGAATGTCACTCTTAGTTAGGTGGACGTTTTACTTGGGGATTTTCTAATCAGAATCTGGTTCAAGGAGCTGTTCTGATCCACATCTACAGTCACTGAGAGGCGGTCAGAATTAGTGAAAACTGAATTTGAGGGCTAGAAATTCGAATGGGTTGATCCTCATCTACTCAAGAACATCCAGGTCAGACCATTCTTGGCCGTGTTGAGAGAGAGAGCTACAAAACCACTGGTAGGTTGGACTTGTGAAGCACAGACAGGCGCCAAGAGAAAGGCCCAGAGAACAGTTTAGCCTTCCAGATAGAGAACCAGATAAATATGGGCCATTCAGACATAGCGAGAGAGCGAGAGAGCGAGAGAGAGAGAGAGAGATTCCTCTTCTCTGCATAGCCCAATCTTAATCCCCCTCTGTTTTTGCTGATGCTGTCTTTGTTCCGCAGGTGTGAGCCCTTCCCAACCTACCCCCGGACGTACGACCTGCTCCATGCCTCGGGGCTCCTCTCTCTCCTCACTGATTCATACAGGTGCGACATTGCGGATTTCTTCTTGGAGATGGACCGGATTCTCCGTCCTGAGGTACACATTCCTCTCATCATCCGACCCAATTCTGGCTGATGTGATTCTATAATCTTCCTATAATTGGGAAACCCATCCCTCTAAATACTTATCCAAAGCGACCCGAAGATCGGCTGATGCCAATCCTTATCATCATCCGCAATCATCTGACCCAATTCTGGCTGATGTGATTCTACACTATTCCGATATAGTTGGAGACCCATCCCTCTAAAGATCAGCCAAACCCATCTGGCTCGACTGGTGCTGGCTAGTTTTCCAGTTCTGGTTAGTCTCAACCCATAAACTACGTCGTGGCCAGTTTCTTTTATTCTATCCATGTACCTTGACTTAGTATGAATCCAACGGGGCATTTCGTTTGAAATGGTCATCTACGGTGATAGAAGTTTCTAAAAACGGCAGTGTCATCCGATTTAGCTGATCTCTTCTCCACAATCTACATCAACTAAATACTTTTATTTTTATATATTGAATATATTTATCTTGATCTTCCAGGGGTGGGTCGTCCTTCACGATGGAGCCCAAAGCATAGAGAGAGGCCGCACCCTTGCCACCCAAGTCCGCTGGGAGGCGCGGGTCATTGAGCTCAGCAGTGACAACACTCAGCGTCTCCTCGTCTGCCAGAAGCCCTTCCTAAAGAAGTGAGCAGAGGCTTCGAGGGACCCCCCCTCCTCTCTCTCTCTCTCTCTCTCTCTCTCTACCCAGCAGTGAGCTCCCCTTGCAGTCGCTGTTTACTGAAGAGCCTAGGAGGTTGCTAAAATGGAGTGGGCTAGCCTTAGAGCTTCTCTATGCCTTCTTCTGCCGCTGGTTTCTACTAAATCAGGGTAGGTTCATCTCATCAGGCTTCTGTTAGGAAGGAGGATGAGTTTTTTTTTTTCTTTTTTTTTATGTTTAAAATGTGCCGGGTATCATCAGAACAATTGTCATCATCAGCCCATTGCCGATTGCCCAATTCCTTGTAATAATATATTATTTTTTTGTCATACAGTATCTCCTAGTAGGAGCGAGGGGGAGAGAGATGGGCACCTAGATTTGTTTGTAGAGTAGTTTATTGCCATCTCTCTTATCCACCATGGACTCTTTGATCAATCATGTCGCATGTGACCATGTACATTCATTACGTGTTTGATTTTATGATTATTCATTCAGATTATTTGATATATTAATGTAGTGTACACGTCCAAGAAATCTTAGATGATATTTTTCCTATATGCCTTGTGATGGCCATCAAATGATATTCAAAACTTCTATATTGGGTCTTTAAGTCTATAGCTCCTACCAAATCAGTGGGATTCAGATATTTTTCTAACCATGTTATCCTTCAAAGTTAACATTTGCGCCAAGAGAGAGAGAGAGAGAGGTCAATTATAAAGCTGTGTTAAAGTATTGGGTAGAAAGTCTAATCCTATTGATTACACCAAATTTAATTTGAAGGTTTAATTCAATAGGACCCATAATTAAGTATATTCAACCCACCCACCCATCCACCCTTCTAGGTTTTGTCAGCCATCCTTGGGTCCTTCTAACCCCACATTATATGTGGAAAAGAGAGAGAGAGAGAGAGAGAGAGAGAGAGAGAATCACAACAACCCATCTATCATTTTAATCATTCACAAAACTTACATGTGAAGATTGAGAGTAAGATTATGTGAAGATTATTTACTAATCAACAAAATTCAAAGAGTCATATCCCAAGTTCTAAAGCTGCCCAATTAATCAAGGAGGGATCAAACCTGTGCAATACATTGAAAACTATAGTTGGGACGCAATTCAACACCAAAAAATAATTTGCATTTCTATTGTAACACTATAATGCTTAATTGTCAAATTTTATAATTACATCTCACCCTAGTTAGCAGTGTTATGGGGCAAACCATGGGATACAATCGTACTCTGTTTTATTCACATTTTGAGATGTCTAGTTGGTCAAGTCGAGCTAATGGACAAGTGAATGCCTTAGTAAGTTGCTAGTTATGTATTTGGTATATGTGTAAAAAATGCAATGTTTGTGGAGATCCAAAAGTAGAAACATTCGAAAGCAATAGAAATCGGAAATATCTTAAATCAGAATCTCACAACTACATTTGTGCTTCTTTTTTTTTCTTAGGTACTTCAACTCAATCAAAGAATAGTTGGTGGGCTCTTATGTGCATATTATGTTGCAATAGTACACATGCCTATTTCCTTACACCTATCTTTTGCACTTTAATTACAGGGTGGTTGGTGGTCTGTTGAGTGCATATGGTCTCTCTGGAGACAAGCTATTTCTTTCAAAAGCTTAAGATATTGCAAACAGGCTGTTACTTGCCTAGGATTCACTATCTAGAATCCCTTACAACAGTATAAATTTGGCACATGGCAATCCACACAATTTTGGATGACTAGTTGAGAGATTGGGAATACTTAATGGAAAATGTGAGGAACAGTAGAAAAAGGGACAGCTTGAGAATGTTGGTTGGACTTTTGAGAGTCATGGGGTTATTCCCCATATCTGCTAGGGTTTTTTCCAATGTTATTTTGCTCATTTCTCTCTTCCCATTCTCCCTTGGTGTTTATCTTGTAAACATAATAGACATATGTACATATATATACATATGCACATATATGTATATGTGTATATATATACATATATATATATATATGGAGAGAGAGAGAGAGAGAGAAAACTTAAAAGGAAGATGAGGATGTTGTCACTTTCCTTGTTAGCCAATTGTTGTTTAGAAAAATAGTCACCTTGGATATATCATTGTCATTATGTTATAAACCTAATAGAAACAAAGAAGTAGGGGGATTTCTTAAGAGAGAGAAGGGGGACAGAAGAAAATGAGATCATTAGCATTTTTAATTAGGAACACTATTATTTAGAGAAGTATAGACATGATGTCTTCAGTATTGTTGTCATCTTTCAAGTCTAATACAAAGCGAATTGAGACCCACTACCATGTCATTATCACTATTTTGCACATTAAATATAAGGGATAGAGAGAGAGTATAATTATGAGGGTGATCTAATGTTGTTAAGTAAAAGTATATGTTAAATATAATTACTTATTCAAAAAAACTAAAGATAGGATTATGAAATTGAAGGGTCTTATCCAATGTTCACTTTGTAAATGCAGAGTTGAAATCAATAAATGTGAAAAATTAATTCAAATCATGCATTCAGAAAATACTTTAGTGAATAGGATTATGAAAATTGAAGAGGCATTATCCAAAGTTCACTTTGTAAATCCAAAGTTGAAACCAATCAATGTGAAAAATGAATTCAAATCATGCATTCAGAAAGTACTTCAATGAATAGGATTATGAAAATTGAAGAGGCATTATCCATAGTGAAATGCAAAGTTAAAACTAATTAATGTGAAAATTTATTTCAAATCAATAATACTTCAATGAATGGGACCTTCAATGAAATTTTTTATTTTTATTCAAAACAAATCAATAAAACTAAAGGGGTTGACCTTTGTTTAAAGGGCCAAAGACCAATTAGACCCATCGATATCATGTAAAAAAAATATATAAAGTTGACCAAAATGAAAGGGGTTGTCTTTTTGCAACCAATTAAAAGATTTGATATAATTCAGTTAGAGCAACTTTAACAAAATGTTGATTTTTATTTCGTGAGGGTATTCACGAATTTTGCAACAAAGAAGGGCTTCTCTAAAAAAATTGCAACAAAAAAGGTTACACCTCGTAATAACGTAAAATTATTCGAAATAGAAACCTTTAGCTGGTAAATCCGTATACTAGCATGATAAGGGCATATGTCTAATAATATATTTATCTAGGCCCGGGTTCGTGAACACTTCGCACGTGCTAATATTCAGACCTTGCGGTGAGGCATCGATTAAGCTCACTCTATCATTTAAAAGACGATACTACCCCTCGGGGGCTCTTCAAATAGTTGGCTCCTCCTTCCTGGCGCCGTCGAGAAAGTCTCGGGAGGTTGCTGCTGCTCGGGAGAAGTAGGGGATCTCCGAGACCAGTCATTGTAGGGGTGGGAAAAGGGGGAGAATTCTAGGGTTTCCACGCTGGGGAGGCGTAAGATGGAGGAGCCTTCGGGCGAGGAGGAGGACCAGGATGGCCTCTCCGTGCAGTCGGCAGGCCAGGCACCACCGTCTTCGGCGTCGTCTCTTCCCAAGGTGTTCTTACGAACCTTCTTAAGATCTGGCAATCTCCACTTTGAATTTCCTTGTCTTTCACATGGTTTTTTATGTTTTTAAAAAATTTCGGCCTGTAGTTTATTCTTCGGAATTTTCTCAGCAGGAGAACTCTCAGGTCGAACTGGAGTTGAGGGTGTTGGAAGCGCTTGAAATATACCCTCCCTTTAAATTGCAAGGTCTGTTCCCGTTAATCCTTTCCATGATCATGCCCCCTTCTGGCTTTCGCGTCGATGATTTCGTTCTATACAACGCTGGATATTTCCACTCATGTTTTAGGCTCTAATTATTTGAATGACTAAGGGATTTAATTTGGGGCGCGATCACAATAAGGCAAGATTGAATCTATCCATGAATTATACACGTTCAAGCATCATCAGCAGAGCCCTTGAGGTCTTGATGTGCTCTGCTATGGCCCAGGATTCTAAGAAAATTAAGATCCTCAAAAATGAAGACTGATAAGAAATAGAAGAAACAATTATTTTATGAGTTTGATCGTTTGATTTCTAATCTTTGCGAAGCGGGAAATTTTTTTGGCTCCCAAATTATAAACCACTGTTGGAATTAGCAAATCAAATCAAATCTTGGAACCTGTGAAGAATGCTTGAAGCTCTGATTCACTTAGATGAATTCTAGACCCCATATATGCGGTATTGCGTGTTTAACTGTAGTTGCATGCAAAGTCTAAGCTGTTAACATGGTCTCCATAGCATTATTGAATTTTTTACCCAAAATTTACATAGAGGTAAAGTGGTGGAGCTATAGAGGCTGTACTTATGTTGAATATCCCACCAGTAGATTATCTGCATTGGTTTTGTGTGTATGAAATAAAATCTTATGATTAGTTTTCTATTTCTTACTCGAACATTTGGGGTTTTCTATATCCACAAAAAAATGCGTTCCTCACTCTATTCTTTGCTGATTCACTCTCTCATATTTTTCATTTTTCTACATTTCAAACTTTTTTTTTACAGGTATTCATCGCCACTTTGTTCTCTATGGGCTATTGGAGTTTTTGCAGAAGAGGTTTGTTCCCTTTGACCGGTCTGCTGATCAATGTGTGGATTATCATAAACAATAGTCCAGGGTCCATGCACATTTTCACGTTATTTTTTGCACTTTTTTGATGCAGCTTTGATCGACAATTTACATCAGATGAGGTTTTACAGTTACTAGACCGCTTCTTCAATTTAGAAATGCTGGTAATTTGAGAAGACCATTTTCAACCTCTCTTTTCCACGTGCCCATTGTTTTCGTCTTTGCTGTTAGAATCTTACACGTGTAGTGGATACCTTTTCTGTGACGTGATGTGATGTCAGGCAACACTAATTGGATATTTAATGTCTGGTTATCGATAATCTAAATAGGAGATTTGCACGAGGACTTAGTTCTTACACGTAATGGGGCTCTTATTTTTTATGGATAATCATTTATTTCTCCTGTCTTGTTATTTCATTTATTTTTGGGGATTATCATTGATTACGGAACTTCACATGTCGCTGAGGGAGGAGGACGTTTAACATCCTTGTCTTTCTGGGTTTTGGCAAGAAAACCTATTCAGAAGATTGATGTTGGCGCTTGATAGCTCGTGTTGTGAACCAAATGAATCCTTACAGGAATGATGAATAGGAGCGCTCAAATGCAACCATAGATTACTTTAGAAATGTAGTGGTCCACACCCAACAAAAATATTAACATAGGCCAACCCCTCCAACTCCCTCCCCCCAGATTAGTCCCCCCATTGCTTGTATATATCTACCAGATTTGGCAAGCATTCCCCCGCCATTAAAAGTGAAGGTATTACTCGAGTCTGCAAGTTTATAGGATAAATCTTTGTTTTTGAACGAATTAACCACTTAGTTTTCCTCGTATTTCTACTGTTAGTCCGACCTTGTACTCACGAGACTGAATCGCAGAGGCTTGATGCAGGTTTATTAGTCTTTTGAATTGATTCCGTCCTGATATTGACTTGCCCTTGCCTTGCCTTGCCTTGCCTTGCCTTGCCTTGCCTTGCCTTTTATCGTAAAACCAGAGGCCTGATGAAGAGGAGACAGAGCCTCTGGACCACGGAGAAGAATTTTCCCTACCACAGAGCTTTTTCATCAAAGAAGAACCCTAACTGCCAGCTCGAGGTACCCTTGCTTCCAAAGTTTTGCATCAAATGCTGAATCTTTCTTCTCAGTTGGCGATTCTGTTTATATCAATGGATTGACGGGCAATCCAGAGAAAAAACGGTGATGATCGCTGGGACTCCCCTGCTTATATGCACAATCTATGACTGATTATTTTTGTGGAAATCTCCCCGTGAAATCCTTCACCTCCTTTGGGAAACATTTCAGATCACTTAAGAATGTATTTTCAGATTTTATTTTTTTTCTTTACAGAATGAAACAGATCAGAAAATGTCAGTCAAATTTGTCCCATGATTCTTCAACACTTATTTTCCAAAAGTACTCCTACCTAAGCTCTGCCCAAATCTTCTGTGAAAACACTTTTTTTTTATTTAAAAAAAAAAAAACTACGTTCGCAGACAATTTTTTCACTAAAATGAAGAATAGAAAAGCATTCCTGTATAATTTATTTCCCGAGCATCTTGTCTAATTATCTAATGCGTTGATATAAATTCCATTCAAACCTTGTTTGACATTAAACCGCAGAACACGAAGAAATCCTGTCAAGTTTGATGCTTGACTTGAAGACTTTTTTCTTTCTGAAGTACTTGGTTTAAACGGTGGCCCTAATTATTGCACTAGTTCATGAGCTTTACCCGGTATATTTATTGATTCTAGATTTTTCCTACAGATTGCTGCGTTTTCCACTGGCAACTGCGATCTCATCACATCCCCGTCTTTTTTTGTTAATTTCTCATAAAAGACCTTTCGAAGTGAATGATGGCTTAATTTCTCATAAGTATATGCTCACAAAAGGAAGGCCTCTGGTGTCGACAGTGTGTTATTATCATCTGGCTCTCTTTCTAGTTCGGTGCTTTTGTGAGGAAACACGTGTGCATATATATATATGTATGTAATAATATAACGAAGACTGTCTGCCTACTTATTATGCTGCGTCATAGAGAGAGAGAGAGAGAGAGAGAGAGAGAGAGAGAGCAAAGTGTAGCCACAGAGGACCATTGGAACCCATTGAGGAAATCCGTACCAAGGATGCAATTTCTCTCAAGGTGCTCAGAAAAGGGAAACATATGCAGCGTGTTATTGAGCATCCATGGATAGAAACTGTTGCAGAGAATCTCATTATTGCCGGCAACAGGAACAGGAATAGATACACCAGCTGGAATCAATTGGGAGGAGCAAACACGCCCAAAAAAAAAAAGGCCAGTTGTCAAAAGAGGGCTGGCTCTTCACTGGCCTTCTACATGGGTTCCCACTGCTGCTTCAAGTTTAGAGGAAGGGGGGAAGAGCCATGAAGATTCAACATGGGAGGGTTGATTGAAATCAGAAGAAGAAGAAGAAGAAGAAGAAGAAGAAGCTAGTATCGGTTCAAGTAGGTCCTGCGCCGGAACCAGTTGTAGTCTGGGAGGCTCTGGATTGGGCCCATGGCTGCAATCGCAATGTCCTGTTGATTTCCACAAGGATTGGAGGATCAGTGAGAAAGATATGTAGTAAGTGAAGATGCAGTCCATGAGATTATGAAAGATTAGGCAGAATTTCCTCCCCCCCCCGAATGCATTCATGCAACACCTACGATTAGATGATGCATGCGGTCCATGCATATTAGATGGATCATTTGTTGATAATTGTGTTCATTATGGCACCTACCATTAGATGATGCGGTGATGAAATGATGAAAGAGTAGGCAGTGTTATTTCCCCAACTGTGTTCATATTAGATGATGCAGCAATCAAATCATGAAAGATTTAGCACAATTGGCAACGAAATTATGAGAGATTTCACGGATTATTTGCTTCCAATTGCGTTTATATATTGGCACCTATGATTAGATGATGCAGGGATCGCATAATCATGAAAGATTAGGCAGAATTATTTCCCCAACTGTGTTCATATTAGATGATGCAGCAACGAAATCATTAAAGATCGGGCAGATTATTTGCTCTCAATTGTGTCATATAATAACACCTATAATCAGGTGATGTGGTGATGAAATGATGAGAGATTTCACGGGATTATTTGCTTCCAATTGCGTTCATATACTGACACCTATAACTAGATGTTGCAGGGATGACATAATCATGAAAGATTAGACACGATATGTGTTTCCTATAATTAGATGATGCACAACTGAAATAATGAATGATTAGACCACTTCTTCTCCTCCTTTCCATATGAACACAGATTAATTTTAGATGATCCATCAATGGCATCATGCAAGACTAAACTGATTATTCGGTTCGATCTGTGTTCATAGAACACCGTGGCGACAGACTAATAAAAGATTAGGCAAAAAAAAAAAAAAAAAAAATCTTCTTGTGTTCATATAACCGGTGTTAGGGGTAAGATCAGCCCAATCTTTTCTTTATCTAGGACCAGTCCTTAAAATCTAAGTCCAGAGAGAAAGAAAAATGGCATGCCCATGTGCAATCTCGCTCATTCATCAATGCTGCCATAATCGATGGTCGACAGGAAGAAAAGGACCAACCTGATCAAAGATGAAGCGATTTGCCACGCGCTTCACTGTGCTGGCATCAACTGCATCAATCCTCGCAAATAATTCGGCAATTGGAAGTCGCCGGCCGTAGGTGAGTAGCTGCAAACGAGAGATCAAGAGGCATGTGAATATGAGTTGGGGTAATCCATTGGGCAGTGTTGATCTGATCATTGGGATGATGAGTTAGCCGACCTGGCGACCAATGTCCTCTGCCACAGCACTGGTGCCATCGATGTGAAGCTGGAGAGAGGATTTCAGCTGCAAGAATGGAAGCAGTGCGATGCGGAGGGATCAGAAATCTCCTAGCAGAATCTTCTTTCGAGGGTTTATTTTGTTTTCTTGATCTTATCCATGCTTGTTCGCCAAACAAGATTCTTCCTGTGCTCCATTTTTAGTTATTTAAATAATAATATTAATCAAATAAGGGTCATTCTTTATCTACCAGACAAAATCATATGTGCCCAGAATCCTCGATGTGGTGAAGAAAAATATAATCGGCAAGATCATGTTCTCCCAAGAGGTGCCACCAAGCTGTAAGTCATTGAAGATCCGTGACCACCATACAATGTCTGAGTTTGATCGATGAATATATAGAAACTGTGAAAAATGCAGAGGTGGATAGCGAGAGAGAGAGAGAGAGAGAGAGAGAGAGAGAGAGAGATCCCCAGTCCTCGTTCCATTCAACTGGTGTCCCCATAGACTCTATAGAAGTGGGTCAGTACGTTCTGACTAGAGGATACAGGCATAGGATTTGAACACGTTGACCAAATCTTACAACTAGAGGGTGGGTTTAATGACTTTTGTTGGATAGAATAATAAGAAAGGCAACGCATAATTTTAGAAGCCTCTAGCACCCAGTTCTTTGACCTAGTTGAGGACCAGTAGAAGATGAAGAGGGCTCAACATGCAGAATCATAGCACTTCAGTTGGTTGGATACCACTCATTAATGGTCAAAGGTTTGACCGTGGAAGTTCAGTAGTATAACAGCAAAAAGACTCTCATAAAAGCCTAAACTGTTCATCAGCTGCTCTCTCCCACAGTTTAGAAATATAAAAGCCTAAAATAAATAAAAATGTACGACAAACCCAAGAAAATAATATGCACACAAGAGGTACCTGGTTACGGGCACGGGTAACATCGGCATCGGAAACTCGGTAAGAGAGCTTGCTTATCTCGTACATTATCGCATATGCCAGGTCATCCAAGCAGTCAGGCTGAAACAGACTTGAAACCACATGAGATGCATGTTGAAGCCCAAAGCTTGCATTGAATCGTACGATGAGGGTATTCTAGTAAGCCGAAAAAGTAACCAAAGCAGTGTAGAAGACCAAGAGAAAAAGGTTTTCACAGATTCACACTGAGTAACCAAAGCACGATTTTCACAGTTCCATATTGGATAAAGCTATATGCATTGCTAATTACCCTACGAATCCTGAAATGAAACAGAAGGCTATTGCACCTCTTCTTGGGGTACCAAAAGACAAATAGCATGTAGAAGCGGGATTCCAGTATTAAATCGAAAAATAAAGTAAAATATTTTATGTATGGGTGCGGCACATATATATATATATATATATGTCTACAATATATAACTCACAAATGCGAATCTATTGGTTTCAAAGAAAAATTATTTGGGTTCTTTAAGTGATGTTGAGTTTGTGAGCAAGCGAAGTTTATCAAAAAACAAAAATAAATGTAATTTACTTAGAGGATCTAATCAACCAGAAAAAAATAAAATGGAAAACATTCATTATAGTGGAAAGCATTAAATGTGGGTCTCACAACGGGGAATTGGGGTGGGGAGTCGGGGAGAGAGGAGCTCACAATGCACAAAAAGCTAGTTATTCTCTGACAAGACTAAGAGCAAAAAGCTAGAACCTGCATTGTCAAATAATCATCACAATCCCATCATATACAACATATGGAATCATGTCTCATATGCCATCCATTGACAAGCTCTACCAAAAAAGTAATGAATCTTAACGCCACTGAGAAATATAGAACATCAGCCTATCAAGATCACGATAAAGAACATGTCATAACGAACAGCCTTTGAGAAGTCAATAGAAAGCCACTCAGAATTTTGCAACACCATCATTTTGAACAAGTAAATTATGAACCTAAACAAGATTCCACTAACCTTGGCGATGGCATAGACACCAAATAGACCAGTATCTTTGTAGTTGGTATTAAAAGCCATCATGCTGTCTGCAATATCATTGATTGCGATCCTTTGGACAAGCTCTGATCTGTTTAGGATGCATGAACAAAAAATTAGGTCACGAATAATAAATAAAATCGTGGCGTTACACTCAGAATCTTCATTTAAATATCTGAAACGGATAGTGGGTGTCAACCATAGATTACCCCTTCAGGAAAGGGAGAAAGGAAGCAGCATCAATGGTTTCAGCGGAACGGAAGTATGATATGAAGGTTAAAATGAATCAAATGACATAACCCACCCCATGTGTTTCCCTCCACCAGCATTCTTATTCCAGGATCCAAGCATGGATTGCATCACCATCAAAGCAATGGAATCTGGATCTGTCCAAGAAGCCCCATTGAATGCGACAGCAAATTGTGCAAGCGGAACATCATCATCTATTATGCGGACCTGATATGCCACGAAATTGAGTCAGAGAGGAAATTAGCTAAAGATAGAATCCCTAGTACAAAATATGACAATGTCCATCAGTTGGAATAAGCTATTCATACCTCCGAACCAGTAAAAAAGGCCGGCTCTTTGGCAACTAATTGTGACGCTGTTGTAGGATTATCTGAAAGTTTTGTAAACAGCTTTTCCACTTGGCCGACAATGTCTTCATGTTTAACAGCACCAGCCGCAGAGATGACCTGAAAGAAGATAAGAAAAAAGGAGAAATTTTTCGACACACCATCAGAAGACAGTGATTAATACAGAGTCTCAGTGAATCTCAAACTAGCTTCTTCAAGTGGGAATTTTCGTATAATATCAGAAGCCACACAGTACCATCCGAGGGGCAGTATAATGAGATGAAATGTAGTCCTTCAGGTGCTGCTGGGTGATGGTCTTGATATTCTGCGCAGGGCCCAGTATTGTCCGGCCCAAAGGAGTGTATTGGAAAGCAGTTGCGTGCAAATGGTCAAAGATAACTTCCTCAGCTTGTCCCTCCACCTAAAGGAAAAACAAAACATCACAATATTAACTTTCCCACTCCTTGCTTCCATCTACATTGCCTCTATGAGATGTCGATTTTGTATTAATCACTAAGAGCCAAGATGGGGTCTGATAAATAAATATTATTGTCTTAAATTTCCGTTCGAGGATAAAATCAAAAGAATAGATGATAAAAGTTTTCACTATTGCACAGAAAGGCAAAGAAAGGGACGCGCTATCAGTTTGATAACTGCATAATCTGCGATCGAGTCATCTAATGGAACTGTTTATTTAAAACGCGGAGGGGTATTTGAAAATGACGCCAAGGAATCTAGTTTTCGCACCCAGCCGAGAAAAGACGGGAAATAAATGAATGAATTTCTACCTCTTCCATCTCACGGAGAATAACATCCCGTTCACGATTGATGCGAGCTTCGCTAAAACTCGAGTTCTGCAGGATGTCAGCAAGGATCTCCAGCGCCTTGGGCACATCCTCAGCCGTGACCTTGGCGTAGTACGTCGTCTGCTCTCTGGACGTGTAGGCGTTCAGATGACCACCCATGTTCTCGATCTCCTCCTCCAGCTGCCTCACCGTCCGGCTCTCAGTCCCCTTGAAGATCATGTGTTCCAGGAAGTGAGCGGTCCCGTTGGTCTCCTCGGTCTCGAACCGGCTACCGGCGTCGATCCACACCCCGACGGTGGCCGTTCGCGACGCGAGGGTGGACTCGGTGGCGACCCGGAGGCCGCTGGCGAGCGTGGTGACGCGAGTCTCCGGCGCGGAGAGGATGGTGGTGTGGTCGGCGAGGACCGGGTGCGGCGAAGCGTACCGGAGGAATCGTGGATCAGGATCGTCGACGCGCTTGATCTTGGAGCGCACAGCCTCTGCGAGCCGATCGTAGGGCATGACCACGCGGCCGGAGGGCGCGTAGGGGAGGTCGGATTCCGCCGGGGAGACGAGCGCGGTGGAGGCGGATCGAGCGGCCTGGTAGTGGAAGGCGGAGCTCGGGCAGATCCTCCGCTGCCGCCGGGCGATGGCGAGGAGGTGGCGGATCCCCATTCTCACCGATGCCTCTTCGTCCTCTTCCTCTGCAAGCTCTAGGGTTTCCTGCGACGCAAGGGGAGCGGCCACCGGCGCAGAGATAGGGGAGAAAAAAGAAGAGAGAGAGAGAGGTCAGCGCAGGGCGAAGAGTCAAGAATCCGAAGTCCTCTTATCGGATCTAAATCAGTCCGATACTCAATTCGAGAACCGAAAGAGGTGGGATACGATAGTTTGGGCTGTTAACGGGCCAAAGTAAGAGTCTCTCTCCATCTCTATCTCTATCTCTCGCTCTCCTTGTCGCTCTCTCTACATATCCATCTCTATCTCTATTTCTCCACATATCCCTCTCTATCTCTCTCTCACTCTCTCTCCATCTGTATCTCTCTCTCTCTCTACATATCCTTCTATATCCCTCTCTCTCTATCGATACAACAGACACCAATGAAAGCAAGAAATAATTGTATCATCGGATTTATGTTATTAAGAATTAAATTTCATAGGATATTTCATTAGGTTGGAGTTTTAGGCATCCACATAAACCATACACTTGATGTCATTAACACAGAGGAACAAAGAGCAAGGAAGGTGGTGAAGGAATACCCAGAAGAAAGGGATGCCATGATGTAAGACGTCACTATAAAATACAAGGACTTTTTTAAAAAAATGCTCACATGTATGACTTTCAACATAAGATTCAGGTAATTAGACCCAAAACTTCAAAGAAAATGTGTTGGATTTATAAGAATTTAATACTTCTAATTTTATTTGTTTCAATCGTATTTTTGTTGACATATATTTTCTTTAACAATAATTTGAATAAATTTTGACCTAATTAAAAAGGTTGGAATATAGGATTCAAGGTCAATTTTCTGATACTTGTGGATTCTGATACTTATATATTAAAGCAACTATTATAATTTCAAAACCATTTTCTAATACTTGTGGATTCAAGCAAAAAGCCATTTTTTGATACTTGTGGATTAAAACAACTTCTATGGATTCAAAGTCATTTTTTGATACTTGTGGATTTAAGTAACCTTTGTGGATTCAAAGCCATTTTTCGATATATGTGGATTTAAGTAACCTCTGTGGATTCAAAGATATTCTTTGATACTTATAGATTCAAGTAACCTTTGTAGATTCAAAGTTATTCTTTGATACTTGTGGATCCAAGTAACCTCTATGGATTCAAAATTTTTATTTGATACTTGTGGATTCAAAGTCATTCCTTTGTAGATTCAAAATTATTTTCTGATACTTGTGGATTCAAACAAACTATGTGGATTTAAGGATTGAGATTTTTTATGTCTAGTAAATTCAAGACCTGGTTTCCATTCTTACTCTATTTCTAATGTCATGTCTTGTTGTGACTTCAAGGCTTGATTTTATGTTATTCTTAAGCTTTAGCTACATCATGCCATGTCAACAATTAAGGTTGCATAAGGGGGATATAGTAAGGTAAGAAATGTAGAGGGTTATGCCACAAACAATGTGGTGCCACGTCACACCAACCATGAGCTACCACATCAACACAATAGTAGCTTAAGAGATTATGCCACATCAGCAGATAACCCAAATGGGGAGAGTAGGGACTATTTGGTGGCCTACGAAGGTTATCCCTCATCAGCACAAAGGCAGTGTAATAGAAACCAACGGAGACAAGGGGAGGGACTTATGCCAGCTATGTAGGACAATGAACTGCCACATGCCAGCCACGTCAATAGGCTGTAGAGTGACGTGGAGTGACCTTCTACATTACTAACAAGCTCGCCCTCCAACTTTCTGGCCACAACAACCATCTGGCATAATTCAAAGGTCTCAAGCATCCTAAGCACCATAAAAAAAAAAAAAAATCAAAGGCCAAACGTGAGTGGAGAAATTAATAAATATCCTCATGGAACTACAAAAATTATGCAAGAACCTTCTACACTCTACAACACAATAGATGTGCTTCCTTCTGACCCTACTTCAGGTAAATAGTCAACCCGTGTAAGGATGGTCAAACAAATAGGGATATGTAAACAGAAACTGAACAAGAGAAATGAGAAAACACGGCTGAACCATCAATCCCTTTGACCAAACATCAAATCCCAAGGCAGAATGATGAGACAGATATGTAAGACGATAAAGAAAAGTGACCATCTCTTCTGAAGGCTATGGACTCTCTCATCCATAGAGAGACCCCAATTCATGAGATGAGCATCGCTTGAAGATCCACACCAACTGATGAGGCCCACCTTTCACGAAGAGCCCTTGACGAGGCTCTAAGTTTTTCTTCCACCTCTGTAAATCCAGTTTAAGCACGTTAATTCCCCATCCTTCCTGCTGAGCAACATGGGAAAAAAATGGAAACCTTGATTTTCAAGAACTTGCTTGCAGTAATTTTCATTTCTTGATTAGAATGGATGCAAACTGTGATCTGTGATTTGTTATCCCCCAGTAGATGATGACTCCGGGAACTCCATGGAATGGGTCACCTTGTGGCAAATCAACAAATACCATGTGATGGCGATACAATTGACTATTTGTATGTCGACACTTCAACTATAAGAAAAAAACCCTCGAAATTTTCATCAGGTTACATCCATTCTCTACCTTCTAAGGCAACACCACGGATCAGGTGCAACAACAGTGCAGACTTGAACAAACTTCATACCACAGAAGAATTAGGAGCAACTGACACCTACTGTAAACGCCAGACGAATACAACCAAAGTATCAAGCATTCAACTGACCATCATGAACACATAAAAAACGAATGCAAAAGAAAGAACGCGCAACCAAGGGAAAAGCTCATTGCAGACATACACTGATACCTGTCAGAGTAATGAATAAAGACAGCATAAATGTCATCATGTTCAATTGATCTTGCTACGGTTCAAAGAACATTTAAGAATGCTGATCAAGAGCATCCAAGAAATAAAATGTCAAAGCACACAAAAACGTGAGAATTTGGTACAGTGAGAATGTAGCATATTGTAAGGACACCAAAAGCAACTGTTTGTTACAACAATAATTTCCCAGAAATAACAAAGATGGGCGCTGATCAAGTTTGAGTACAATTTCTTTTTATCGGAGATAAAAAGATACAAACAAGCAACATGGAAATGGCTACAGAGTCACTGATCAAAAGCCAAACGAGAAATGTCTCTCCACCATATTTGACAAGGTTATTAATCTAAGGAAAGTTAGCATCTTCGTTCACAGGACTGAGACAGAGAGCCCGATTGAGAGTTCACAAAGAGAACATACAGTGAGGCCAAAACAACTCACCTGAATCCTAATTCCTCTTCCTACACGTTACAACATAACAGTAATGAGAAATTTCAAAGTTTAAACCCTGAGAATCTGCAGCTTGGAGGAGAAGGCTATGGCCACCCAGTCGGGTTGGGTCGAAGACCACTGCAGCTGCTCGATCTCTGCCCCTGCCGTGTATGCCAAGATCGGGTCCAATCCACCATCTGCCATACCGGCCCCCTGTTGCACGCCATTGCCGCCCATCGAAGACAGGTCCCAGATGAGCGCCTGTGAGTCGTCCCCAGCCGTGCAAATGTGGCATGAACTGTGCGGGGCCCACGCAATGGCATTGACACTTGCTTGGTGACGGTGAAGCTCCACCACAGGCTGTGTAGGATAGCGTATGTCGAGCACTACCACCTTGGGACTGTCCATGATTATGGTAGCCATGTAACGGGGATCCTGCTTATTCCAACCCAGGCGCACCAGAGGCGTGTCTGCGGGATCAGAGCTCTCGTAGATGATGGTGGAGTGCTCCTTGTCCCGGAGATCGAAAACACGGACTGACCCATCCGCGGAGACCGAGGCAAAAACGCCGACGCCTCCCCACGCAATATCATACACCTCCTTGTCGTGGGCAATAAGCTGCGTATCAACGGCCTCCCGCTCAATGTCCCATATAGTGCATGTAGTGTCGATGCTTGCGGTGCCGATCCGACGAGGCTCCGCCTCATTCCAGTCGAACGAGGTGAGCGGCCCGCAATACTCGGAGTTCTTGTTCCCATTGAGGATGGACTTGAGCTCCACACGGCCGCCGCTCTTTCCCGATGCCCTATTGCCGTTGACACTCCCCTTGCCATCGTCGCCGGCGGCGGCGCCGTCCGGCCCCTCGCCGCCGGTGCTGTCTTGGCCGTCCTCGTCGGAGATTCGCCATATACGGAGGAAGTCGGCGGAGGTAGCGAGGAGATCGGGACGGAGGCAGTCGCGATCGGGGATGAACATGATCTTCGTGGGGGGATACGGATGATCGAAGCTCAAGGCCGGGTCGGATCGGATCTCCCCTGTGGAATCATCCAACTGGACGATCTCCACCCTGTTAGGATACTGCTCCAGCAGGCTGGCGATGGCTAGACGGTAGCGCTTGTCCCGCCGGACGCTCCAGTTCATGGCGTAAATGTGCCATGGCGCCTCGTACGTGTAGATCTCCGACCGCTTCTGCTGCTCCTCCTGCGATCCGTCCGTGTCCACCGCCCGATCTCCTCCCCCCATCGCTCCTGCTCTCTGGTGCTCGCAGTGAGCGCCGCCGTGGCGGTGGCGGCGGTGGCGGCGGCAGCGACAGCGGCTGTGGATAAGGGAATTGGGGAAAAACGATGACGAGGATGACAGGGTTCCAGTTTCATATTATCAGTATGTCTCAAATAAATTATCAGTAAATTTCATATTTTTTTATACTCCTTGACATTTTATATTAGTTCCAATACCCTCATAATAATTGCTATGTAAACCACCCCCAATTTAACAAGTAATTGTGGAGCGAATTAAACCGTAATTTTCCTCAATTGGAAATCGCACACTTCGTTAACATGCATCATACTCTAAAACCACTTGTTAGCCATAATTAATGTTCTGTAACCCTGGTATAATTTTAAGATTATAAATACCCATATGCCCATGAATGTTGGTATATAAATTTTAATTTTTAAAATAGCCTCAATGATTATTTGAGCACATGAAAAATCCAAATAAGTAGACCTCTTGAAAAGGAAAAGAAAATTGAAGGGTCTAGAAGCACATACTAGAGTCTAGAAGATCCAAACATACCAAGATGAAAGAAAAATAAATTATCATTTATTTATTTTAATGTCTGAATATATTGTGGGGTGAATGGAATTAACGTGGAGAAAAAAATCAAGGAAAAAGGAAAGCCCAAATCCCTTCTTTTATGAATTTTTTAAATACCTATTTTATAATAATATTCGTCCATTTACCATTTTCTTATTACCTTGCTCTATCTTTTAAGATATTTATTTATAATTTTATATCTAAAATTGAGGAAAGTATTCACTTATTTTTCATTTTTTAGATTCCCCCTCAAAAAGAAAAAACTTTCCCAACCTCCATGTGGACACGAAACAAATCCCATGAAACCAATTGTGCATGAAACTACCCTTATTGTGATGACATCAATGGCCAAGGCTTTAGGACGAAAGAATGTCACTTGGCTCTCTCTAGAGCCAATCATATTGCTCATGGGGAGGACAAACTTTCTTCTACAATTTACTATATTAAGTGCTATTTTGACTCACCATTTTAGGACCATGTTGAAATTATTCAATCTCTACTATTTTTGGTTTCATCTCCTATATATTAGGATAATCATGTCAATCTCATGTCCTAACTCCACATCATGATTGGATATTATTATGACTAATTAAAGTATATGATGGCATCCTAGATAACCCATATTTGCTGCATGAAATGCCAATTGATGGATTTGACAAGCATTTATCTTTTATGCTAATTTCCTAGCGCATCTTTGACTTTTGTGCTTGGGGCCCACTTTTTATGTTTGAACCCTGAATAATTTATTTTTTAACAAGATATTTTATCCATATATTTTTTTCCTTAATTTTTAGGGTATTCATTGTTTAGTGAGACTTGAAAAATCACTCACTAAGAATATTAATTAATTATGAGTGATTTTTATTTTTGAGAATCGATTCCACCATATTATTCACTATTACGAGTAATTTTTCACGTGGAAGCCACTAAATTTTTATTTATTTATATTAATTTATAACTTTCTATATATGATTATGTTAATATTAAAGAAAAAAGTTGGGAATAAAGAGTATTGATTAAAATGGTATTATGTGAATTTAGAAGCGCTTTCCGTCGGCGGGCCCCTGGCGGAGTCCTGACCGATAGCTTTGTCGGATCTGAATCCGAATCCGGAAGATTGACGGGTGTTTCTGGTTTTATGTGTATCTTAAGGATCCGAAAAACTATCCTTTAAACCCTGCGGGAGATAGGACGATGACTGTCAGTCGCCGGCGAGCATCCTGTGCCGGTCTGATAGGACTCTATACTTCTTCAGATCTTCCTCTGCTCATGCTCCCATTCTTCTTCTTCTCATCCGATGTAGACATGATGGGAATGGTAGGCGGCGGAACTCTGCGGCAACCTCGTCGAGGGTTCTTCTTCTGGCATATGCCTTCACAGATGTTCCTAGCTTGCACGCCTTTGAAACTATCCGTTTCGGCGTGATATTGCGGCCGTCTTCTGAAGTCAGAGAGAAACTCTGAGAAAAGGTCAGCATCGACGGGCTTCCGTGACTCACTGATTTCTTATCCATTGGTAATCTCTATTTTGATTCATATTTACTCAAATTTACCAGTTGTTACCACACTCGTTACCGACGTTCCTTTGGTCCTCTGGTTGGAAGATTTTCATTCAAAATAATTGATGGGAGTTGTGTTTATAACAGCAACGATGACGAGTGATACTAATTGATGCGTCTAAAAATAGAAAACGCTTGTTATTTTTTCGAATGTCTTGGAAATGTATCACCTATGATTGCACATCTCTTTGGTATGCTGGCAGTTGTATTGAACGCCTAGAAGTGTGGTAAGAGTCCGGTTGAAGAGCCTCTAGTTCTGTAATCAGTTGTTGAATGTATGAAGAGAAGAGGAAATGACCAAGTGTTGATCCTATAGCAATTCATTCATATTCTCTTCTTCTGTCGGTAAGTTAATATATTTTTTTTAAAGGGATAATGAATGTATTGAATGCATCTTTCTTTGCAGATGCCGAATGGTCTTGTGAGTGCGAATGGATATTCAGGTGACGAAGAGGAGCTCCTACAATTAGAGAAAATATGTAGGGAGGTACTGTCTCAGACGTGTTCCATTAAAATTGATAGAATTACCGTTTACTTTCTTGTAAATATGTACTTGAATTGTTTTACTGATACAATAGAAGCAAATGTACCATTCTGTGTTTGCCTTTCTATGACCTGGCCTGAAGCCTAAGAATATAATATCGTAGGCATCTACTTAGGTTATCTTGGTTGATCATTGTCTAAACACATCTGAAGAAATGATGAAAGATTAGGCCGAATTATTTCCCCAACTGTGTTCATATTAGATGATGCAGCAATGAAATCATGAAAGATCGTCTTTAATGATAGATTTTTCTTGATACCCCGATTTAAGGCACACGAGTATTGGGAGGAAAAAAATGTTTCCTACTGTTATGAGTTTGAAGATGTGAAGACAAAGGAATAAATTGGATGGTTAAGATGGTCCACTTGTGATCGACTTTATGTTTAGTCTGTTTCCCAGTTTCACCTCAGAGAAAGATATTATTTTTGGATATAAGAGCTAAACCGCTAATTTTCCATTATGTGATATAGCTGAGAAAAGAAAAAGAGATGCTGCAAGAATTGCTTTTGCACGAACGGTCCATAAATGCAGAATTGATCAAGGTAATTTGCTTCTCAAATTTATGCTTTTTCCCATTCAGTTCACTGTGAAAATGATATTTTTTAATTATTTATTTCTGCATAAGACGGAAAATATTGTATCTGGTGATATATATTTTTTTGAGATGTTGAGTGACTTGAACTTACACCATAACACGGAACATGTATTGTAATCTCGGTCCGAGAATTGATATCTGCAAAAGATTGAGGAAGTAGGAGCAACCATGGACAGACCAACAGAAACAGATGAGAAAACACTGAGTATAGATGCTGACTAATATTTCCTGTACGCTTAAAATACAGGAATATGGACAATATGTCACCAGACCTAGTCTCTATTCATCATGGAATCTGAAGGTTATTACCACTTATGTAGAGGATGATATAGATCCTTGTTTTATTGTGAATATTTAATAAACCGTGAAACGTTTTGTTTAGAGACCCAAAAAATGACTCTGTTGCCAGTGGCATACTGATACAGTCGTTCGACCATCAGGACGTGTTTTCTTATGGATTTGACAGCGCCCTTTCGGTACGTTTTCATTACTATCCACTATTGGAATGGAAAGTTTAGTGGATCCCAGAGGTTTGTGTTGATCCGTGACTCAGGTTTATTGAATTGCAATAACATGACGGTTTATCTGGTATAAGGCTAGGAATTAATTCCTCAAAGGGCATGCGTTGCCTTCGGTCATGTTTGCTGGAACATTATTTTGCTGAACAATTGTACTAGTGTGTTGAAAGTTTGATGGTGCTGGGTATATTAAGCTCCAGGCCAAATAATTGGTGGAAATGATTGAATGGTTGTATGAATCTGTATTCAAAAGGACGAAATAGCCATACCTGGGTCAAAACTTGTCAAAATATGCCTGGTTTTTTATTTACATTTGACCTGCGTCAGAGAAAAGGGAATTTGTGTACATCAGTGCTTTCCGATTGTGCTTTGATTAATATTGTTCATTTTAATTGGGTAGCTTTTTCAATATTGAAAAATACTTGAATGTCCTTACATTCTTTTGTTTTTTCTAAACGTTTGTTAGCTGATTTGGCATAATACTCACTATTAAACCAATAAACCTAGCGTTTTCTCAATATGTTACGCAGTCTCTTTTGGAACAAGTTTTATTAATCTTAAGATACTTTGTACCAAACATTAAAGACGATCTGTAAGCATTTAATGAAGCTTCTAGTACTAAATTCAAGCTTTCTTTGATGCAGAGATTCGAATCTGATGCAATTGTAGTTTCAGAAGCACGTTCCAGGGACAAGAAATATATTGATGAACTTGAAAGGAAACTGAGGAACTGCTCGCAAGAAATAGGTTATGACATTAGCATTAATATTTTTTTGAGCAGCTAAATGGCTTTATTGTTTAGGTCACCTTTTGTCAATTTTTGAGCGTTATTATTATCAGTAAGAGATGAATAGTTAAATGCACGTCTAACTCAAATTATGATATCAATTTTCTGAATTTACTGTTATTGCAGGTTTTCTGCAAGATCAATTAAATCTAAGAAGTACAGAGGTAACTTACCTGGGCGAACAAGTTCACAGCCTTGAACTGAAGGTTGGAGAAGCCAGCAAATTACATGAAGAAATCAGCCTACTGAAGGAAGAAGTAGCTCAATATGACTCCCAACAAACATTTTTTATGTTTGAATTAGAGCAAAAAGAAGCCGAGCTGCTGAAGTCAAGACAGCAGATTAGCAATCTGGAGGCTGTTATGTCATCAGATACACTGGAGTACCAGTGTGAAATAGAGACCATGAAGCTTGAAATTTTATCTTTAGAGCAGAGGTGCTGTATTGCTGAGAAATTATGTGAACAGGCTACTCAAGAGAAAACCAGAATGGATGCATTGTTTGAAGAGCATGGAGTTCACGTTGAGGGGACACAGCACACCATTAACTGTTTGGAGAAAGAGAACGAAGAATCGTGTGGGAAATTAAGGACAATAGAAGGGAAGACAGAAATACCTCTCTGGAAGGCACAGACTCAGCACAATGAGTGGATGAATAACTGTTGGACAACTATGCCAGTTTCCAGAAGATCTGATAAGGATTTATTATTGAAGCCTACTGACAGTCTTTGTTCGCCAAATGATTCTGGTAGTAATTTGCTCTTCTCTCCACAGCACTGCCGTCTTGTCTTGCCATCATTTTCACAAGCTGTGTGTTCTCCAATGATTTGTTACAGTAGTCGATACATTCTTCTCTTTTGATCTGTCTGGGTGTGCCTTTGAGAATTCTACGGCTACATAGACTCACCTTCCACTGAAGCTGTACATCTTAACTACATGATGTGGAATCTCATTATGGTAAAGATCCGGATCTAGAGAGGGGTGTATGATATAGGGCATCACTTTCAGAAAAGAGAAGGTACTTTTTTTTTTGACCCAGGTGGCCCAAAAGTGGTGGGCCAGGCATTCTGGAAGCTATAAGGCCCAAATAAAATCAGACTGGGTCCAGATAAAACGCGTGAATAGTGTATTATAGTTGTTAGTTTAGTAACTATCTTGTTGTCAAGTCGTTTTAAATTTATTTTCCTAACAGATCCTATTTTATAGGAGAGTTACAACTGATCTGAGCCTATTTAAATGGCTAGCATGTTGTAACTTGAAGGACACCTTGATTACTACGAATTTTCACTCTCTTTCAGAGAGTACGAGTGCTTGTGGATTCAAGGGAGTTCCTTTGATTCTTGTGGATTCAAGGATCAACCGTTATAGATTCAATGGCGTTTTCTGATCCTTGGATTCAAGGATTGTCCAAGCTGTCTCTGTGGATTCAAGGATTGGGGAAAATCGGGCCTTGTGGATTCTTCCTCTGCTCAAAATTTTGTGCCTCGTGGATTCAAGGCTGGATTTTCTATTCTTCCACAACTTCCACTGCATCAATGGAAGAGAGGGGTTAAAAAATGTGATTACTGCTAGATTGGTTCTACAGTGTGGTGGACACTTCAGGTGAATATATGGAATGCTGTAAACATTATTCCTTTGGTTCCCATGAGGAATTTGATTTATGATTTGGATGGAGACCTTAAGACATAGGATGATTGGAAAAGGCTTAGAAAGAATATAATCATGAATAAGGTCTTTGAAGTCCTGTAAGGGATTGTTTGGTTCAGGCCATGGGTTTGCCTCCAGTTTAGATAGCATCTGTGAAGCCCACGAGGTATTTTTTATGTTTTCATTAATTAATAATTTTACTCTGATCCATGTTCTATTGGCAAGTGGATAACCAGTCACATTTCCATCATTATTCTCTAGTGTCCGTTCATTTTATGTTCATTGTCTGTCAAATGATACAACTGTATTACCTCGGAAAGGAATATAATCAGATTAGATAAACTCGATTCCTACTGCACTGTTCTGATTAATCATAAAAAAGATGATCAATGGTTTGATTTTCTCTACAGTTTACTTACAATTTTTTGAGAAAATATGGTTGCTAAAAATCCTAAACGATTAATGGGCCTCTCCTCTCCTATCTCTATTTGTACCCTTCTATCTTTCTCCTGTCCTTAATTTTCTTTTATCAAATGGATTTGCCAAGCATTACTTACTTGTAACTTTGTTTTTGCAAAACATTCTATACACATAGACCTTGTTTTTGTGTGTGTTATATTTTTTGGCTAGGATCTTACGTTTTGAGCGTCAGATTGACACAAACTTGTCCAAGTTATGCTCATGCATGTTGTACGTTTTAAATATATACATTCTATTCCATTGGTTAACGTAATATGTGACGTGGCTGACGAGAAACATCTGATGATTTAACCTTTAGTTTCTGTTCTAGTGATACTAAGATTAATGTTCTTGAGTTAAATATGTAAAAATTGGTTCTTCAGTAACTCTCTCTTTATTCGTTAACAAATCTGCGCTATTTCTGAAGCACTTATGAGGAAGTTTCCAATCCATTTCTTTCGAAACTGGTTCTCCCCACAGCTTGGGACAATTGCGTAAAGGATGAGATGGAGAGGATGTCTATTCAAATCAGGGAATCTGATCAGCTAATCGGTCAACTGAAGGTCTGACTATAGATCATTCTCTTGCCTCTCATAAATGCCTTGAATGATATTATTATTATTATTATTATTTTTAGAAATATGATCAAATCACTCAATTTTCTAGGATGAGTTGAGAGAGGTGAAGTTGAGAGCGAAAGAAGAAGCAGAGGACTTAGCACAAGAGATGGCAGAATTGAGATACCAGACCATGGGAATGCTCGAGGAAGAATGCAAGCGGCGCGCTTGCATCGAAGAAGCATCTATTCGGCGCATCCAAGAGTTAGAGGCGCAGGTGCAGTAGCATATCTCTGATCTGTCAGACATCTCTTTTTTAACAATATTATTATTATTATTATTATTATTATTTGAGATGCCCTGCATTATATTTTATTATTATTATTTATTATTATTTGCTATCCACATCACATAAATCATGCGATGTAAACATAAAGCTCCACTGTCAGAAAAGATGTATGAATCGCTCTCGGCGTCTATCTACATCAGATAATTATAAGTGGTTTATATATTATGAACTTAGTAGTCTTTTTATGGAAATTACATCTGGTTTATTTGTGGTTGTGCTGATGATCACTGCTTTGCTGACAAGCCTCCATCTTTGTGCCGGCATAAGGTTTCAAACGAAAAGAGCCAATCTGTATTGGCTACCAAGAACTCCCATGACGTGGAAGAGCAAGCGGAAGCAAGGTCAACGGAGATCCAACGCTTGCAGGATGCGTTAAAGGTAGCCCATTTATTTACTGGCCGAGATGATACTTGCGAATAATGAAATCAGAATTATAGGGTTCTGATGAACAACGATTTTCATAAATAAATGGGGGTTTTATTGCAGTAGGCCAGCCCAGAAGCCCATATTTCTTCGGCCCATTCTTCATGGGCTTGAAGAACAAAACTCTTGAATATAAAGAAAACCATTCGGCTCTGGGCCTGATTATGTAGTCCTCTCCGGAAAAGTCCAGAGATAAACAGCAGCGAGTAGCCTGGGCTCATATTGTTGGGCCCTTCAGATTTATGGGCCGGGCCCATCTTCTAATATATCATCTTAAGGTCTTACTACTATATGAAGAATCCCATCTCCAGTTTTTGACCTATGCATGCAAGGAACAACTGCCATTTTTGGAAATCTTTTTGTAGGCGCTCCTGGTCAACAGAGAGACAGAATCTCTGCTAAACACATAATCATGCAGCTGTGGAGAGTGTATCCTCCATACACAGCCCATGGGGTAACCTTCTGTGAAGAATGCGTCAACGTCAATCTGTCAGAATATCTCCAGATTCCTGCATCCATCCTGGTAAGGCTTCCAGTCAACTGTGATCATTTTTGTACATTTCTGTGCCTTTCAGGCCACCGTTGGATCATTTTTAGCTGCCAATCCAATGGTTGTGTCTGCCCCTGAAGCTTTTGAAAGGTTTGACCAGCAAATTCTTCAGATACTTTTTAAGTTGACTCGTCTAATCTTCATCTGTGGCTGGACGTGAGTAGCCCTGGATGACCGAATACCTGTGATCTTCGTGTCTACTCCTGGTACAATTCTCAGCAACATTTCATATTATATATATAGATTAATGGAAGTTATTGAGAATTGTCTATTATTAGTATTTACTGGTAATGATGTCAGGTTGCTATGGTCACAATCTGGGCCGGTCCGGGCCTGGGCTTCTTTAAAATCAAGCCCAGTGCTAGCCTATTAGGACTTGTCCATGGGCTATGAAGACCCACAATCCTGGTCTCACATGACCCATGAGGAAAGTTGGACTCGGTCCAGCCCAAGAAGCCCGTTGCCAGTATTAGGTTTCTGAATGGCGGCGATGTCAGTGGGCCTTCCATGGTAGGCCCACTCACTCTCATCAGCTTTCCCATGATGGGTCCTCCTCATGAGCCTAGTGGAAATGTTCCCCTCATTTTTTTATTACATATTTTGGTAATAATTTGGAATATTTTTGAAGGAGGTAAGTGAATTCCCAAGCTAGATATGAATGAATGGTAATAATGTGAATTAAAATTCGGTGACCAGCTTAATTAATATATTAAAATTAAATATGTCATTCAAAGGTGAGGTTTGTATTTACTGAGATTAAATATAATTTCCTACTCCATTAAAGGTTTTTACCTTTTTTTTAATCTTCTCATATCAAAAAGGTATAAATATCATTTAAATATAATTTCATAGTAATTTTCTTATTTTTATTGAGGCTTTTATTTTTCTTTTATCTTACCGAACATATGGTGTCATAGGGTTAACGGCCTAAAATAGGTTCCTAGTTAGTTGACGGGTTTGGTTATCGCCGGGTTATTTTCATTAAATCTCACCATTTTGTGATCTTTATATCCTTAATTGATGCGTCAAAATCGTGATCGTGGAAAGACCACCGGATGGACGGTCAGGATTCCATGATGGCAAAAAAGTAATTTCAAGAATTAGCTTGGAATGGGATCGTCACACCGGAAGAGACAACGGATATAAACCGCCGTCCACTGCAACGGCTTCATTCCAAATCTACAGCGTATACGTATCTGGGTATACGGGATAGCGGTGGTTTTGTCGTTATTTGGATTTATTTGAACCCCATTCGTTGAGTTATGTGCCCTATGGATGCGTACTGACACGCACCATGGGAACTTGTTCTTCTTCTCTTTCTATGTTCCTGATCTCGTCAATAATTTCTTCTGTTCGTGGAGTAGGGGAACCTTTTGCTGTACGTTGGATCCGCAGAGAGAGAAGAGAGAGAGAGAGGGGGGGAAGGAGAAGAAGAGGGAGAGCAGATCGAAGCCTCGGCCATCGGCCGGAGACTCCTCTTTCAGCTTCCTTTTAGGTTTTGACTTGATCCCTCCCCTCGCCTTTCTTTATCGCGGGTTACGCAGAATGCAGAGCCGGTTTTATCTTCCGTTCCCTTGATCAGGGATTTTCGAGCGGATTTCCCGTCCTTTTAAAGGTTTTTGGGTGGCGGTAGTCTTAGTTGGGGTTTTTCAGCGTCTCAAGTGACTCACATTGGATTTGTTCTGGTTCTGATGTATCAGTTTTATGTGAGAATGCGAATCCGGTTCTATATTCCGTTTCCCTGATTTGGGACTTCATAGCGGATTTCCCGTCCTTTTAAGGGTTTATGGGTGGTGGAAGGCTTAGATGTGGTTTTTCAGTGTCTTGAGTGGCTCGCATTGGATGTGTTCTTGTTGTGGTGATATCATTTTTATATGAGAAGCTCGGGTGTCGCATTGGATTTGCTCGCATGTGGATGATCCACCTTTTTTTCTCCTTTTTTTGTGCGTCGTATGTTCTGGTTCGTGGTTGAGTTCGGACATCTTGGATTAGGTACCCTCTTGAGTTACTGTAAACTCAAATCTATGGATTGTTGGATTTATCTTTTAGCTTTTAATCTCAATCGTGTTTCACATGCTTTGTCTCGTTGCTTTGTTATCTTTCTTGCACCGTGGTGCTGCTAATTTTGGTGTCGGATTTCCTCCCTTGTTTTGTGTAAAGAGTCCCTATCTGTTCACAGTCCTGTATTTAAAATTGATGATTCTCCTCGCTCGCCCCCTCTGTGTTCGTGTGTGGTTTTGGAGTCTCCCTGTTACTCTTTACGGCGTTCCATTTTCCGTTGGCTTCTATTGATTCTTTGTCTTCCATTTTCCTTTCCGACATAAAAATTCCACGTCCTCGGAACCTTTTTTTTCTCAAAGGTAAACAACGAAAATCTTGCCTGTAAGAAGATTCATGTTAAGCCTCACTCTTCTTGCCCTCTCTCTCTCCATTTAACTAATATAGTTGTAAACTGGCTTAATTATTCCTCCAGGTATAGCTGGTGGTTTCTTACCTGATTATTGGCTTGGAGCTTCTTAAGGATTATTACTTCAGGTCACTGCCATCGTCCTCTTGACCCAAGAAATCACCTCAACTGTCATGTCTACAGCACGGATGGCGACACCTGGTTTTAAGGTCGCCAAGAAATGTTCTGTCGATCATGGATCCAACCCTTCGAACCCATTTGATTCAGGGTCTGATTCTGAAGAAGAAACTACGCTTTCAAAGATTTCCTCTCCCCCAGTAAACAGTCAAGCAAAATACAAGATCTGCCCAGTTAGCTATGATAAAGATGATGGAAGAGGGGCTTCATCATCTTCTTCTGTATATCCAGGCTTCTCAGCAACTCGAAGCCATTACGAAAACGATTTTCGCGATTCTGGAGGATTTGAGAACCAGAGTGTGCAGGAACTAGAAGAGTATACAGTTTACAAGGCCGAGAAGACCACAGAGAAAATAAACAGCTGCTTAAAGATTGCTGAAGATATTAGAGAGGATGCTACGAAAACTCTTGTCACCTTGCATCAGCAGGGCGAGCAGATTACAAGGACTCACATGAATGCTGTGAACATTGATCATGACCTCAGTAGAGTATGTCTCTTTTCCATTTATCTTCATTGTTGTCTTGCCACGTATGACGGAGCTCTCTGTCATTTTGGCATTTTTTTATACAGACTCTGTTTCATAGTCATTCATTTGCCTAGATCCATCAGTGATCCATTCTGAACACTTTCTCCAAGTATATGCTCAGACTAACAGTCCATGATATCGACCTTAACAATTGACCTTTCGTTATACATTTACATATGTATACAACATTTTTGTGGCAGGAGCATCGCAAAGGATACATATTCTTTAGCCAGTGCTTGTTGAATTCTTCATGATATCACTCATTGATTTTTGACCTTTTCTCTTTGGCATATTGTTGTCTAAATATCTAAGTAAATTCTTGATATGTGTTTTATTTTTTATCAATATATGTCTTGTCCCTTAAACCAAACATTGACCTGACAAAGTGCAGTTTTTTCGCTGTTTTTAACATGCACTTGTGATGAAGAGGCAAGATTTGACATAATAAACAATCCATTTTCACTCTTTGTCGACGTTCATTTATGTCCAAATTCTATGCATGAATAATAGGCAGATCTAAATCACTTGGGAAAGGAGGACCTTCCCTGATGTGCCAATGATGTTTTTACGTGGATAGAGGATTCAGCGTCTGATGGTAGATGAAGCAGTGATCACCGTTTTCGTGAACTGTTGAATGTATTTTAAAAAGTTTTTCATATGCTCTGTTTCAATTTGGTTTAGCTTCTTCTGTCATCTTTTTTTTTTACACTGCAATGCCTGCGGTAAGTGTGACGCTTTTTTTATTTACCATCGTTGTGATTTGTGATTGTAACAAATTGAAATGGAAAGAAATCTGAAAGCTTTTCATTGGATTTCTGAACAAGGCTGGTGCTATAGTACTAATTCTTTTAAAATTTTCTTTTCATGGTGATTGAATGATTTTTGTTTTTGTTTTTTTTTGTTTTCCTGAACGTGATGCTTGAATGGTTTCTCTTCGATTTCTGAAGAAGGCTGGTGATATAGCCCGAATTCTTTTAAAAATTTTATTTTCATGATTATAGTACTAATTCTTTAAAATTTTTCTTTTCATGATGATTGAATGATTTTGGTTTTTTGTTTGTTTTTGTTTTCCTGAACGTGATGCTTGAATGGTTTCTCTGCGATTTCTGAAGAAGGCTGGTGATATAGCCCGAATTCTTTTAAAAATTTTATTTTCATGATTATAGTACTAATTCTTTAAAAATTTTCTTTTCATGATGATTGAATGATTTTGGTTTTTTTTTTGTTTTTGTTTTCCTGAACGTGATGCTTGAATGGTTTCTCTTCGATTTCTGAAGAAGGCTTGTGATATAGCCCGAATTCTTTTGAAAATTTTCTTTTCATGATTATAGTACTAATTCTTTAAATTTTTTCTTTTCATGATGATTGAATGATTTTTATTTATTTATTTATTTATTGTTTTCCTGAACGTGATGCTTGAATGGTTTCTCTTCGATTTCTGAACCTTTAACTACATATATCTCATACACTGAACCCAATATTTCCTTCAAAATGGTATGCATCCATTTTAGAAATCTGATGCCTGTATATGATCTCTCTCTCTCTCTCTCTCTCTCACGTTTATCTTTTAGGGTGAGAAGCTTTTGGCAAGTCTTGGAGGATTCTTCTCGAAGACCTGGAAGCCGAAGCGAAGCAGCCACCCGATTAAGGGCCCTGTGCTCATGAATGGTAATTCCCATAGGAAGAAGAGATTCATGCTTTTAGTAGCTGTGCTCTCACTTGAAGAAGTCCTCGCGTTTTCTGTCAATTTCTTTCAGATGATCCATTCAAAAGACCAGTCAGCCATCTAGAGCAGAAGGACAGACTAGAATGGTCAACTCCCCGCCGGGTGTCCTCCGAACCCAAGTCAACTTTGGAGAGAGTCGAGGTCTGTGATGTCGGATGAATGCATGTAGAAAGAGAGTCAATTATATTTTTATGAACCCTAATTTATCTGAGTGAGAGCAGGTTGAGAAGGCCAAGCAAGATGACAAGCTTTCTGACCTGAGCAATCTCCTGGGTCAACTCAAGGACATGGCTGTTGACATGGGGTCCGAGATCGAAAGGTCAACCCCCTGCTCCTTTGTTGGAATTTTATTTTTCCGAATCCAGGAAAAAAGAAAAAAAATCGCTGAGGAAAAAAGCGCTCTTAGTTTTCTTGAATATTTCCATATCTGACAAAAATTATACCCTAATCATCAGCCACGTCATCCTGTGATTGCAGGCAGAACGGGGCTCTGGGCCACCTGCACGATGACGTGGACGAGATTAATCTGCGAGTGAAGGGGGCCAACCTCCGGGCTCGCCGACTCCTCGGCAAATAAAGAAGGAATATACGGAGCAGAGATTCAGGGGATTCGGGTAGTTGGGGAATCTTCGACCGAATCTGTTCCAAACGCTTATATTTTTTTGGGTTGATAAATAATGAAGTTTAGTTTTAAAATATGATTATTTATCTATTTATTTATTTCCATATGTTGCATAAAGATCAAGCCCATTTACTCCGGCCCGGGCTTAGTTATTTATTTATTTATTTCCATATGTTTCATAGGCAGAAAACCGGGCTGGGCCAAGGAAGAAGTTTCGGGCTTTTATCTAACTAAATTTAAGGTGTAAGTGACTGAACCCGGGATTAATAAAATATCGGTCCGGTCTGTGCTTCTATTTTCTGGGTTAGCAAGTAATTATTCCGGTTCTTAAATAGGATTACTTTATTAATAGCCCATTTTCTCCGGCCTGGGCTTAATTTTCTCTTTCCATGGCCATAAAACCGGGCCGGGCCATGGAAGAGGCTTCGGGCTCATACCTGAGTATTTATGAGTTAAGTGACCGAGCCTGGACTTGATAAAATCCCATCCCGGTCCGCCCCGTCCCTAATAGGATAAGATGCCACGTCCGCAGGAATGGGACCCGCCACATATCCGGAGTTGCTTGTTCCACACGACAGCTGGCCCGTTTAGGTCGCCCGCTATCGGGTCTAAATGGGTCTCACGATCCAAAATGCCCCCAAAAACGTTCTTGCCAAGACTTCCTCTCTCGACCGATCTAAAGGTGGGATATTTACTCCTCCGCTGCCCTCGACGTGTCGGCCCTTGTATAAAACCGTGGGGACTCCGGGTGCAGGGCAGCTCAGAGTCGCCCTCCGAGGACCGCCGGTCGGAGGAGGAACGAACGCCGTCATCTGCGGGGAGGGGGGTGCGCTTGGCATCCAGGGCTTCTTTTGTCTTCCCTGTGTTCCTTGTTTTTGGGTCAGTTTCAATCTTCGTTGAGCCCTAGGTGATCCCTGGTTCTTCTCGCTCGATGTGCCTTTAAAGCGTCTGGAGAGTCTTCCTTCTATGATTATGACGATCGTCTTGTCTTTTGGCTGGTTGTTGCAGGGTATTACAGTCTCTTCGTGGGTATTTGAAGATGGCAGCTCGTGAGTATTCCTGTTTTTTTTGTTTCCCGCTCTGTAAAATGTTCATTAATTAGAGGAGAAAGTATTTCTAAGAACTTAATTTTTATTTTGGTTACGAAGAAATTATGCATTGAATAAGTTGTTTCCGGTTGTTTTGTACATGTGAAACCATGCAGGTATCCAGTTTGAAAATTCTTGTGAAGTGGGTGTTTTTTCTAAGTTAACAAATGCATACTGTTTGGTTGCGATCGGAGGGTCAGAAAATTTCTACAGGTTTGTCACTGCATGCTCCCGCTCCTTCTTACTCTCCTGTCCCTCTCACCGTACTCATGCATTTTGAGTCTCTCGCAGTGCATTTGAATCCGAGTTAGCGGATGTTATCCCGGTGGTGAAGACCTCCATTGGAGGCACTAGAATTATTGGTCGTCTATGTGCTGGTTAGTAACGTTGGAAGAGTCTTCTGATAGGAAACGTGATATGCAATCTAGACTAACTCCTCTTGTTCTTGTTGTTCTTATCAATCTTTTGTATCACAGGGAACAAGAATGGGCTGCTCTTGCCACACACCACCACAGACCAAGGTAAAGCTTCTATTTATAGGCAACTTGCTATTTTAAGTAAAAAAACGCTTGCCTTTCTAGTTGGATGTGTGATCGTTCCGTTGTCATGATATTATGAAAAGGTTTAGAGGAGAGGATATATTGCAGGAGGATAAGATAAGGGGAATTTTTTGGGTCAGCGCGCAATTCCTACGAGGAAATGGCAACTGACATTGAGGATGATGGGTTTCAGTAAAAATGGGTTCTCGGTCTTGGATAGACAGGAAGTCAGAAGGATGAACAGCATGTGAATCATGGTCAACGATAAAAAGGCAGATTTTAACAAGGGGACAAGATGCTTTTCAGTCACCATGGAAATTATTCTAGAGATGTAGATATGTTTTTTTAGGATGAACTCACCTTTTTGTTAGAATGGTAGACAGAGGGATGCTTCCTTTCCCCCTGGCAAACGAAGTCCGCCAATTCAATCTCAGCTAGATAGGGAATCAATGGCAGCAAAGAACCTAAAATTTTCATGGGCTGCAGTTCCTCCAAAAGCTCCTAATTTTCTGGAAGGAAAACTAGTATGTATAGATGGGGTCGTATTTTCTTCTTGGGAAGGAATTACGCTGAAAATGAGATCAATGATGCCTAAAGTTAGAGTCGGTTGTCGTGAAGATTTCCAAAGATGAATATATTGACTGCGCTTCATATCCCTCAGTTAGCAGTGGATTATGTGAAAATCACAATTGTATCCCTCAGTTCAGCATCATGGAGGAGACATGAAACAATTGTATCCCGATTTTATTCCTGGTTTTTTGAAGGGAAAGGGGGTATTTAAGGTATTTCACAGGCAGGTGATTTGGCAAAAAAGGAAATCCTTGATGAGGTTGTATCAGATTACGTAGTTTGCAATTGTTACCATAAATGGAAAGTGTCTGCATGGTTTTGAGCAAAATAGATTAATTTTTTTTAATGGAAATTATGTAGCGGTGGTTGAATGAGTTGTCAGCTTCTGTGATCGCATTGCAATTTTCCCATTGTTGTCGTTCTCTCTTATCCATTTGACAGAGGGGATCGATTAGGATTTCCTTGTAACTTTTGATAAAAATTTCCCATATTCCTTGTTCTACAGATCCGCTTTTTCAGCATTTGTGAACACTAACTTACACTTCGTTGATTCCTCGGAAAGTTAGCAACCATGCAAGATAATAAACGAACCGTCTTTAAAATGGTTCGTTTGTTCATTAAAATCTGATTTAATTGATTACTGGTTGTTTTAGTTACTCGAATGCATTTTGGAGTTTTTTTTTTTTGTTTTTTTCTTTCTCTGATGCGTTTGTCCTCTATCTTCTTTAGAGCTTCAACATCTGAGGAACAGCTTACCTGACCAAGTTGTTGTTCAGCGCATCGATGAGAGGCTTTCCGCATTGGGCAATTGCATTGCTTGCAATGACCACGTTGCACTCGCTCATACTGATCTGGACAGGGTACGATTTCTTTTCTTTTCTTTTCTTTTCTTTTCAATAAGATGCGCTTATTTTGGGTTTTTTTTCTTATCTTATGTAATATAATATTGTATTATGTTTTCAATAAAATGCACTTATTTTGGGTTCTTGTTCTGGGAGAAAGAAAGATGACGATATTCCTCTTTATTTATTTATCTGGAGCTCATGGTGTTAAGTTAATTATTTTTTATGCGGGATTCAATCATCGATGAAATTATGAAAAATGCCATAAATACAAGTATCCTGGTAATTTATTGAAAAGAAAATAATTTCTTTTCAATAATATGCACTTATTCTTCTGTAGCATCCATTGCTCTTCCTCAAGCCTCCTTCCTTCCCCTTTCCTGTTCCTCGTCACTACCAGGAAACTGAGGAGCTCATCGCCGATGTCCTGGGAGTGGAAGTCTTCAGGCAAACCATCGCCGGGAACATCCTCGTTGGCAGCTACTGCGTGATCTCCAACCGGGGCGGCCTGGTAATGTCATCCGATTCTAGAGAGAGGGAGACCCATTTCTCTCTCTTCGCTGACCCCTAACTGCTTCTCCGCAGGTGCACCCTCACACCTCGATTGAAGATCTCGACGAGCTCTCCACGCTCCTCCAGGTGCCACTGGTCGCCGGGACTGTCAACAGGGGAAGCGAGGTCATCGCAGCTGGGTTGACTGTCAACGATTGGACGGCCTTCTGTGGGTCTGACACAACGGCCACCGAGCTCTCGGTCATTGAGAGCGTCTTCAAGCTACGAGAGGCGCAGCCCAGCGCCATTGTTGATGAGATGAGGAAGTCTCTCATTGACACCTACGTTTGATCCCCTCCCCCCACCCTCAATTCGTCTAAGGGGACCAGTTTCCTTGTCTGTTTCTCTCTCTACCCTCTCTCTTACTCTCTCTCTCTTTCTCTCTCTTTCCTTGTGGACTCCCTATAATTTAGTTTAAGCCTGACCCATGTTCTTAAATATTCTTGATATCAAAGTTTGAAGGTGTAATGCCCGAGCAAGGGTTTGAGAATGCTTCCTGATATCCTACTTGGGGAGGTGGGATGGTCTGACCTTGATATCAAGCTATAAATAGGAAGAACTCCCTAGACATCGTTTCCTATTTGTGTCAAAATTATATAGCTATTGTGGAAGTCAACTCAGTTGAGAATTCTCCTTCATGAACTCTCTCGCTCTCTATCTCTATCTCCCTCTCTATAAGCATGTAGGAAGAGGTGATTGGTGGGTGCTCCCATGGTTTGAGGTTGCCATCAGCCATCGTGGGAGTCCTCGTAGACGTTAACTTAGTCAAGAACTCTCCTTCATGAACTCCCCTCTCTCTCTCTCTCTCTCTCTCTCTCTCTCTCTCTCTGTATAAGCATGCACAAAGAGAGGTGATTAGTGGGTGCTCCTCCCATGGTTTGAGGTCGCCATCGAGTTATAAGTGGGACTCCCTATAAAGCTCTCGTGGAAGTCAACGCACTCGAGAACTCTCCTGCATGAATTATCTCTCTCTCTCTCTCTATGAGCATGCGTGAAGAGAGAGAGGTGCTTAGTGGTGCTCCTCCGATGGTTAGTCGGTCTCCATCAAGTTATAAGTAGGACTCCCTATCCATCCATCGTGGAAGCGAACTCACTCGATAACTCTTCTCCATTAATTCTCTCTCTCTCTCTCTCTCTAAGCATGCATAAAGAGAGAGAGATGCTTGATGCGGTAGGAATTGTCAAAGCATCAAGATTAGTTGCATATGAGTTTGTACTGCACATTATGTATCTTTTACATTCAGTTGGTGCTCCTTCGATGGTTAGTTGGTCGCCATCAAGTCCATCGTGGAAGTCAACTCACTCGAGAAACTCCCCTTCATGCCCCTTCTCTCTCTCTCTCTCTCTCTGGCTAAGCATGTATAGAGAGCGGTGCTTAGTGGGTGCTCAACCCTTTCTCTCTCATGTTGACTACTTTGCATTATCTCCGTCACTAATTTCAATGCGCATATGACAGCCGGTATCATCAATGCAGCCACTCCCGCTTCAACCCGATGGACATGAGTTGATGGTATTTTTTATTTTTTATTACTATTTATATAATATATTAATTTTATCATAATTAATACAAAACCAGTAACTTTAATAAAGAAACGAAGAAAATCTTGTGGGACTTCACGTGCTCGAATTAATTTAATTACGTTCAGCCTCTTTTTTGATTTTTTTTCTAATTTACGTAAGCAAAGGTGTGTCAGAAAATATCAGACCGGTAAAGTCAACGAGGCCATTGGTATTCCTCTGCATATAAATTTATTCTATATATTAATTTTAAAATTATTTATTCTATCACGGTTTTCAAGATGCTAACGTGAGCGATATCACGACGAAGTCCGTATTTTCTATCGTAAAATTATTAAATTATTCTTATTTAAATATCTATCAGGTATAGATCCCGAAGTCATTTAGATCGTCGAAGATATTTTTATTATTATTTCGGGTCAACTTTTTGATTTTTTTCATAATTACCTAAGTTTCAGAAATGATTTAATTATTTGGCAATACTCGGAAAGCCGTACCGGCCTGAAGAAGATGGCGGCGGCCCATCGGAAATGAGGTGGCTACGAGGGACCATCATCGTCGGTAGGAAGGCTGTCAGCATCAGACGGCAGTCAAAGACAGATGGGACTGATGATCAACGGTTCTCAGATGTCCACGTTTCGGATGGCATCTTTCGGGTCTGATGTGGTCCTGACGGGACCCGTTTAAGGATCCGCTTCTCACGTATTATACTCCATCTTCTTCCACCCTTCCTCGCTCTATCTCTCTCTCTCGCCCTCCAGGAACAGACGGCCGGAGATAGTTCTTCATGCTGGAGACAAGCAGGAGGAGGTGACATTGCCATCGCCGCCCCAATCCCTCTCTCTCTCTCTCTCTCTCTCTCTCCACCTATCTATATATCTATCTATCTATCTATCTATCTATCTATCTTTCTTTCTTTCTCTTTCTTGCTCTGTGTGGGTGGTGGCGATGGAGGAGGACAAGGGGAGGGTCATGTCAATCGCTTTCGGCAGTCGATACGCTGCTCATCGTCCTTACGCGACATAGGAGAGGAGGGGTGGAGGGAGGAGGAAAAGGTTGCAGAGGAGGGTAGGGGTTGGGGGGGAGAGGATAAATAAGTCAACCCTATGAGGGAGAACAGTTTAGCGGGATTCGTCGTCTCCATAGTCGGATGGGGGAATTCGTTGAGAGTCAAATTTGAGGGAGTTCTCTGCCGGTCCTGCGAAAAATCCTCCGTCCTCCAGATCCAATGGTGATCGATCCCTTCCTTGAACCGGTTTCAACATTGAGCCCTGTCGGTGGCGCCATCTTCTCCTCGACCGGAGCTACCACCGCACCCCGGAAAAAGGTGAGCGAGGGGGTCAATCTGATAAGCACGAAGCGGCGTCGGCAACTACGATGCAGATTCAGTTCTCGCCGAGCATGAGAACAGTCACGATATCCAGTAGCAATGGGTTTCTAGACTTGATGAAGGTCAGGGTCGCGGCCCGCCTCGTTTCTTACCGGAACTTCTTCCACGCCATCCTCATCCTCGCCTTCCTCTTGCCGTTCGTATTCATCCTCACCGCAGTTGTGACCCTCGAAGGCGTCAATAAGTGCTCATCCTTTGGTAATGATCTGATCTCTCTTCTGCGAATTTTATTTTATTTTATTTTTAACCACATTGATGCTTTAATCTATGGCAATTCAGATCTCAGACTGAAATTCGATCTTGGTACCGTCTTTGGATATGGATTCAGTGAAGGAATTTTTTTGCATCGATGAATTTTTTTTCTGCTGGATCTCGTGTCTTTGTTTGGTGGGGTTGACCTTGGTATTGCTTGATTGGTTGATTCATTTCTCATGTGCCAAAAGAATTCTCCATGTCATCATCACAAAATTTCGTCAAAACCGATTTTTGATCTGTTGAGATCTTCCACATTCCTCATTGCGGTAATTCCATCTCTTATTGTCGATCTTGAAAATTTCTTCTGTTGCTATTTCTGACCTCGAATTGGCCCCAATCACATGTCCATAGTTCATTCCCTTCGATGTGTATAAAAAGTTCTTCAGCACAGCTTCCGTTTTTGGTTAAATTTTATGATTGATTAATAGGGTTGGTTCTTGTTTTTTTTCCCCCCTTTGAAGATTGCTATCCTTGTTTCTCTGAATAGATGTTCTTCATCTAACTCTTTGAATAATTTGTGAGAATGTGGTTTCTTATTCTGCTCTTTTTATTGCCTAGTAATTCATCCTTGAGGCTATGGAATTTTCGAAGTTTTTCTTTCCTGTTGGAGTTCTGTTTGTCCCTTGATTGGTTCCGTTTACCATTCTTGCTGAAGATATAAAATGTAGAAATTAGCTATTTATTCATAGGAATATTTAAATCTATGGCTATTGAAATGTGCTCGACATAGAATTTATATATCTTCTCCCTTACTATGTGCTGCATGATTTATAAGTCATCCTGTAACCTTTTTAGTTTCTACCAGTCAGATTTCTTCTTAGGGATATTGCAAGAGCTATTTGCTTTCATATCCTTTCATGCAGTCCTTCAATTTTTTTGCCTCACTTTTTCTGACTGCATCCCAAAGAGGTTGTCAATCTGTCTTTGAGTTGACTCAAGTAAACGCCACAGCTGACCTAGGGGTTTATTTGACTTTAGGTTGCTTGGGAAGGCGGCTCGGACCAAAGTTTCTTGGTCGACAAGATGATTCGATGGTGGGTAGCCATTTCATTTTCACAGGAACAAGTGACCAAACTTAGGACTGTGTGAATGTTGTTTTCATTTTAGTTGATTGATATGACATTTTTGTGGTCTTGTAGAGGCTTGTCAAAGAACTGTATGAGATACTCGAGCAAGTGCACTCTGAGGAAATTCCAGACAACCTAAAGCTGCCCAAATCATTCCCTGAGTTTGTTTTGGAACTTAAGAGCATGCGATATGACGCCAATACATTTGCTATAACATTAAAGGCTACGGTATGAAATCAATATTGAATCTCTTTTCTTGGATTTGATCTAGATAAGTATACCATGTCCTCGCTTAGCCTTCACAATTCTTTCTCTGGGAATGATCTTCAAACCCTAGATGAGCATGGGGACTATATAAGTTTTGGGTGGTCAACCTAGCTAGGACCAATGCCCTTGGGTAACTCACATCTGCCTTCTTTTTTCTCTAGCACATACTGTTCCCACAGTTTGAACATTAAGTAAACGACTACAATAATATGGCTGTGATTTTCTTGGTGAACAAAAGGCTGGCTATCTCTAGCCAACTTATAATATGGCTGCAATGCTTGATGTAGATACTCGGACATCTGAGATTATGTAACTCTGTTTGCAAGTTCTTCAATTTTTTTATCCATGAATTTTCTTGGATGTGGTTGTGATGATTGTGATTCCCAAAACAGGCATCTTCTTGCACCATACTTACTCTACCTTGATGTGTCTATAGTGGAACATTATTTCCCGTTTCAACTTATATTCTTTTTTTTTTTTAACACATCACTTCATTTTCTTGTAGATAGAGAATCTCGAAAGGGAGGTGAGAAAATCAAAGCTAGCAGAGCAGCTAAACAAGCATTTTGCAGCAATAGCCATTCCGAAAGGAATTCACTGCCTGTCCTTACTTCTGACTGATGAATATTCATCCAATGCCAATGCTCGTAAACAGTTACCACCCCCGGAGATGCTCCCAGTGTTATCTGATAACTCTTATCATCACTTCATTCTAGCCAGTGATAATATCCTTGCAGCTTCTGTGGTGGTGACCTCAGCAGTCAGGTCTTCTTTGAAACCTGAGAAGATTGTCTTTCATGTGATCACTGATAAGAAGACTTATGCGGCTATGCATTCGTGGTTTGCCCTGAATCCTCTATCCCCAGCAATTGTCGAGGTGAAAAGTGTTCATCAATTTGGTTGGTTGACAAGAGAAAATGTTCCTATTCTGGGAGCCATTGAGGGCCACCATGCCGTCAGAGATCACTACCATGGAAACCATGTCTTGGATGTTAATACTAGCGACAACCCTCATGTTTTTTCAGCAAAACTGCAGGCCAGGAGTCCAAAATATGTCTCTATACTCAACCATCTTCGAATGTACCTTCCAGAGGTGAATTTGCGCTGTTCATTGCGTTTCTATAAATGGTTCTAATGTTATTCAGGAACTTCCATGCTTTATTGTAAATGTGGATAGGTTAATTCATTTCTCTCCATTGTCTTTTGAAGGAGATTCAGTGTTTCATTAAAGGTTGGAAATCTAGGCATAAACTGCTGGATCATTAATTCAGAAAATATAAGTTCAGCTTTATAAAATAGATCTGACAGTGCTTGGCGCCCCCTCCCTTGACTATATTCGTATGACCACAAAGTAGAAATGTATGTGAGTGAATTTTACACTTATTTGTCATGATTGTATCGGCAATCAATCACATCACTGTTTTCTTGCTGATATCTCTCAACTCAGAATGCAGTACTATGTATGATGCTCATTATCTATCTTTGTTCATGCGCATACAGAAACAAAGCATGCATGGAGACTTGAATATGATTGTGCATGATTTTGTGCATTCCAATACATACGTTGAAAAGGCATAAGTTTAGATACATACATTGGTCGTTCATTGATCGAATGAATCCCCCGATTAAAGCATGTTCCTCTTGAAATAGGTTGGAGACTGGACACTGACGTTCCTTGAGAAACTATCCAAAGCATATAATTTGAACAATTAATTTTTTTTTTATTTTATTTTTAAGAATGTCATAATTGCTTGAGGAATCAATATATTCACGTAGGCAGAAAATTGAATCATTCTTTTTTCTTTTCAATAAAATGCACACAGAATGGGGATATGGATAATGACTCTACATGTTTTCAAATTTTCAACAGCTGTATCCAAACCTCAGCAAGGTGGTATTCCTTGATGATGATGTGGTCGTCCAACAGGACCTGTCACCCTTGTGGGACGTTGACCTTGGTGGCAAGGTGATTGGAGCCGTAGAGACCTGCAAAGGTGATGATGGTTGGGTGATGTCTAAGCACTTCAACAACTATTTCAACTTTTCTCACCCGCTTATAGCCCAGCATTTAAACCCTAATGATTGTGCCTGGGCATATGGTATGAATATTTTTGATTTGGAAGCATGGAGGCGTACAAATATCAGTGGGACCTACCATTTTTGGCTAAATGAGGTAACTAGATCACTTGCAAACAGGCATTTCCCCAGTTTCAAGTTTCATTATTTGTTCTTTAGATGTTCTAGTAAAGGCCATGCTTTTTTTTTTCTTTTCAAGTTTCACTTGCATGTTTTCTATTGTTTTAGGAGCAGACATTTAAACAACATTGTATTAAATGTTCTTGTAATGTTCTCAATGGGAATATTCAGAAATCTACCCAGAAATTTATAATGTGTTGATCTGAGCACGCGAAAACAAAGGCATCAACTTTCTGATCCGTCCTCCAAAGAAGATGAAACATGGACAGAAATTACAATCGGTTTGCATATTTCTTTAATCTTGTCGTGTCATACGTGCATGGAATCTGAACACATTGGCCTGAGGATTCTCCGTAAGTTGACCAATTTTGGGCTTATCTATGTAAGCAGCTGATCATCCCAGGAACACACATGCAATGCTTACTATCCTCAACTCTGAGAAAGGATTTATCCTTTTTCAGTGAACTGTAGTTTTCAAACCCTTAATAAATGGCGAATGTAGACATTTTCTAGGGTTTGTGATCCAATAATTCATGACATGGGAGACGGCTGGACAAGAACTCGGACATTCAGAGAAAAGCGAATGAAGGTCAACATGAGGAACATAAAAGGGAATTGGAATCTTGCCTGAAGGTAGTGCCTTGATTTTGACTTCAGAATTTTACCATGATCTTTAAGGATAAGACATCTTTCTAGCTCCAGAATCAACTCAAACCACACCCAATTGGCCTCTCCGCATGTTTCATAATGGTCTCAGAGCAGCGGTTGGCCAGGTGTCTGCAATGATTTGCAAAGAGCCCTGAGAGTTATCGTCTTCTCCATCATCTTGGCATACATTAATAGCATATAATAGGAAGATTGGATGGCGTGAAGGATTCCTTGGCTACTGAGTAGGCCTGTGTGATGTAGGGCTCTTGAGCTTCTTTCATGCTAGCTGTATCGATAAATATTTCAGCTTGATCAATACATCTTGTCCCCCTGATGTAGGGTCTCCTCTGTTTTCTACACCCTTTCTAAATAGTGCCTTCATCGTCAATAAATCTCTGTGTTTTCTTTCTTTAATCCAGGATCTAAAGTCAAACCTCCCATTGTGTATGTGTTCTTGCTGAACAGTGCATAGTCATCAATAAATCTCTTCTTCTTTTTTTTTTTCCCTTTCTTTATTGCTGAATCTGAAATCAAACTTGCTATTATGTCCACATTCTTGTCAGGCAACGCCTGCATCATTAACTAGTACATCCTTTCTAAATATTGTCTTCATCATCAATAAATCTGTGTTTTCTTTCTTTAATCCAGGATTTGAAGTCAAACCTCCCATTGTGTGTGTGTGTTCTTGCTGAAGATTACCTAGTCATCAATAAATCTCTTCTCTTTTTTTTTCCCTTTCTTTATTGCTGAATCTGAAATCAAACCTGCTATTTATTATCTCCACATTCTTGTCAGAAAGCGCCTGCATAATTTAACTAATCTCTGTTTTCTTTTCTCCGCTGCAGAATCTGAAGTCAAACCTGTCGTTATGGAAACTGGGGACATTACCACCGGCGCTCATAGCCTTCAGAGGCCATGTCCATTCCATCGACCCATCTTGGCACATGCTAGGGTTAGGCTACCAAGAGAAGACTGATCTAGACAGAGTAAGTAAGGCAGCCGTGATCCACTACAATGGGCAATGTAAACCATGGCTGGAGATCGGCTTCAAGCATCTGCAGCCCTTTTGGACGAAATACGTCAACTACTCCAATGACTTCATTCGGAGCTGTCACATCTTGAAGCCCCAATGGATCAATAAGTGATACCATACTAAAAAAGAGTTCCTACAAAGTGGGGTTTGAAGCTACTTTTAGGTAGCTTGGGACCCCCCATTAATGGAACCAGGGAGTTGACCACGCCTAAAACAGGAAGCTGCCTGTTGGTGGACCCAGACCCACACACGCCTTCCTCTCTCTAGCAATGGATTATGAGGGGATTCTTCTGGACTAGTAAAAATGGGGAGATCTTACTCTGCTCAGAGGGGTGATTCCCACTTGAAGTATACCAATTTTGGTCATCAGGATTGAAGGAATTATAGGGAAACCAAGCTCCATTGAAGCCAGGGCATTCAAGGCGCCGCCTAAAACACCTCTCTCTACACATGTTCTCACTATTTTGATGTGACATATGTACACACATTTTTCTTCTTTTTTTCTTTTTTTTTTGTCTTCAGCTGCCTGGTGATTCATTGGGGGTCGCAATTCTCTTTCAGACCCCCTCCCCCACTCACCCCCCCCCTCAATTGAGGGTTATAGGGGGTTCTGTTCAGGGCATGTATGAGCATTTTTCATGAGAATATTTAAAAGATGTGCAGATTCTTGTGTGCAGTGTTTGCACACATGCAATATGTTAATCATCGAGTAGAAATAAAAAATGTGATTATTTACAGTGTGAAAAAGATTCGATCAAGTGGATTTTATACAAATATTCTAGAACCTCTTCGTATATCTGTCTATCTATACATGCAATATGTTAATGAATGAGATATCAACAATGTTTTCTCAAATAATGATGAGCAAATTTATGGACCCACACGCAATTATTTCATTAATGGGCTACCTTCAGTTCTTCTCAAATATTCCATTAATGGCCCTTTGCCTCTGGTGTTAAGGAGATAGAGAGAGACAGAGATAGGGTCCGTTGACTCAACCTCAGATATCTACAGACACGTTTGACGGCGATCAGTATGGAGCTATGGGTCTACTTGGCGGAGTTCATGGGGACCAACCCATAACCCAGAAACCCTAAAAGTTTGAATGGAGAATGCTCTAGTAATGGTTCTGTCGAGGGTTTTTCTTAGTTTCATTGCTCCCAGTGAATACCACGAACAAACCATAAGACCTTCAGTGAATCTAATGAACTCGACTGGCAGGATACGAGAGGGTTCATGAAATACCTGTTTTGTACAAATCACGTTCATATGACAGACTCGATATTGAAGAGTTGGAATGTTTTTTTTCATTAATTTGTCGTATTTTCAGGTGTAAAAATAAACCAAAATTCCATTCTTTCGAATGCAGATACACGATCAAAAGGGAGTAAAATCCTCAAGATATTCATGCCAAATAAAAATATGGACAAGAAAATGATGAGCCAGTGCATGTGGACCTATGCTGCCGCAACATCTCGAGGGTTGACTTTCCCACACATGGAAGTTCCCAAAGTCAAATCGTCACAAAAACTGTCAACTCCCAACAACCACCAGGTGGGCTTATCCAAATATATATCATCGAGAATTGAGAAGAACCACATCCGTCCCCCGTTGCAAGTTAAAAATAAGCAACGTCTCCCGGACAGGTTTACACAGCACCCACAACCACCCCCTCATACATGCAGTAGCTTATATACAGAAATCCACATGCTTTTCCCCATCCATATGAAGGATAAATAAAGAAAGAAATAAATAAAATTCACGGTGTAAATTGGTTCAAAACCCATTTTGAAATACCTCTTTTGGAAGGCACCGTTCAGACTGGAGCAGCAGGCCTGCCTACTTGAAGAGAGATCACGGTTTCAAAGGCGCCCACCAATGCCTTCACCTTGCTCTTGCTGGTCTCAACGAGCCTGCTGGCGGTCTCTTCGATGACGTGATTGAGCAGGGCCTGGCAATCCTTCTTATCCTTGATTTCCCGATGCCTCAACACCACCTTGTGGGTTTCCGGGTGGTGATGGCTCGAGTGCCCATTAGGAAACTCTTTCCTCTTGAAGCTCCGCTTCCCGGTCTCACTGAGGTTGCTGCCGATCCTCTTCACTTGCCTGAACCTGAGTCTCCTCGGTGGATCGACGACCCATTGGTGGGGGCTAACCACCTTTCCACTCCTAAAAGTCAACCTGCAAGGAGTTGGGGCTTTGTCTTCGGTGTTGACTTTTATGTCCCTTCTCGCAACCTTCTTGCCTTGATTTACGGCGACGGCTCTTGTTCTTTCTTTCCCATGTCCAGTAGTGACCCTCCATGGCGCAGAGTCCACGCCCTTTCCCTTTGCTGATCTTGGTTCAACGGCTCGTAGGGCTTTCTCTTTCATCTTCACATTTTCGTGTTGACTCTTCCCCACTCCTTTTGACTGTTCCACAGGAGAAGACTCAGTCTTCTTGAGTCTCTTTATGGTGAGCCCCGGGCCTTGACCAAGTGAGGGCTTCAGCAGCGTGGAATCCGATCGCTGACTTGGCGTTTTCTTCTCACCCATTGTTCCCGTTCTCCGCACAGACGTTGGGTTGGTAGCTGCGGTCTTTGACTTTCCGTAGATGGGCGGTCTGGAAGAAGACCCGTCAGATCTCTCAGCCGGAGAAGACCCATCTTCTTTGCCGACCTGGGCCTTCATTGATGAGACAGCCCTCTTGAGAGATGGGTTCATGACTCTCGGTTTGAGAGATGCCGAGGGTTTCTTCAAAGATGGAACCTTCTGTATGGTCCTGGGCTTAAGAGACGCAGAGGGCTTCTTCACAGATGGAAGCTTCTGCAAGGCCGTAGAACCATCCTTCTTGAGGGGTGGGTTCGTGACTCTCGGTCTGAGCGATATCGAAGGCACTTTCTTCACAGATGGGCTCTTCTGTATGGCTCTCGGCCTGAGAGATGCAGAGAGCTTCTTGAGGGATGGAAGCTTCTGCAGGGCCCTTGGTTCAGTGGATGCAGCGGGTTTCTTCAGAGCTTGGACCCTTTCTTGGGCAGACGCAGTCTCCACAGGGAGATGGGTTCTTCTGAAAGACGGCTTCTTTAGCATGCTGGAAAGATCTGGTCTGGAAGAACCCTCTCGTCTCTTATCAGGTGGGCCTCCCTCTCTTCTGCTGACTTCAGCTTTCCCTGATGAAATGGCTCTCTTGAGGGTCGGAACCTTCTGCGGGACCCTGGGCTTGAGAGAAGCCGAGGGTTTCTTGGCAGGACGAAGCTCTACCCCAACAGATTCAGAATCTACAGTCGGATGAACCTTCCTTGAAGAAGCTTTCCTCTGGTTGAGATCCTCAGAGGTACTAAATTCTTCACAGCACTCAGAAACGGCCTCATGCGGCTCAACCCCCTCATGCGGCTCCGTCTCCTCGATGGTCCCAACCCCCTCATGCGGCTCAATTTCCTCGAGAGATGACGATTCTTCAGACTCCTCTGACTTCCCAGGTTTCTTCATTGGGCAGGGAACCCCTCCCTTACATAGTTTCCCTTTACCATTCAATTTTTCTTTCAGGGGACCTGCATACCTCCTCTGTCTCTCAATCAGAAGAGGAATCTTCACATGGTACTCTCCCTTGAGGGGAGTTTTTTCAATAGCTGCTAGATATGGAGAAATGCGACGTTTCCCCTTCAATTCGAACGTGTGCTTCCTCCCATACTTGCAGAAATCGTGGCAAGAGCGCCCAGACGCTCTGAGATAGTGGGGAACAGCCTTTCCATTTCCATCTTTGTTTGAGAGTGATGATGATGGAGCCTTGGGAGGACCATTTCCCGTGAGGCTGCCCACATCTCCTTCAGAGTTAGTGATCTCAGGGGTCCCTGGGAGAGGACTCCCCTTTGTTGCTTCTTCTCTCATCAGAAAGGAATCGACGCTGAGATTGGAGAATGACTGGCCTGAAAGGAGAAGAAAAAGGGTGTAGAGATTAATGGAATATGAAGGATGAAGCAATTTTTGTCGTGGTAAAAACGAAGAAGAACGTCAGTCGAAATTGGTTAAATTTTCACGAGATGCTCGCCTTCACGATGAGGTGTTCTTGATCTGCCGTTTATACTAAATCATCGTGTTTAATCTTTTTTTTTTTTTAAGTGACAGATGAAGTAGTTTTGGTCGTGAGAAATACGGTGAAGAGGAGGAAGAAGAAGATGTATTCACTACAAATGGCCAAATTTTCATGTGATGATGACCTACGCATTGAGGTGTTCTTGATAAGCAATCCTAACTGAATCATCATGTTCAATTTAAATAAAAATCATTATCCTAAAAATATAACTAAATTTATAGTCACTAATAGAAATCTGAAGATCACTGCGGGTATAATGAGCACGAAGATAAGAGACCCCAAGAGGTAGTGCTGTCATTATATGAACTGCAGAGGATGATGACATGATTAATCTCAACTAAGAAGAAGTGAATCTTAATGCTCCAGACATTGTCGTCGTTCAAAGAAGAAACAATGTTCATTGAATATTACTGGTCAGAGATATAAAACATGCGTGGACAAACTTATCTCAAGCCTGGAATAGTAAAAAAAAGGATTCTGCCAGTTGCGATAATGGTAGAAAACCTTATGAAGAGCATACGACAGCAACCAGGAAATAAACATGGTGGATATGACGGTAGTATAGAAAATGACAACTTCCTTTGGCAATTTTCCTTACTGAGAGGCTAGCCACGTTGAAGATCAAGAAAAACGTGAAATCACTATTTGAAAACTTAATGGCATCCAACAGAAGGAATCCCTTCCTAGCCCTCTGCAAGAGAAAACGCAAGTAAATAAATAAATGAGCTCCAACACTATCCGCATCTCTGTGGAAAGGAGCAGAACAGAGCGAGGAACTCACCTCCCTGATCTAACCAAGAGATTTTAAAACGCAAGGTAAATACTTTCAAATGCATCAGAGGAACTCCCTTTTAAATCCTTTCGAAAATGCATGAATATCAGGGGTCATGATTACCTTAGACAATTATTTATTTAGTTTTCTAATCGTGGATATTTCTTTCAGTTAACCAACGAATCTCTTCCGCATAGCAATCAGACAGAAAAATGTCTTTGGTTGAACTGGAGCCGTTTCGCATTCTATTCATTAATGAAGAGAAAAAGAAATCCAACAAAATTTACCATGACCGGAACTTGAAGTCGGACAACGAAAAACAAGCAGAAAACAGAGTTTTATAAAAACGAAAAAAGATTCTGACTCTAAACACCAGAAATCAGAAAATGAACAGAGAAATGAGATCTTCCGGAGCCTGAGGTGGAATTGTAAACTCGCACTACTATGTAAGCTCGAGTCAGAACACCTTTCTCTACGACGGAAAAGTTTAACCAAACAAGGAACTCAACCACCCCTGAGACAGACAGAAGGATGGAGACGACATCAGAATTAGAACAGTACCTATCGGAAGCACCCTCCCTAGAAATCCAAGGAAGACACCCGAATCCCCATCCGGAGTCTAGCCAAAGAAGGTCCGATGAAGTAAGAGAGAGAGGAGGATCGTCCCTGCGACGATCGCCGTCCTGCACCAACGGCGATGTCACCGCTCGCCGCCATCGCACGGAGAGGGGACGTGGCTGTCGAAGAACAGGATTCTCCTCTTCTCCGGTTCTTCTCCCTCCATTTGGAAGGCACCGAAGGATCGCCGAGTCGCAGAGGAAGGAGCTGGTCAGCGAGAGAGAGAGAGGGAGAGAGAGAGAGAGAGAGAGAGAGAGAGAGAGAGAGGGAGGAAGGGAGAGAATGGTGTCAATTAGGACCCACTTTGGGCCCCACCACAACTAATCAGTGAACAAGTGTCCATATCCGGCCAAAAAGTTCTCCCTTTTTTCAAAAACCCTTTATTCTGTTAAAAAACACAAAATTAAAATAAAAGTAAATATATTACGCAAGTAGTCTAAATAATGTTGTATATTTCTCCCTCCAAGTTTAAAAAGTATTTTTATTAATAGCCCCAACGGAGGTGGGGAATAGTGACGTGGTCTGGCCAATGGCATCGCATCTCTGATATGCCCTGTGAACATGGGGTGTTTTCTAATATTTATAAAAAAACATGTATTGTTATTTTTAATTATATTTTGGAGGTTTTTAGTATCAACAAAGGGTATCTACGCAAATATAATATTTTTTGTATGCAAATTAATTTAGTCGATATGATAGGTAGACATCTGCAAGCAGTCAGTCGTTGGCGGTGGATGAGGAAGGTGACCACACTCCAGCTAATGCTCCGGTTTCTTCTTGTCAGCGTGGATCTGCTCACCAACTTGTCGACTGAATCTTTCGACGGTGACTGCATGTCGCCATGTCGGCGGGGCGGCGTAAGCTCAATAGGCGGTGAACAGATACTCAACCACCAGCCGTTTTCCAAGCACTTTCAACTCCGCATAAAAATCTATAATTTATTTCCTTTTAAAAAAGTGATAAATACAATTAGATGGAAAAATTCGACAACTGACTAATTTAACCTTGGGATTTTTTTAATAAAATAATTATTTTAATAAGCACGTCCTTCATCATGAAAAAAATTACATGAAACATTTTTATAGTTTTACTTTTAACCTATTTACTCAAAAAAATAAATGCAATTATAATCATATTAACGCTGGGCTTTCCAAAATCTGGATATAGAGGCAACCTAGTATAAATGTAGGTTTTAATATATTTTGACTTGAAGAGTAAAATGGAGTACCCACATGAATGGTCAAAGGTAGACAATGGTTGACTATTTGAACCTGTGTCCAAACCCATAATGGGATAATGTTTGAGCCTCTTTCCCTTTTCCTTGAGGTGATGTTCAGGGCCAAACTTAGAAAACACAAGGCCTTTTATGAACTTATGAGGCCAAACTCAGTTGACATAGAGAATCCCAAAATGTGAAAGAATGTAATATGGCCATACATGAACTTGGTATCTAAATGCCCATATGACATAATGTTTCATGGTCTGAGAAAATCTAATACAAAACCTCCTGTCTAGTGATCAAAGCCAATTGTAATGGGTCCTTAAAACCTTTAGTAAAGGATGTGTTCATGTCACATTCTATCGTCTACATGCCATAAAAAACTGTGGACAAACCCTTTGCTGAATAAAATCTTTGATTTTATTGTGTGGACATATATCAAACTTGTTACTAAATAAGCTCATTAGCCTTGTGTCAATCTAGTGCCCATTGATCCAACCTAATAACACCATGCCCTCATAACTTAATGTGAATTTGATGTCTAGTGGATCATTTAACATTTTTGTAGCATTGTGTTTTGTTGTTAGAGTCATTGCTAACTAGGGTAATCAGTCTTTACCTGAGTCCTATCCCACATAAATTGGTCTGATGAAGCCATGAAAGAACCACTAGGAGGAGGTGAAATATTCTTTTTTTTCAAATGGGTTAAGATGAAAAGAAATCTGATGCATTAGATGATGAACATTACAAACCCAAATGAGTCAACTAACATCCACTAGATTCACAACTGTAGCAACCAAGTGTGCTCAACAATCGCTCGCCTACAGATTCATGACTCTATGAAGCAGAGCAGAAAAGTGTGACTCATCTCTTGCTGATCCACAATTCTATGGGGTCAAAAAAAAATTAGAGATTTGTACGGGCATCTTGTTCTAAACTTACATCTTTAAAACCCTCCAATTATTTGCCAATATAAAAGCCTAATTCATATACCAAATAAGATCAAGAAGAGGTGATTGAATCAATCAACAATTATTTTCGGGACTTTTTTACAAAATAATGTGTTGACCTAAAATTCGAAGTTATTTAGTAGCTTTTAACAACTTAAAAATTAGATTATCAATGAAGATCCAAATAATTTTTTTTCTAGAAAGATGTTTTCCCTTCAATTTTTTTGATTAAATTATTTGTGCTTTTTAGTCTGTTACCTCTGTAAAATTCAAATTTCTCCACATATAATTTTTTTTGTATATGCCAAGACATGCATCCACAAATTAAAAGATGAGATTTGGGCCATACGTTGTCAAATGAGCATCTTTCACATATATGTTAGGGTATTGGACTTGAATCCAGATTAGCAAGTGCTTCCAGAAGAAGTGAGAATTGGCCTATTTGTGACATCATTTTTACCACAACTAATCAAGGGTCTTTGGCTATCAAAAGGATGTAATTAACGTCTACTTTGGGCAATGGGGAAGACCTAAACTCAAATAACACCCTAATCAATCAATGGGTTAGGATTCATTTCAATAATATATAAAAAATAAACAAAAAATAGCAAGTTTTTTTTAAAAAATGAGATAGAATAATCCATAACAGAAACCTCTCTCTCTCTCTCTCCCTCTCTATCTAGATATCCATCTATCCATCTATCCATCTATCCATCTATAAACACACACACACACACACACACACACACAAACTGTTAGTTATAAGACGGGTTTGCACAGAACTGTTATATTGGAGCATAAAAACAGAAATCCATATATGCACACATGTAGGAGGAAGAAGCGTGGCTGAACACAGAAAGAAAGTATACGAATTTTACATAAATAAGATTAATGTTTTCCGTAATAGAGAAAGAAGAACCATCTGAGCAAACAGGATGTATCTACCCCACATACTCAACCATTTTCTGAGTAACCTAATGTTTGATATTTATAAAAAAAATAATCATGCATACATTAATTAGGGCGTTTATCACATCAATTCAGAGTCTCCTTGCATGAGCGAAAAAGACTTAGATTCATACAAGCTCCATAACAAGCATAAGGTTATTCACCTAACCTTCCAATTCCATCTGAAGTAGATACTATTTCTTCATTGGAGCAATATAGCAAATGTTGACAAGTTCATGATCCCAGCATCAGGTCACCACCATGAGAACCGCAATTGCATTCAAGAGCAGGATTTCCACAGTTGTAAGCATTAACCGGGACCAAGAAATGAAGGGAAACCTTAGTGGGTTTCTCTCTCCACCTGGCTGCTTGAACAACACCATAATTGGGTAGGCCCAGGTGACGAGCAGAGCTCTCTCTCTCTCTCCCTCTCTCTGTGGCTGGTTTGAAATCCACAAGAATCAGCCATTCTCAGGTGGTAATCTCTCTAACCAGCCAATCCAAGCTAGGATATGCGAAATATAACACTAGGAAAGATGGCAAGGCAAATAGGACCGTGATAAGGATGTACATGGCAAGGATAGCAGCGCTGGCAGGGATTGCATAGAAAACTATGAGGAGGAAGATGATGACGAGAGGAAATTTAGCTGTCATGTGGACGAAGAAGAGAAGAGATTTTCTCACGGATTCCTGCAATCTCTCTATATTGAGAGAGCTGGGGAAGATATTACCTTCGCTTGGGATCTGATGGGGCTGGTTCAGCTGGGGAAAGAAATTTCTTCTGAGACCACCCTGATGTTGGACTTCACTCCCCAGAGACATGCTGCTGTTTGATGCCCAAGCGGGCCGGTGATCGGCAGAAAATGAGGAAGGAGGCCTCAATCTGTCGCCATTCAAACTCTCAACCATCCACAGCAGGAAGAAGTTCTTCCGGGGGAACTTGAGGTCACCCTTGTAGACCAATCTGAAGGAGAGCAGGTGGCACCATGGGCAGGAGATGAAGAGTGGCAGCTGCAGGGGGAGGGTTGGGAACTTGACCACCGCCCACTGGAGGCCAAGAACACAGTTCTTGCAGAGGGTGTGGCCACACCACAGGACGTAGGGCACATTCTCCACAATGTTGAAGGATTCCCAGCAAATTGGGCACTCCAGACCCTCTTCCCTGCTGGTGTTTGAAGATACCTCATCGTCAGAGCATTCAGTGCAAGAGTGGCTCGCCTTGGAGCCCTTGCCCTTCAGGCTGATGCCGCCACCTATGGCTTTTGAAGCAAAGCTCCACATGTTGACGGTGGAGGATAGCAGCAGAAATATCAAATGCTTGGAAGAAATTCAGAGCTGAGAGGCATTTCGATAGTTTCCAAGAATAGACCCGACGTTACCACCAATGTATTTTTTCCCCCTTTAATTAAGAGCCTGAAATAAAGATGTAGAAAGTCCAATTAAATGATGAATTGGAATCTCAAGGGGCAGCATGATGAAAATTATTCAATCTGTTCCATCTGTTATCCGCTATTGGGAGATTACATCTTCAGGTAAGACTTTAAGATTCAAATATAGCATTTTAATGAGGACGTATAGTGAACAAATTCATGGAATCTTGCGTTCCTTAAAACCTCATTGATTTACCCCAGGTATTCAGCAAGGCTCCCAAAAAAGTGTACAATTTTAGGAAAATACGTAAAGAAATCAAACCGTCAGATTATTTATGATTACTTGACGCAACAAGCTGAATGGAAGGCAAAGCCAAACAAACAACAGTGCAAGGTTACCCAGGCCTTGAAGATTTCTACATGAGATAATGAGCATTTGTAGACACTTATGACGTCACTGATAGGATTTCTGAGGAAATAATTTCAGGGAGCTTCACCCGAGCCAAATAATGAGCACCTCGTGATGTATGTATAATATATACATGTATACCTATGAATACAAAAACATGTGCACAGAGTGGAAAAACCGCATATAGTATGTATATATCTACATATATACCCAGGATTAGTAAGTTCATGATATTAGACATTTTATGCACATGACACTTAAGATATATGTATAATCATCCTCCTCCTATGGATGAATCTTTCAAGAGGTAGTCATTAGCAATATTGTCAAGATGACAACAAGCTGACGATACACCAGAGTAAAATGGCATCTCAAATTAATGATCACATTCTGGGCAGCAAGGCAGCTGATTGATCACTTCATGAAAATGATTTTTATCTGTTTTTCATCAACATGGGAAAAACGTTCAGAGATTGCCCCTAAGAATATTATCTGTGGATATTCTAAAAGAAAGTGATTTCAAAAAGTTACATACTGTATCTTTAAGAATATATACAAGAAAGCATGTTAACTAGTGGCAGAACGTTTAGAAAATAAATGATTTATTTTTTTCTAAGGTGTGTTATGCCACCGGAGTAAATGTGAATTAAGGATCAACCCTTGTTTTGAAGTTAGATGAGTTGATCGGATGCGCCGAAGAGAACCATACAGATATTTTGAAGTTAGCCTTACAAGAGAATACGGATGTTTGAGTGATCTTGAGTTTCGTAGTTTCACTAAGTTGTCTGAGTGCTATTAGATTATCTCTAAAGCTAATGCAATAAATTCTCAATTTTCTATGGGTAAAAGGAAAACGAATCCATGAGGGACCATATAAAGGCACGGGTTTACAAAATTTCCAAAAATCTAAGCAAAGATATTTCTTGTCTTGACATAAAGTCAATGCTAGAATTGCATCCAGCATCCCCATAGTAACTTAGAATAGGGGTATAAAGGCCAACTACTATCATTGTATTACTTCAGGATACAATAAAGACTAGATAAAAGAGATTCTAGTACACCCTTGTGCACTCCAAATATCTTATGGCCTGAGAAACAGCAGCCCGATTCTTTTTATGATCAGTCTTTAACTTGTAAGACTAACATAACTGTTCAAGAACTTAGAACCAAAAAATAGCATAAGCCTCCACATCATGTATCTACTTTATGCTTTAATAGATACTGTTTCACAGGCTCTAGTATCCACAGACTCTCAAAGAATGGAATATTAGCAAGCACCCTCCATTAGTTCGATTAGTATTTATGGTTCCACCTTTTTCTCATCAATTGGCTTCCATGTCGGCGAAATTGACTTAACTCAGCCAGGACAAGGGACGAGTCCTCCCTGACACCTTGATTGGGCAGCAGTTCTAAAGCTGGCTACTCTACCTGCTTATTCGGGCAGCTACTCTTACTGTTTGTTTTTACAGCTGCACCTCATCCACTGCCAGACCTATGATATATGGATCACAGAGTCTAGTTCATCACATAACTATGCATCCAAACCAAACTCTTTCAAACCAGATTTTCTGATGTTCTATTTGTTCACCATATTTTTGAGATATCCCCACTAACTCAAATCCACCAAGATGCCTCTCATAAAATGTTTCTATTGCAAAAAATTGCACTCCATCCAAAAGCTTATCCATCTCAAGACCAAGGAAATGATGCTTCTTCGAGATATATGACATTTTCTTGAATAACAGATTTTTATGGCCAGCCTTCCGATTTATTATAGAACTATTAGGAAAATTGATTCTTTATGAATTTTAGACCGTAAATCACGGCTCTAAATTCAACAGTATTTAAATTCGCCATATCATTCTGATTTTTTGCGGCATCCTGAGTTGCATATTGACGCCAGCACTTATAATCAATAAGTTTTATTAGATCCATAATACCACAGAGCCACCCAAGCAGCAAGGAATGCCTGACCTCTTGTACCTTCAACCAATATTTTCTGTTTGTCCTCGTAGCCAATGAGTGAAGTTAGTAGGAAAGGTTCACACACTAAGTTTTCCTTTAGTATTGTACAACACATAAATTAACGAGTACTTAAGATAATAAGGCATTTTTCTCCTGAAAAAAGAGGTCACCGTTACTGCCGTCATGGGGGGAGCCCTCTTTTGCTTCACTCATATCATGCCTTTGACAACTTAGGTCACGAAATCAAAAATCAGATGTAAAAGAATAATTTTCAAGTTAATAATCAGTGTAAAGAGATACTTCAGCATTTCCCCCCCCTATTTACTGTAGTATAAGTTTAGAAACTCCCCGGAATTTCTAAATTTCCAGCGCAGTGCTACACTCTCTTAACAAGCAAGCCACCCTTTATAATGACCACAGTGCTCACGCTAAAAATTGATCCCAAAAGATAAGAACATACCCCACCGTTGGCCCCTTTTTCCCAAATTAATCGGGCATAATGTTGAACCACATTATCAAAATTGGCATACATCAACTCATGAATATTTTTTTTTAAAAAAAATCTCGATAAGCTACTTCCTCACCGGAAACCTGAAATGCCAAGTCGTGCACGACAGAATTCGATGGTTTAAAGACCATAAACAGTAAAGGAATATAGGATTCATCACAACAGAACATAATGACGATGTCATTTTAGGAAAAAAATACCGTACAATTGAACGAGCCCTAACCAGATTCCAAACTAGAGATATTCAAAGAACAACAGAAATAGTCACATTTACGTATATAAAACTCTACAACCTGCTTGGCTTCAAACGCTACGGTTTGGGGTTGAATCAAAACCATAACACCATCCCCCAAGCTGAATACAATCCCAGACCAAGTTACAACAAAATTGAACAGCGCCGACGATGCAGGCCACGAAAAAAAGGATAGGGGGGGAGTGGGTGGGAATCCACAAGTGAACTAACCCCCGTAGAGAGAAGAACACAAGGGGCAGCCGGAGAAGAGGAACGACCAGGGAGAGAGCACAACGTCCCCTTCCCCCTCAGCCACCTTACCTCCCTCACTCTCCTATGAGAGGAACCCTTTCTTCCTCCGAGAACAGGCGAGCCAACCAGATCCCTGCGATGGCCTTTCAACACCGCCCCCCCCCCTCCCCCCTTTTTTTTTTCTGTCGTCAGGAAAAAATCTCAATGTCATTATTTAATGTTCATATTTTTTTCATATCACCGTTAATTTTATTTCAACTATACCCCAAAGTTATTCCGGTCAATTTTCCCGCATTTCGAAGCCTTCACCGTTTGGGGAGCCAGTACAGAAAATCGATTTTCCCTTCCCGATTTCAGAGGCTCCGATCCCGATAAGCTCTTTTGATTTATGAATTGGAATCGTCCGTTTTAGGTTGTGTACCTGTGAGTCAGCCCCGAGTCAGAAAATCGATTTCCCGTCCCCGATTTCAGAGAAGCTATTTCGAGCTATTAGTTGGAATCGCCCGATTTAGGGCGTTTACCTGTGAGTCAAAGCCGACTCGGAAAAATCTCAATATCATAAATCAATCCCTATACTATTAATATTTATTTTCGTACCACGGTTTAATTTTTATTCCCTATATACGCAGTCCATATTCCTGAAATTTAGAAGCCCGCCACCGTTTGGAAAGCCGGTACAGAGGCCGGTTTCGGATTCCTCGCGGGTTTTGGTTTTTATTTTTCGGGTTCGGGTTTCGGATGTCCGTTACGAAGCGGTGGAAGGGAAGACTGAGAGGAAGGAGACGGAGAACTACCATGGCGGTAAGCTTGACCGGTCGAGCCCTAAATTCGGTGGAGATGGAGGAATAGCTGGTCATCTACCGCGTTTCCAGGGGAAGCGAAGATCTTCTTCCAGGAGCGTGGGACAGAATTGAAGAGTTCCGCGCCGACTCTCGCCGTCATCGGGTCGGAATCGGCGGAAGAAATGGCCTCTCAGAAGCCGCAGAGGAGCCTTGCGGAGGTCGAGGACATCATCCTCCGTAAGATCTTCTTGGTGTCTCTGGCAGGGCCGGTGGGGAGTGATCCGAGGGTGGTGTACCTGGAGATGACCGCCGCGGAGGTGCTGAGCGAGGGCAAGGCACTGATGCTGTCCAGGGAACTGATGGAGAGGGTCCTCATTGACCGGCTTTCGGGGGCCTTCCCCGGGGCGGAGCCAGCTTTTTCGTACCTCGTCGGTTGCTACCGCCGGGCACAGGAGGAGGGGAAGAAGGTGGGCTCGATGAAGGATCCGGCTGTGCGGACCCAGATGGAGTCGGCGGCAAGGCAGGCTAGGAAACTCGCGGTGTCTTACTGCAGAATCCATCTTGGAAACCCTGACATGTTTGGGCACGGTGAGGATAGTGCGGGTGCCCCGCAACTACTTGACCTGATATTCTCGGAGGTGGCTACCTCTTTGGACGCGTTTGGAGGAAATAGTCTGGGCGGGGGTCATGTCAGCCCTCCTGGCTTTCTGGAGGAGTTTTTCAAGGAGTCGGATGTGGACAGCTTGGAGCCAGTAATGAAGGATTTGTATGAGAAGTTGAAGGGCTCTGTTTTTCGAGTGTCAGTTCTTGGGAACTTTCAGCAGCCTTTGAGGGCTTTGCTGATGTTGGTTAGTTATCCGAACTGTGCAAAACTCCTGGTCAAACACCCAAATTGGTTACCAAAAGGACATTATGTGTCCGGGCGTGTCATCGAGACGATGAGCATCTTAGGACCTTTCTTCCATATCAGCGCTCTTCCTGACCACATTATCTTCAAGTCTGAACCAGATGTGAGGTCAGTATGAGCTACGCAAAAGATGACATATAGTCGTTAACTATATTGATTTATTTTTGCTTCGTGAAAATTGTACATTTGTCTTTATCTCCTAAATAGATTGGTACCACCTCTTGGCTGTAACCATTATGGTCAACTATTTTGACTCATTCTTTTCTTGAGAGTTAGACTGGCACCATCCATTCTCTATGCACAAAAGCCAATCAGAATACTTAAAGAAGGGGAAAATTACTTAATTTATGTCGGAATTATGGGAGTTCGTATTTTTGGCATTCTATGTGACTTGTCATTAGACAACCCCTCTGTGAGAATGGCTGAAATTTTAACATCTACCCACCTAACCACCTCTAAGGCATTATGGGGCAGCCAGTTGCTTTTCTGTAATCACTTTTAATGGACGACAATTGTTGACGAGCGCCTCATTATGACTGATCTTTGTCTCACTAAATGTATGACTCATCCCTCGTCTGGGAGTGTTTTAGGCATCTCGTGACCTCCAACCTTCTCACGTTTTACTTGAGTAATTCTAATACCTGCTAACTTCCTGAGGACAGTAAGAAAATTCTCGACATAAAAGATAAGCCACCTGTTCACCAAAGGAAGGCATCTGCTTACTTTCCGATGATCATCACTTATACTAGCCATGTATTATCTGCCAAATGTGGGAAAGGTTGTCCGATTATAATATAGTGGTGCAATCAGATACCCTTGAACATGTGAGCCATATAAGAGTATGTTCACCTCAATGCTTCTCTGACTGGCAAGCGTTTTTAACTCTCCTGTTTACACTGTTGAATTCATTGATGTTCTAGTGAAGATTTGGCTTTATAATTGCTAATTTTTATCCATGTTTTTGATAAACCAGGCAACAGTGCTTCCCAGATCCCTCTAGGCAGCGTTCAGCTGATATGCTATCTTCTTTTACAACTATTAGGACGGTCACGAATATTCTATATGATGGCCTTGCTGAAGTTCTTCTTGCTTTGCTTAAAAATGTTGATACTCGAGAAGCCGTATTAGAGTATCTTGCAGAGATGATCAATAAGAACATAGCAAGATCACGTATGCGGGTAATCTTCTTTTCTGTAATTTAAGGAGTGTCTTTTGAATGTTTAGGAGGGTATCTTGCAAATTTGTTTCTGATTTGATTTGTACTTCAGCTTTATTCTGAAACATGTGTTCCAGGTTGATCCTCTATCTTCTGCAAGTTCTGGTACATTTGTTACTCTGAGTGCTGTTATGCTTCGCCTCTGTGAACCATTTCTAGATGCAACGTCCCAAAAGATTGATAAAATTGATACTAGATATGTGTTATATGATGAGCGGTTAGAATTAAGGTTTGACTCTTTCCAAAGTTTGATACTTTTAAGCATGTTCTATTCCTTCCTTCTAGAAACTTCATATCTGGAGAAATCTTACCATGTGGATGCCCTTTTTGTAGACAATTGACCGCCATGAATTTATCATCTGAGGAGGTTGCAGCATGGGCAGACGGTGGCTGTAATGGGGCAACTGATGGAGAAGGTACAAATGATGAAGATAATCGTGCAAAGCAATCACAAGAAGCCACGACTTCAGGCAATAATGATGGAGACTCTGTCCTTTCTAGAGGCAAGCCACGGACAGGTTCTGGTGGGAAGAACAAGTATTCATTTATTTGTGAGTGTTTCTTTATGACTGCCAGGGTTCTGAACTTGGGAATCATAAAGGCCCTCTCAGACTTTAAGCATTTAAGTCAGGTAGGGAAAAGATTTCCACTTTGGTCTTTAATCTTCTTCCATGTTCTTGAAAAACTAAAATTAATTGTTCTTTTGAGTTGAACAATTTCTTTTCCTTCTTCTTGCTTATTCATGGCGACTTTAACTTTAAGGATCTCTTAGTTTTCTTAAGAAATACGGATTTTATTTGGTAGAACTTTCGACAAAACAAATGGTCAAAGATTTGTATTAATTGTTGTATATGGTATCTACTATTTTGTTCGTACTTGGTGATTTTTGAGTGATAGATGCTTATTTATTCAGTAAAAAAATATTCTAGGAGTTGTCAAGGTGCGAGGAAGATTTGTCCACATATAAAGCTATGCATGAACAAGGAGGTTCTCCACAAATTGATCAAGATATTGCTCGTCTTGAGAAGGAAATCGAGGTGCTTTTACAGGAGAGATTGTGTTATGAAGCTCAGCTACTGAGGGTGAGTATAAATAGTTGAATGAATGAACAATGTATTAATGTATTGAAATTCCTTCTCCTCATCTGACTTATGAATGTACTCTTAATTTATTTATTCAAATAACCTGTGGTTTCCTTCTTTTACTGTTACCTTTAGAAGGTCAAGACTTTACATATTCTCATCATGCTATTCCCCAGTCAATGAACCTGAACTTCTTTTCTATATTGTTACTTATTCAACATTGTGGACTCATACAACCATAGATCTAGACTTATCTGAACCACATAAAAAGATGTAGACTTCTTCTCACCACCTCCTATTTGCTGTCCGAGGGTTTCACTCCTAACAGTGCTTTCTTCACCTCCTCCCTTTCTGTATTAAAACCCGCGATTAAGCTCTTTCATTTATTTTTTAGCTTGACTTCACTTGCCTCTTGTAGAATTTTCATCTTCGACCTAGTGGCACATAATTGATCGTTGGATAGGACTATAGTGGTCCATCAGCTTACTAAGTAATGACTCTAGTTAGCCCAGTGCATGTTACTGGAGCTTTTGATGCATCCCAATCCTTTTCTCTGCCACCATGTGGCACATTCAATTCAACACTTCAGTGACGAGAACAGTGAGGAGATTAGACAGAGTCTCACTGCCTGATACCTTTTTCACTGTTGAAGAATCTCGTAGATACTAATCAGCACACGAAATCTGGCAGAGGTTATGTTAGGACCGGATGTATTCGTATATTCATAAGTGAAATCCATCCTATCTAGTTCTTCTCTGCTTGTAGGCGTTCATATGGCATGATGAAGTTCGCTTTAATTTGTTGCCCTTAATAAATCCACTATGATTCTTTCCAATCATCTTATTGACCATTCCCTCAAATTCTGAATTCTGTAAACTAGAAGCAAATTTATTTGAGCGTTTGAAGTATCTCTTCAAGATCCTCACGAGCATTGCGTCATCTTTAAATTATTATATCTTTTACTGATAAAATAAGTCCTTCATCTGGTACTTTATTTCCTTAGGATGGGCCATTTCTTCAGCGTGCGTTATCATTCTATCGGTTAGTCATTGTCTGGGTGGTTAGTCTTGTTGGTGGATTTCGAATGCCGCTGCCATCAGAGTGCCCCATGAAATTTGCATCCATGCCTGAGCATCTTGTTGATGACGCCATGGATCTACTTATTTTTACCTCCCGAATCCCAAGGGCCTTGGACGGATTTGCATTGGTACGTATTCTATTAAGGTTTTCATTATTCTCTTTTTCTCATATCAAGTGATTTCCACCTTGCCTCCTGATAATTTACATTCATATGTTTTTATGCAGGAGGACTTTTTGAACTTTATCATCATGTTTATGGCAAGCCCCTCTTATGTTAAGAATCCATACTTAAGGGCGAAGATGGTTGAAGTCTTGAATTGCTGGATGCCACAGAAAAGGTGGAAATTTCCCGTTCAAGTTTTTGATTGTTTCATTCTTAATAAATAAAACTATATATTATGTAAACGGCCTTTCAGGTGAAATGTTGGTTTTGATTTGCCACCTCTGTTTTTTCCTCAGTGGAGCATCCTCTACAGCTGCTCTTTTCGAAGGACACCAACTTTCTCTTGATTACCTAGTTCGTAATCTCATGAAGCTCTATGTGGACATCGAGTTTACTGGTTCTCACACACAGGTAGTTGTGTAGTACTTTTTCGTGCGCATTTGAATAGAAAATGGATGATCTTTCTGACGATTTCGTAATATTTTTCAGAAACTTTTAAGTTATTTCAGCAGACAAATCTTCATTGCTTATATTTGCCAAAAACCTCTTATGACTAAATATATTCTGCGTTTAAATTCTGAGGAATTTTATAGGTAATAGAAGGGTGAATGAAAGACGAATTACATTGTCCAGTCACCTGAAGATTGGTTCTGCACGGGCGAATAAAACTTTCTTTTAGGATTTAGCTAGAGGAGATCTGCAGTCTCATCGAGCTAACACATCCCACAAAATCTGCTTGCAGTGCACTCAGAACTAAACAAACACAATATTGAAACAGCGTCCATTATTCAGTCGAGTCATACCTGTTTGACTAATAAAATGAACACGGCTGTGCCACAACGGGTAGCTTTACCCTCATGAATAAACCTGTATCCATTTAATTTGATTCTGAACGCCAAGTTTCTTCACACATTCGTAACAAGTTTCAGTTCATAGAGTGACATACGTATGCAAATTCCCTCATTAAATATTAACGAAACTCCATCACTACTCGTTTCGATTCTTCCTTTTCTCGCTTTGGTTATCTCTGCTCTCCCCCTCTCATCACGTTCATCTCCCCTTCTTCCTCTTTCCCTGCGCACCTGGTTGAAGAACACAATAGAAATCACCACAACAAAGACAACCTGCAGCCACTTCCACTTGTAGTGGTTTTACTACGCAAAACTAGCAGATCCAGGTCTACTGGACAACAGGTTGATCTGAGACAGTAGTGGACGTTGCATATGGTATAAGGCAGATTGGCAAACCTAAGCCCATCGATAGTATAAAGAGGACTTGAGGCTGATGATTATATCAATACAAGTGACTATAATTCTATGCAGCCTGATCTATGGAATCTCATTGTAATTACACAGATATCATTTAGGGGACAGCCACTGAATGTACACAGGTCATAAGTACTGAATGATTTTATGTAATCTGTGGATAGGATCTGGGCATTGTGATTGAGTCATAGAGAGTTCACAGGTGGAGGTAGGAGCTCTGGAAAGTGGGCTATGGATGTATCAAGGATTATTCTACTACGGTCACAAGGGTAACCAAGGGCATCCCGCCCTCCCCTCCCCCATTCTTCATAGTCTTTTTGTACTCATCTGAACTTGCAACGCTGCAAGGGAAATGACGAAAGAAGCGGTACCTGTATGAGGAGAACATAATGAATTTTTTGTAAGCTTACTGGCAAGCCTTATTCAAGTTAGGAAGACGACATTGAACTGATATGACTTCTTGTTTCTGACATGGAATTTTATTGAATACATATTGAGGGATGTCATGTGAAGAAAGTAATCATACAGGGGTTGTCTACATGTACAATATTCTACTGGGGTTCAACCTATATGCAATTCTTTCGGTGTTTTTTTCGTAAGAAATGCTGTTTTTATTGATTGCTCTTTACATGCAGTTCTTCGACAAGTTTACTATTCGCCATAATATCGCTGAACTTCTCGAGTATTTGTGGGATGTACCGAGTCACCGCAATGCATGGAGACTGGTGAGATGACCTTCGTCAACTCTCCCCTCATTAATTTTCTTTTTTTAACTTCAGAATAATCTCATTTATTCTGGTTTATTGTTTCAGATTGCCATAGAAGAAGAGAAGGGCGTGTATCTGAATTTTTTGAATTTTCTTATCAATGATAGCATCTATCTTCTGGATGAAAGTCTCAATAGAATCCTCGAGATGAAGGAACTAGAGGCAGAAATTTCCAATTCTGCAGAATGGGAGAGGAGACCAGCAGAAGAGAGGGAAGAAAGGATGCGTCGTTTTCATTCTCAAGAAAATGTTAGTTTTTTAATGGTTTTTATAAGGAGGGAAATTGGATCAAAGTAACAATTCTTTATGTTAAAGTGCTTGCTGATCACTTCAGTTTAATCTACAGCAGGATCACTTGATATGTTTTTACCACATACTCATCTCCAAATTGGTGTTGACTCTTCAGTTCATCCGATTTGACTTAAAACTGGCAAATGAGGATGTGGGAATGCTTGCTTTCACTTCGGAACAGATCCCTGCTCCGTTTCTTCTACCAGAGATGGTGATAATTCTTATCCTGTCTTGCATCTAATTATTGTTCACTGATCTATGTGGAACTCTATTCTGTGCATTTGTGATTTACAAATCAAATTAAACTTTCAAACTTGTAGCATGATAAGCTTTACATCTTGATTTAATCTCATGGTTTTTAGACTAGCCTTCTTTGGATGAAATTATTCTTGTAGAATGTAGAGGCACCTCACCAAGGGTTTAAGCTGATCTGATTAACTGAAGTAGTCTTTTGTTGGTTAAATGAGTGCAGACGATGAATATTAAACGTTTCGTAGAAGCAGCACCGTTTTTCTGTCTCATGATTATCTTCTTCTAGCCCTCGTTTCTTATTTGAATGTCAGTGGACGTTGACAGGCATCCTAATTTCTGCTCTACTTTCATCTTGTGCTCTCTTATTTCTCTTGTGTTTCCTGGCGACCTCAAGTGGCCCTCTCCTTTCCTAATATCATTTCCTCTCCTTTCCTAATTTCAAGTGGCCCTCTCCTTTTTCTGTCAGTGTACGTTTTTCTTTTTCTCATCCACTGTTCTCATTGAACCGTCTGTATCCTCCTCTGCTTGTTTCAGGTGGAGAGGGTTGGGAGCATGCTGAATTACTTCCTCCTGCAGCTTGTTGGTCCGCAGCGGAAATCTCTTACCCTAAAGGACCCTGAAAAATATGAGTTTAGGCCAAAACAGCTGCTAAAACAGGTAGGAACGTGCAATGCTTATGCTGGCAGTTCTTTGTTTAATTAGTCCTTTTGAATTTTATTCGTCTCTCTGTGGTTATCAACCCTAAAAAATATTTGATGCCCTATGGTCAATCATCTAATTATGTGGTTGTGATATTTGAAAAGATTGTTACTATATACGTCCACATTGCAAGGGGAGACAAAGAAGGTATCTTCCCCTCTGCTATCTCAAAGGATGGGCGGTCATATAATGAGCAGGTATGCATTCTATTTTTGAAATCTATTTATCTGGCCACTTCTCTGCAAAATCTGCTAGCCCATTATTTTTCTATATTCTGACAGCTTTATCTGCATCAGCTATTTTCTGCAGCAGCTGGGGTTCTGCAGAAGATCGGTGCAGATGGAAGGCTTGTTCAAGAATTTATTCAACTTGGTGCAAAAGCTAAAGATGCAGCATCCGAGGCGATGGACGCCGAGGAGACACTTGGAGAGATTCCTGATGAATTCCTGGACCCAATTCAGGTTTTCTTTAGATTCTTAAAAAAGAAAATTCTAGTTCTGCATTATTTTCATGATTTCCTGAATTTATAAAAAAATTCATTAGTCAAAACGTTCCAGTATAATTAGCTCATATTAGTATCTGTTTAAGTGATATATTTTTTTACTATATTTCATATTTATTCATTATGATATTTATTCATACCTACAGCATACCCTCCCTTTGGGCACAATTTCCTGAAAGAAAAGGGAAAATTCTCTCCGCGAAATTATTTATCGGACTTTCCAATTATAGAAAATGATATATATTGCCTCAACACTGAAACTTTGTTCAAAATTCAGAGGGAGATATTAAACCAATCTTCCTTTTTTATGGCATCTTGAAGGTTTACATTTTTTTTTTTTAATTTTTGAAAATATCACTTCCAACCTGACTCTTTTTGTTAATTAATCCCTGTACCAATATGCTAGAATATTATGGTGGAACCAGATAGAGCGCCTACTTCTACTAATCTGAGTCCCTCCTCCCTTGCAGTACACTCTGATGAAGGATCCCGTGATCTTACCCTCCTCAAGAGTCTCTGTAGATCGGCCAGTAATCCAGAGGCATCTGCTTAGTGACAGCGTAAGAAATACATTCCATCTCCAGAACTCTTTTTTTAGTTATTTCCCTAAATAAAAAATAAAAAATTAATAACAACTCATTTCCAAATTTGCCAACGTTTTTCAGAGCGACCCGTTCAATCGATCTCATCTCACTCAAGACATGCTGATCCCCAACACCGAGCTCAAGGCGAGGATTGCAGAATTCATCGTGACCCAGCAGATGAAGCGGCACAGTCGAGGATTGAAGCGGGCGATGGAAGGAGCCACCGAGGAATCTGAATCCATGATGGAAGACTGAGAAAAGCTCTCCCATATAATCCACCTGGGTTCCTCTCATTGTCGATCCCCTGGTGAGTGGCCTCTTCGTTATCGATATTATTGCCTAAAAAATAACGCAAAAAAAATATTAAATAAACCCAATCTATCAATGTTGATCATTCATTCTAGATTTCTTCAGTCGAAATCTTGTGGATAGTTTAGTTGCTGACCTTTAAAGACTAATTATAGATTATATCGGTTTTTTTTTTAGAACTATTTTATGGATTTCTTTTGTCGAAGATCTTATGGTAGAATTGCTCATCTTAGCTTGATATCTTCCCAATCTAACCTTTTATCAGGGGGGACAATCTGAAATTAATGATTGAGGAGCTAATATCTCTTGTTGCTGACCATTAAAGACTAATTACAGATTATTTCAGTTATTTAGGAACTATTTGATGGATTCCTTTTGTCGAAGATCTTATGGTAGAATATCTCATCTTAGCGTAATATCTTGCCAATCTAACCTTTCATCAGGGGGAACAATCTGAAATTAATGATTGAGGGCCATTAATATGTTTTTACTGACCATTAAAGACTACTCACAGATTATTTCGGTTTTTTTAAGAACTATTTTATGGATTTATGCTCATTTTGGTCTAATATCTTGCCAATCTAACCTTTCATCAGGGGGGAAAAATCTAATTAATGATGGGAGGACCATTAATCTGTTTTTTGCTGCCCATTAAAGACTAAATTACCGATTATTTCCGTTTTTTAAAAAACTATATGTGGATTGATTTTGTCGAAGATCTTATGGTAGAATTGCTCATCTTTAGTCTAATATCTTGTCAATCTAACCTTTCATCAGGGGGAACAATCTGAAATTAATGCTTGAGGGCCACAAATCTGTTTTTGCTGACCATTAAAGACTAATTACAGATTATTTCGTTGTTTTTTTTAGAACTATATATGGGTTGATTATGTCGAAGATCTTATGGTGGAATTTCTAATCTTAGTTTAATATCTTGTCAAGCTAACACCATCTGAAATTATGATTGAGGGCCATTGATCTGTTCTTGCTGACCATGAAATACTGAAATTAATGATTGAGGGTCATTAATCTGTTCTTGCTGACCATGGAATAGTGAAATTAATTTTATAGATTATTTCGGTTTTTTTATATAACTATAACTATATAATGATTGATTTTGTCGATGATCTTAGGTAGAATTGCTCATCTTAGCCTTAATATCGTGCCAATCTAACCTTTCATCAGGGGGAATCATCTGAGATTAATGATGGGAGGACTGAGGAGAGCTTCTCCTGGCTGACCAACGTGGATTCCTCTTGATGTGTTCTCCCTTTTGCCTTCCATTGATGGAAATACTGCCAAAAAAAAAATAAAAAAATCCAACGAACTAATTATGTTGATTTGTGGGTACGAAATTACTCTAATGATAAGATATTATTTGGATTTTGTGGTATTGGATTTTGGTGGGGCCCACCCCCACCGGGCCCACAGAGCCACAACCGAACGGCGACTGGAATCGATTCCCAGAGCTCATTCGAAATTGTCGCCGAAGGAAAAAAAAGAAATCGCGACGCGGTTTCCGTTGTCTGGAATCGCATTCGGCGTGTGAGCCGCTCAGAATCCCTCTTCCACGCAGTGTTCGGAATCAATTCGGTCAAGAGCCGATCTAGGGAGGATTGAAGTATCAAGGGTAAAGAATCTGTTAGGAATCCACCAAAAACCTGTCTGGAATCCCATTCCCGGTTAAAGAATCTAATACGATTTCCTCCCATAGGCCACACTGGCTTTTAGGAGTCAGTCAGTGTTTGGTGCCACGTAGGTGCAGAAATCGCGAGAACCAAGGGACCTTTAGAATCCGGGTATTGTGTTTGGCTAGAATCGCTTCTGTGAGTAAGAATCGATTTCACGTAACTGTAAATAAGAATATAAACCACGTAGTTGGTGGGGAAAGTCGAGTGTGGCAATGGAGATGGAGATCGACTCCCCGAAGGCGGAGCTCTTCAGAGCCGCAGAAGTGGGGGACTCGCAGGCCTTCCGATCCCTCTCCGCTGATGATCTGCAGAGAGCGCGGTCTCTGCGGAATGAGGACGGGCGCTCCCTTCTCCACGTTGCGGCCTCCTTCGGCCACGCCGAGGTTTGTCTCCCGATCCCCATTCCAATCCCCTACAAAGTGTTCTTCCGGCCCGTTTTCCAGTGTTTCGACGAACTTTTGAGTTGAGGTTTTATGTTGATCCGTCGGAGAAGGTGGTCGGCCTGTTGTCGGCGGCTGATCCGTCGGTCAGCGGCATCAACAGCACAGACGAGGAAGGGTGGGCGCCTATCCACTCTGCTGCTAGCAGCGGCCATGGAGACGTTGTTGAGATATTACTCAGCAGAGGTATTCCACAAAGCCGTCTGGAGTTTCTCTGTCCGTGATAAATAAACCTAACGAAGCACCTTGATGTTCTTCGAGTGTATATAGTCGACCCATGTGCGATACAAGTGAGTTGCAACTGTGATAGAGTTGATGAGGTGGAAGAATTTTGAACAAAACTTGGCTGAGCCAGTACGTATGAACTATGTAAATCGAATACTCAGGAACTCTAGGCAATTTTTTTTGCATTTGACCCAAAATCTGAGGAAAACAGCGAGATAGTGACTTGAAATTTTAAGTTTAGGTAAAAGAGTTTCATAATACAACTAGAGCCTTCAATACTAGGGGGAATATTCGAGTATGAACATGTTTTAAAGGAGCAAACGATAGAGAAAGCGGGGCGTTCGAACACTCTGGCCTTTTCCACACTCCTGCGTCGAATGATTTTGTGAATATTCTCAAAAATTTTAGGTTCTTCAATGAGTGCCGGTCCATAAGAAATTTAAAAGGCAAACGTTGACAAACTTCACCTGAAATTTATAATTTCTTCGCGTTATGAACAATGTTTTTTCAGTCTTTGTCATGGATAGCGTATCCCGATTCAAATCACAGAAATTTCTTGGACACCATATTATAAAAGTATCTTGTTTTGACATTTAGAAGTAAAAGGCATTCAGATACATTGTTGTGAAACAAATTGGTAGATGTGCAATCTCTTTCTTCAGCATTACGGTGTTTTAAATCAATGAATACAACAAGCAGGAGCTTCTGTGAATTTGGTGAATAATGGTGGTCGCCTTCCACTTCACTACGCTGCTAGCAAAGGATGGTTGAAAATAGCAGAAATGATGATCGCCCATGGTTCAAAGCTCAATCGCAAGGATGAGGTTCGTCAGTCACTGGAAATTTTCTGACACTTTTTTTCCACAAGCTCTGCTTCATGCTCCTATGGTTGATACCACGTGGGCATTTGAGTCTCTCTTACAACTGCATTCAGGTTGGTTGCACCCCCCTCCATCGTGCTGCAAGCACAGGAAATGGGGAGTTATGCGAGCTGTTGATAGAGGAAGGAGCTGAAGTTGATGCTGTTGACAGAACAGGCCAAACGCCTCTCATGCATGCGGTTATTTGCCAAAACAATCAGGTAAAAGCCCAAATAACCATACAACGGTAGGTTGGAACCATAAGATTCGCCCTCTTTGGGAAGAATCGAACACTCTTGGGACTCTTCTTTCCTACATGTCAGTTCCACTTATATGAGATCTATCACAAATGGCATCAAAGATCTGCCTTCGATTCTTATGCTTGCTCTCTGTGAATTCTTTCCACCTATGAATTATCCAATCGTCAAACCCCTAAATCCATCTTATATTAACTTTAATTCTTTCCATAAAACCTGTTATTTCCCGAGGATTGGGAGTAATTCCCCCTAGATTCTCTCTAGTTTTCTGTTCTTCTGAACTCCCTCTCCATTTACATGGCAGGTCGCTCTCCTGCTAATCAGGCATGGGGCGGATGTTGACGTCCAAGACAAGGAAGGATACACCGTTCTTGGCCGGGCTACCAGCGACTTCAGACCTGCTCTTATCGACGCGGCCAAGGCCATGCTGGAAGATTAGATAGATGGGCGCGATTCTGGGTCCCTCCTTCTACCCGCTGCACTGGTTTTACCTTCTGTGAGATCCTCCTCCCTTAATTAACCTCTGCTTACCCTGCTGATTCTGAGTGAGAACCATGGCTGTACCTTGAACGGATGATCTGCTCATCAAATAGAGTCTCATATAGTTTATAGCCGAATTAGTTGAAACTCAAGGACCTTCTAGAAACATCTATACGTCCATATCTCTTCAGGGCTGGGTCTGTGGAGTCAACTTGTCTGGGTTCGGAATTGGAATGTTTAACTTTATTCGGAGTGCCCAATTTTGCATCTGCTTACCCTGCTAATTCTGAGTGAGGATCATGGATAGACCATGACATTATTTTTTCTGATCAGTAAAATAAAAAAAATGGAAAACTCTTTTTTTATGGTCAAAAATTCATTTATCTCAATTATTTCGCAAGAACAATAAGAAAAATAAGAAGAAAAAAATCTAAACAAAACAATAATAATTCAAACGAATCGTCGAATTAACGATTTTTTGGCTCCCGAATATCCAACTGACCAATTAATTTCTTATAACTTACTCTATTTTTCTTTGACAAATACGCCAGCAGCCGCTGACGTGTTCCCAGAATTATTCGTATACCCCTCTGAGATGAAAAATCTTTTTTATGCAATTCCAAATGGGAACAGATTGATCTGTTCATCGAGTAGAATCTCTTACAGTCTATAGTCAAACTACTTGTTGAAACTCTAGGGCCTTCTAGAGAGATCTAACCGTCCAACATCTCCTTCAGGACTGGGTCGAATTGGGTCCGTAGGGTCAACTGGTCCGGGTTCAGAATTGGATTGTTTGACTTTTTGCGGGGTTGTGCCCAAATTTTCTGCCATTTCAGCTCGACCCGCCCGATTCCGAAAATGGACTATCCGCGGGACCCACATGAAACCTGGACCGTATTGCTCACTACAGACAGCCCAAAATTTGGCTCTGAGGTGGTCCTATGAGAGAGAGAGAAGAGAGAGAGAGAGAGAGAGAGAGATGCTGCCGTACTAATGGACGAGGTATTGATTTGAGAGAATAGTGAAAAATGGTATTTTAAATGAAGGGTCATTTGGTGAATTTTTTTTTCTTAATTGAAGAGAAAAAAAAAAGGCACCATTGAAAAAAAGAGAATTAATGAAGGGACCAACATTTTTGCTTATTTATTTATTTACCTTTTCATTATAAAAACGAACCCCGAGTCTAAGCATCGGGCTGGACCTGGGTCCAAAGAAAAAGTCCACAAATTGACCCAAAATTTATGAGTGCTTTAGAGAGAGAATTGGGTGGGGGCGGGGGGGGCAGATGGCTGATGTTATGCCACGTGGCAGTGCTAACGGCCCTCACATTCTGCGACGTGGGACATCCAATTCTTCTTGAAGAAGTGGTCGTCCTTACTAGTGTCAATGGGCCAATTGGGCCCTGTCTCAACCCGGCCCAACCTTTTTCTCTCTCTCTCTCTCTCGTTCGCTCTCTGATCCACGAGAAGCACCTCAGGAACATGTGGCAAGCAGGGGTAGGGTCGGTCCGGGCCGGGCCCCAAAATATTTTTCGGGCTTTACTCTTACGTGGCCCGCCGCGACCGACAAAGGGAGGAGCACTTTACCCACATCACCGTCAAAGTGCCGTAAGGAGAATGGAGATTCTTCATTTTTCTTCACGGCACGTGATCTATGGTGAGAGAGTTCATGCCGCACGTGCCAGGTATATTCGTTATTTTATCTGAACTCGAGGGGCATTTCTTCCAGCATCGAAATATATCGTCAGGCCCATCCCCTTGGCTGACGTCAGGAAAGAATTTTCCGCCGCAAGCCGGGGGTGGGGGAGGGGGGGGGAGGGGAATGACATCTTTGCCAATAAAATACCGCCCTTTTTGCTATAATTACGGAATCTACCCCTCCAGATCTACTAAATATTCGTCGCTTCCCCTGGGAGGGAATGTACGCATCACCGGACGGGCATGGATTCTATTCTCCCCCGAGTGCTCCAAAAGGACCACTTTTATTTTTTATGTGCCGATTTTTAATTTATAAAAGTTTTTTAATCAATTATATTTATTTTTAAAATGTAATTTGTGTCTTTGAAAATACACTAAGATGATGCCGTCAACGTGTTAACCCCTAAAGTCAGACCCTCCTAGAGAAATATATTTGAATTTTTAATCAAGCATTGAAATTTATTTTAATATATATTTATAAACCCAAATCTGGTTCAAAAAGTCTTTCTTGAAATAGAGAAATAAAACCATCTAAAGATTCAGTCAACTCTAACCTCATTATATAAGGATTAATAATACATAATTTTTATAAAAATAATTTCAACTAATTATATAATTTCTCTACGACCTAGAACTTCTAACACTCCTCAATATGAACATTGAAAAAGTTTATCTTGACTAAGTTATTGATAATGAAAATCTTGACTTTTGAGCATTCACTAGTTGGTGACGACAAAGATTCATTGTGGTAGCCATTCTTTGTTAGACGATAATCACATATGACTGCTACTAAGGTTGTGGATTCGTCAACACCTTTGGTTCCTCTAATGCTTGTCATGCCTAAAAAATAACTCACCATAGATATGATAACATCAAACACTTGTGACTTAATCATGATACTCACTATGTCTCAAGATTGTAGAATTTTCATAAGAGTCATGAGGTAGTTGACAAGTGACACCAAGCATGCATAAAGTATCCTTCTATTGAGAGTTCTACACAGTATCAAACTCTGATGCAAAGGCTATCAGTTATGATGATTGATATGACGTTAGGCCTCAAATCTCAAAAGAGATTAGGGCCAGCACCCCTCCCACTTATCAAGTAATGAACTCATGAAGGAACTGAAAGGTAAAGGTCATTTCAATGAAGACAAAGGTGAGCAGACATCACCAAACAATATGGATTGTAGCAATGTAGACTGAGACAAGTATGGATAAGAGGTTGATTTTACCACTCTCAAGAATGATGATAAAGATGGAAACAATGGTAATTAATGAACCTAAATATTTCAACCTCTAGGTAGAAGTCTTAATGTAGATAGAAATGAGGCCAATGAACTTAAAGATATCATTGACAAACCTACTGACAATGAACTCAAAAAATATATTGTCAAATGATAGATGGAGATCACTCTCAAAAACACGAGATAGAGCGAAATAAGTGCTCTATAGTTGTAGAACTATCTTGTTAGTAGATGACCTCACTAGAAGAAGAGGCGACACTAGAGTGTTGGCAAAGATGACATAGACAACAGGTATATAACTTGTGACTCTAACAAGAAGAAAAACTCATCATTCCTAAGCAAGAAGACTGATGGAAGTAGAACCACTTTGAATGGTAGAAAGAAAACATGCTTGAAATGACATGATATCACACCTATAAATGGCAAAAAGATAACACACCTCAAATGGTGCAAAAAGAGCTTCAGATGAAACCCTAGCTAGACAAAGTGGTGGAGGCATCAAACAAGACTGATGTCAAATAGAGACGACAACAATAGTGGTGGAGGTGGCAGCATCAACACCCTCTCAAATAAGAGACATCGAACAAGAGTTGATGAAACCCTAGCGAAACCAGCCTACTTTGATACCATGTTGAAATAGAAAAATAAAACCCTCATCACGAAAGTTTGAGGAGAGAATGAAGGAAACTGCCTCAAGATTCATTCAACTATAACCCCCATTATATAAGGAGTAATGATACATAACTTTTGCAAAACTACTTTCAAGTAATTACACTATTTCCTTATGACCTACAACTTCCAATGTGCTTCTCAAATAGTAATTTAAGACCTCAAAGAGCTAGCTTTTATCACATTTATTAAAAAGTTATAGAAAAAATAGTAGTCAAACATGGTCAACCCTTAAAGTCATACTCTTGTGAGGAAATATATTTGAAATTTAAATTAATCATTGAATTTTAATTTTTATATATACAAATATGGTTCAAAAAGCTTTAAATGATAAGTTATTGAACTTACCTTTTAAGAAAATTATAGATAATATCACTTTTATTGATTTTTAGAACTGATTTTGGCTTAATGAGACTCCAAATAGCTAGTTTTTTTGTCACATTTATAAAAAAATAATAATTTGGTTTTCTAAAAATGGCTATGCTCATGAATCTATATATTACATAATTAAATAAAGTCACTAAATAAGGCTTGTGTTGACTATATAATTATGAACAAGTCCCTTTGTTTTCCTCACTACTACCCCTATGTTCATCAAAAGGTATTGTCTTGTTATCCCATCCCTTGTTTTGTTAATTTACCCAGACTATTTTTCACTATCACCGCCGCCCTTTTTATTAACTTTCGTAATTTATTTCATACTTAAATAAAATAATCGTGGATTAGTAGAAGGGTAGAGGGGTCATTTGTAAAAAACACACGGCCATCGCAACCACGATTAAATCCCGCGTTAAATGTAAATTAATTGGAGCCCTAAAGTGTCAGAGTTTAATATTTACGAAGGCACATAACCGAGAGAGAGATGGAGAGAGAGAGAGAGAAAGAGAGGGAGGGAGAGAGAGATAGAGGAGAGAGAAAGAGAGAGAGACGGACGGAGAGAGAAAGAGAGAAAGAGAGGGACAGGAGAGAGAAAGAGAGAGAGTGGGAGGGAGAGAGAAAGAGAGGGAGAGTGGGAGGGAGAGAGAAAGAGAGGGAGAGTGGGAGGGAGAGAGAAAGAGAGAGAGTGGGAGGGAGAGAGAAAGAGAGAGAGTGGGAGGGAGAGAGAAAGAGAGGGAGAGAGGGAGGGAGAGAGGAGAGAGAGAGAGAGGGAGGTAGAGAGACGGGGAGAGAGGAGGGAGAGAGAGAGAGAGAGAGAGAGGGAGGTAGAGAGAGAGAGGAGAAAGAGAGAGAGAGGAGTGTCAGGATGACAGACTGATGCCTTAGACGGCGGCGATGTCGGCGGTAGCTGTCAGAACCGCAAGCCTGCGGCGGCGGGCTGTAGTAGATCCCGACGGCAGCTGATTTTCTCTCTCTCTCTCTCTCCCTCTCCTCAAATGGCTGCCGCCGACAAAAAACATGGCCACCTGCAGTAGCGTTTCAACTCCGCTGCCCCCCACCGTGGGTTGTGGGCCAGCAATTCCTACCATGGGACCGCTGGGCCCAGCCAAAGCAGCTGGCGGCATGCTAATCTATGACCGTTCGGTCTTCCCCCCCGGGAATCAGATCTCAAGTTATTAATTTCATCTGTGAAGCCAAGTGGGCCAATGGAAATTCCCACGCATTTGTTCCACTCTCCATTTGACTTTTCTAACTCACCCATATATATCTGAACGAATCAGGTGGGCCCCCAGGATCCGTACACCCGATCCAACGGTTAAATAATTGCCACGAAGACGATAGGGGGCCCGCCCAGGGCTATTATCGTAATATTATTGTCCTTGTTCGACGGTCTCTGCCAACTCTCTTAAAGTGGGGCCGGTGGGGATCTTCCCCCCCCTTATGCTACGTGTCGGATAACAAGTCGACAGATCTTCAAAAATACTTTATTAGAAATTCTACAAAATTATGGGCAGAAATATAAGCTTATGAAAACTAACAGGTATTCCGTTAAATATCTCACCACCGATCCACCGATTGTTTCTTGACACGTTTATGGGGCCCGCAGTCAACCTCCCTGGTCGGACGACTCTGCGTAACTGTATGGGCCCCGGGGGCA